TAAGGCTATACTTAGTATAGTAATAGGGATATTATCTATATATATTATAATTATTACTTCCTTCTCGTAGTAATATATTAGGCATAGGTCTATATCTAACTATACAAATCTAAGCTCCTTTAACTTTGACACATATAGCTAATTCCAGTCCCTTACAGCCTACTTTAGACTATAGAGGCTTCTTAGGATCTTTAGAACTTAGCTAGGGTAGAGATCTACTCCCTCTAGTAGGGCTATATAGATGTCTTCCTATAGGTAGCTGTTTGTGAATGTACTGTCTATATCTATAAGGTGAAGTTCCAAGTCCTTCTTATAGACTACTACTAAGAAGGTCCTTAAGGTCTTATGTCTAACTATTAGAGTAAAGGTCTCCTTAAAGTCTACCCTATACTTCTAAGAAAACCCTCTTACTACTAATCTGGCTTTTAGCTTATCTAAAGCTCTACTAACTAGCCTCTTAACTATAAACACCTATTTTAATATAATAAGGTTTAATCCTTTTAGTAGAACTGTTACCTTCTAGGTATTGTTACTTATAAGGGTATTCAACTCCTTTTGAATTACTTCCTTCTATATTGCTCCCTATTCCTTGTCTCCTACTACTTCCTTATAGGATTTTAGGATTGGGATATCTTACTAAACAAGATCTAGGGCAAATATAGAGAGAGTAACTTTAGGGGCAAATATAGAGAAGGCAACTTTATATATTTCCTCTAGAAAGAATTCTAGCAATGTAGCTAGTACTTAGAGAAGCCTCTTTGCCTCTAGCTTATCTATTTCCTCCTTAGGATTATCCTCCCTTATCCTCTTTTAACTATAGGTGTCTTTAACTGCCTTTAGTACTTTTAACTTAGTATCAAATCTATCTATATCTCCTATAGCTTTTCTCTTCCTTAGGACAGGTTTAGGTATTTAAACTATGTCCTTAGGTTGGTCCTGTATTTTCTGAAAGTCCCCTAAATCTTTTAGGGGAGGAGGAAGTTAAACAAATATAATAGGTGCCTCCTTCTAAATAGGCTAATCTACTAGCTTTGTAAGTAGTAGTCTCCTAAGTAGCTTTCTCTATAGTACATTTAAAGAGAGATGTTTAGTCTGGAATTGTAGATCTATATTACCCCCCTTCTTCTCTTTAAAGAAAACCATATTAGAATGTTACTTAATAGCCTTTATATCTAGCTCCTAGAAGAGCTAGGCTTTAGCTATATTTTCTATATATCTAACAAAGACAGTATCTTTTCCCCTGTTTATTAGCTTGTTACTTCTTACCTAGGTAGGTTAGGCTCTAGGATCTATATAGACAACAGTTTAATAGCCCTAGACTCGAAGATAGGATACACTAGGTTTTAACCTAGTAAAGGCTTCCTCTAGAGAAACCTTAAATCCCTTAATCTTAGGCCTATTAGGAAGTCTGTTCCTAACATAGTATTAGGCATCTAATGCCTTAGGCTAGAACTTAATTAGCATTCCTGATTCCTTAATTATTGCTCTAATTGATTCTTCTAAAGTCTAGATTAATCTTTTAGTAACTCTATTTTAGATAGAGTTATAGGCTTCTATTATCTCAAATTTAATCCCTAGATCCTTTTCCTACTATTTTAGTAAGCTAGTAAGTTCCCTTATATTGTCTAATCTTATTGCCCTTAGAAGCATAGATAATTGTCTTTCTACTTTAATCTTCTAGGCTTTTAGGGCTACTAGAGTATCTTCTCTTAAAATTAAGGGGATACCCTATTTCTTTCTTAAGAAATTATTAACAAGCTTAAGCTAGTACCTAAATCTAAGCCTTAATATAGGCAAGGGACTATAGATATTAAGTAAAACTAATTATAGAACTTAAGGTTTCCTTACTATAATCTTGCCTTTATGCTTCTTTATCTTTGTAAGGGTGTAGACTCTACACTTTTCTTCTCTAGCTTCTAGGACCTAGATAGGTTCGCTTAAGTCTAACACCTTATGTATATTCTTAAGTAGATCCTTTCTAAAGTGGCTAAACCTTCTATACTATAGCTCCTACTAATTTTGTAACTCCTTTATAGTAAGTCTAAATTCTTCTTCCTCTAAAATAAATAAAACAAATGCCTTTTCCTAAAGAGATTTATTAATTTCCTTAATAAATAGAACACCCCCTTAAAGCCTTGTCTAAATAATAGGCTTCCTAGAGGAGGATATAAGGGTAAACTTTAGTAGTTAGACTCTAAACTGTTTACTAAATTGGTTCTATAAAACAAGATTAACTCTAAGATTAGGAACAAAAAGAATATTCCTTAGGACAATCTGTCTCTCTCTTCTCCTACCTATAACTATATCTCCCTTATATATAGCTTAAAGATAGCTACCCCTAACCTTAATCTACTTTCTCGTTTAGAGAATCCTTAGTTGTCTAAAGAGGGATCTCTAGTCAGTTATATAGGATGAAGCATAGGAATTAAGTAGCTATTCTAAGGATAGGTACTTACCTTTTACTTCTATAGTTAAGTGTACAACTTTATTATAGTTATCTCCTTTAGAAGGGGAGTCTAACTAGGGTAAGGCTAGGGTATCTGCTTCTTATATAGTATATGCCTTCTTAAGGGGTTTCTTTTTTAGATCCTTCTTTATAGAAAGATCCTTCTAAACAGATTTTAGTTAAAGTTAGAGCTCCTTTACTATATTTTTCAATTTATCTTTGTCTAGTAAAGACCTCCTTCTAAATCTCTAAGGAGAGACTCTCTTTATTACTCTTCCTATCTTCTTAGATATTGTAGCTTTCTTTGTATCTTAGAGACTAGGACATTCTTTTATAGGATAGCTTCCTTTATAGAGGAAGCAGCTAAAGGTAGATTGCCTTCCCCTACCTATAAACAAAGCTGTATCTCCTTAATAGATGTCTCTTAATTCCTAAGACTCTAAGATTAAGAGTACTTATTTATAGTCTCTAGTAAGGTTAGGCTAGGCTATAATTATATTCTTAGTAGTCTTAAACTTTCCTAGTAGGGAGGCAAGAAGAATTCTAATCTTTTGCTTAGGTTTCTTAAAATAGGCCTGATTCTAATCCACCTCTAAGATCCTATAGGCTATTGTACTAATCTAGGTCTATGCTCCTCTAATAGTGTCTTCCTCTAATATCTTAAACATAATTAACTCTTAGACTATTACTATAGTATATACTTTTAGTACCTTACTATATTTTGTCTTTAGCTTAGTCTAGATACTAGAGGCCTTTGTTTCCTCTATAATCTTATCTTAATCCTTAGGTCTAAGACAGCTTATTAGTTTATATATAGCCTTAGCATTTGCCTTCTACTATATAGGACTGAACCTTAAATGTTTAAGACCTAGGAATGTTGTCCTTAACTTAGATCCCTCTAAGGATAGTGTGTCTCTATTAGAGCTGCCCTTTAGTTCTTGTATATCTAGAACAACCTAGAATACCTCTTAGCCTCTTAGGCTAGCTTCTAACAATCTGAACTACATCCTCTAGTTGTCTCTTAATAGTATAGGAGCTGCCCTTCTCTTTCTAAATCTATTGTCTAAATCTATCGCTCTTTCTCTTTAGTACTTTAAAACAAATATCTAATACAAAACTCCTACTTAAGAAAAAGTTAGTTTTAAGTTAGGTGACTTAAAAGGTTAGTATGTAGATTCTAGCTCTATAGGGTAATAGAGAGGTGATTTCTCCTAGTAAAGGGTAGTAGATACTATAGGGGCTTCTCTTGTGCCTTTTGCTCCTCTTAAGGTGCTTAGTAAGCAATCTTAAGGTATCTATAACACAGTCTAGTCGTATGTGTTACTAGGCTCTTTTATAGCTTATATACACCTTTAGGAACTTCTAGACACAACTAGGATCTTCTAAAGCTTCTAGTATACTATAGGGGCGAGCCTTAGGTCTACCTTCTCTTTTCTACTTCTCTTTCAAAGTCTTATAGGTATAGAGAGAACCTATACTACTAAAAACCTCTTTATAGATATACTATAAACCCGGGCTTAGAACCTTTTCTCCTAAGTCCCTAAAAGGGTGTCCTAATAACAGTTTTGTATAGGTATAGCTGTAGCGGAAGGTGTCTACAAGGTAGGTAGGTAGTAGGAACTAATGTGTTGATTAAGTTAATTATCTAGAGCGATATATAATCCTCCTAAACTTGGAGTTCCTAGCTATAGGTTACATAACCAAATCATATAACTAGCCCTATCTAGTACAGCCGCTAAGGACTGTACTTTCTAACAAGCTTCGTACTTATCTTTCTAGTTTACTATATTCTTACGCGCCGAGTAAGTAGTTTACGGAAGCGCTAGTTAGGTATTAAATACTAAGTACGCGTCGTAGCGAGCGACTATAGTTCGGGAAGAGTAGTAAAGTCGATTATTATATTCTTAGTCGGAATCGTATAAAGGACGTAGATTATATCTTCTTAGCTACTACTTATTATATATAGCGTAACCTAGACCGAAAAGTATATAAGAAGCTTAATTATTAACTATCTAGCTAGTAAACCGAAGGAAGTAGGCTAGCTTACTAAGTAAACCGAGCCGACCTTCCTTCCTTCCGTAGTAATTAGCTACCTATTATACTCTTAAGATAATTCTAGATAAATACTAATAGATACTAGTCTCTCGTTATAGGCCTTATAGACCGCTCGAGACTATCTACCTATAAAAGCTACTACTAGTCTAGTCTTTTACGAACCTACGTATAATAATCTATCTTTAAAGAGTTAGATAAGATTATTACTAGCCTTTAGATATAAGTAAGAGAAGTAAGGTATAAGCTTAGCCGATTTTCGACTAGAGATAAATGCGGTAAGCCTTTATTATAGACAAACGTCTCTATAGTTATCTCTACTAACCCTTTAGTATAATTAAGAATAGACTCTTAACCTATTCGAGACGTAGAGAGTAGATCTAGGCACGAGTGACTCTACTACTAAGCTATATAGCTAGGTAGAGGTGTATTATTATTAAATGTTAGTCTTACCTATATAACTATCTAAGAAGTTCGATATTAACAATTCTAGTATATTTCGCTACAAGCTGAATAGCCCGCTCCCTCGTTTCCCTAGCGGATAAATTACTACAGCGCTCATAAACAGCCCGACAGTAATGCCAATAGCAATCTGTATCATGCTACTCGCCACATTAAACACAATATAGTTCGGTGCCACTGTAGGACCCGTCCCATTAACGACGTGCGTAGAGTTATTGATCTGGTTTGCGACTTGAAGTCCGCTTAGTAGGCCTCCGGTGCTCGCAAGGCCTCCGGGAACTTGTGTGAAGATGGCTGGAACTAGTATTGCAGCCGCGACTCCATGGCGGAATCGTGAGTATAAGTTCGCAAGACAACCTACGGCGAAGGATCCGAAGCCGCTAGCGATCTGGGGGCTTGACGCGAAACGCAAGCTACTGAAGTAGTTCACGATGTAGCCTGCGGAACCGACAATTACCATCATTGGTATCTGTGCCCATTTCGCCTGGTAAAGCATACTGATACACAGGACGAAAAAGGGCACGAAGATGAAGGTAAAGTAGGTCGGGATAGGGTGCGTACACTTCAGATCTGAAGTCGCGTGCGAGTCCAGAAATCCGTAGAGAGCAGAGCCGACGGTGATCCCGAAGCCAAGCAGCAGCGAGTAGACAACTCCATACACGATGCGGATCGAGCCAGGAACCATGGCGCGGGCTTGTAATTCAAGGGAGGATGACACTGGAGCGGTGAGCATAGCCTTCATTATCAGCGTACGGATAGTTCGACTTACGGAACATATACCCTGGCAACAGCATAACGATACCGCCCTGCGCAAGAGCAGAAAAGCAAAAGAGGTCGCCACCGCGGATGCTTCCAAAGGCCCGAGCTAGGAAGCTTACAATGACAGTGGCAGTCACCTCGAAGACATTGCTGTAAAGCGGAGACATTGGAGCAACGACAAGCTGCAATATGCCAACCAAGCATCCAAAGAAGAAGCACAGCGGAAGATCGATCAACCTCGCATCGAACGAAAATGGTGCAGCGGTGACGCTGGTGAGGCCGAAGACGAGGACGAGAAGCCAAGCGTGGAACTTGGCCTTCTTCGCCATGAGCTCGTCTAGCTGTTCGGTGGCTCCCTCGACGCCGATGGTGTCGTGTAGGACTTCTTTGTACACACGATGCACGTCTTTCAATCGTCCAAGGTCTATGCCCTGACCCAGTCGGACCAGCTTGACGGAAGTCGTGTGAGTTTCGGAATCATCAAATGAGATGACCATACATCCCGGAAGATACAAGAATTGCGCTTCGATCTCGAGCGTTCGTGCTGTCATGTTAAGATATTCCTCGAGGCGGTGAGTAGGCGCACCGTAGAGCATGAAAGCGCGACAGAGCTTCAAGATGAAGTCCTGACGAGCCAAGGTGTCAGCAATGTGCACCTTGACATGTAGCTCCTCTTGATTAAGCAGCTCGGACAGAAAGCTGCGTTTTTGTTGTGCCTGGGGTCTCGCGCCGCTGCTCTGGGGCTGTGCCGGTTTGGCAAGGTTTGCGGAAGCCCCAATAAGCGTAGCAAGCGAGCCTGGCGAGGCATTCTGCTCATACCACTTGCGACGTTCTGGAGTGCTCATTCCAGTGCCAGGGCCTGAGTCTGAAGGAGCCTTCTTATGAGCCGGAGTGCAAGGTTCTGGTGTCTGCTGATGAGCTTGACGCAGATCTTGAGAATCTGGCTGCTTATACAGCTTCAGCAGCTGCGAAAGTACTCCGCCGCGATACTTGTCCGGAGGCGGCCGGTCGTAAGGGCCATCGTTTGAGGCCTTGTATGTTTCTTCGAGATTCGATCCCGTGCGTTTCTTCTCACCTCCATCATTAGATCGCCCCGTATTGTATTGGCCTGTTACGCCTTGTGCATTTGGACTCGTGTGCTGGGTATGTTGCTCGTGATCGGGCGTGCGGAAGGGTTGTCCACTCGTGCTCTCGCCAGAAGTATCTTCGCGGCGAAGATTTTGCAGAGAGATACCCTGAGCATCTCGCAGCAGGTGATGATCATCTGTATCCTCTCCATTATGGGCTGCGGAGTCGAACGAAGACCTAGAACTTCTGTCGGGAGACATCATCGAGACTCTGTCTCCGGAGTTGCGTCTCGAGGTAGGCTGTGGATGTGATGGATCTGTTCGTCCTTTGCGGCCTCCGATAATCGGTGGTGCAGGACGAGCCGACGCACTCGGGGAAACCCTCGCTCTGGCGCGTTGCTGTCTGGCCGCAGCCTCTGCGTCGACGCCCCTCTGCAAGATGTCAAGATCGTCATCCGACTCGACCGGATTTGAGGAGGCGGGGGGCAGGGTGGTCGATGGAGATGTTCGCAGGACCCAATGCGGAAAGGCTGCAGAGCGAACGTGTTGGGCACTTCAGCATTTATATTGTGAAACGTCGGATAAGGACACGCAAGACGAGAGTCCAAGGGCGCCGTGCTTGTATCATCAGGTTGTCAGACGTGTCGTTCCAGAAGTGACTCGGGCTGTTCCTAGACGGTGCACCTAAAAACGGAATGGCTAGGCACTAAAGTAGCAAGAGAACATTTCATGTTACGTACAGATTTGGGCGACGCTGCGCTAGGGCTCCGTACAAGACGAGGAATGACTGTCCGCGGCTGCCGGCTGCTCAGCAATATCTCACATGGCCGGGTGGCTGCCATCTTCCCATGTTTCCGATCGAGTACAGAAATTGGCCAGGAGTCGGACGGCAAGAGGAGAAGAGTGGCTTTCGTTGAAATGACCTTCACAAGGGGTTCAGTGGCACGATGATCAAGCTGATGATATGGAGAAGCCATATCTTGGTGAAGGACGTCATCTTGCCTAGGACATGGCTAGTATTTGGATCAATAGGCCAGGCACGTACCTTGTGTTATAATAGGTAGGCAATGTGCCCAATGAGATGGAGTGTGACCACTCCTGGCAGAAAGCTGCGCCGGCTGCAGCCGGAGGTAACTGCAAGTAGACTAGCTCTATCGACTGTAGTCCTTCTTCGCGCCTCGCCTTTGAAGCACACAACACGACAACAGCATCAGCGTCAACGGCATCCGTAACGACATCACATTGAGCAATCCCATCCATCGCATTGTAGGGCCTTGTAATGGCTTCATTGAAAGCCTTCGTGCTGGCGGCGCTCCTGAGCAGCGTTTCAGGCCTTGCCGGACAGTATCCGCTGCTCGAATCGCCAAACCAGGACCGACCTCTTGTGGACACTGAAGCTCTGCAGTCCAAGATCAGCGGGGAGAAACTGCTGTCAAGAGCGAAAGACCTTTACACCCTGGCGGAATTGTCGTACCACGAGCGGAACCGTCCCACGAGAGAAATCGGCAGTGCCGGACACGACGCAACGCTGCAATACATATGGGCTACCCTTGCGAAACTGGGAAACTATTACAATATATCGGAGCAGTCTCTCCCGGCTAACCTTGGCGAGGTCTATGAGTCCCGTCTCGTCATCGCAGACGAAGTCATCAAGAACGCGTCTGCCATGAGTTTGACTCCCCCGACCCATGAAAACGAACCGGTGCGCGGCATTCTCGTATTGATAAAGGACAATGGCTGCTCTCCCTCGGATTATCCAGTCGAGGTTCGAGGTAATATCGCTTTTATTGAGCGAGGCAGATGCTCATTTGGGGAGAAATCCAAGCTGGCCGGCCGTGCCGGAGCTCTCGCCGCTGTCATCTTTAACAACGAGGCCGGTACCCTGCACGGTACCATGGGCACTCCAGACCCCGAACATGTTGCTACGTTCGGCATCTCTGCCGAAGAGGCGAAGGACATTCTCAAGGAGCTGAAGGACGGGGCGACCATCGATACTATTGCATACATCGACAGCACTGTGCAGACGATCCAAACGCTTAACGTGGTAGCGCAAACAGTCGAGGGCGACCCGGAGAATTGCGTCATGCTCGGTGCACACTCAGACAGTGTTGGCGAAGGGCCCGGCATCAATGACGACGGCTCCGGGACGTTGTCCTTGCTGGAGGTTGCAAACCACCTGACCAAGTTCCGTGTCAACAATTGCGTGCGATTTGCGTGGTGGGCAGCAGAGGAAGAAGGCCTGCTCGGCTCCAACTTCTACGCGCTTTCTCTGTCGGAGACGGAGAACATGAAGATCCGTCTGTTCATGGATTACGACATGATGGCTTCCCCCAATTTTGCCTATCAGATCTACAACGCAACCAACGACGAGGATCCCATTGGCTCGCAACAGCTGCGAGACCTCTACGTGGACTGGTACACGGAGCATGAGTTGAACTACACATTCATACCTTTCGATGGCCGGAGCGACTACGATGGTTTCATTCGAGCCGGCATCCCCGCGGGTGGAATTGCCACGGGCGCCGAGGGCATCAAAAGCCCGGAAGAGGCGGAAGTCTTTGGAGGTAAAGCGGGCGATTGGTATGATCATTGCTATCACCAACTGTGCGACGATGTTGGAAACGTCAATGTGACCGCTTGGGAGGTCAACACCAAGCTCATTGCGCATTCTGTGGCCACATACGCCAAGTCTTTCAAAGGTTTCCCAGAGCGCTTGCCTCTTGAGGCATCGGGGCCGAGCAAATATGCGCAAAGGGTCAAATTCCGTGGAAATAAGCTCTTCATTTGAGCGCAGTCGATTGATCGGCGCATGTCGGGGCGTGTTTGCTATGAGAACAGGTGCATCTTGCTCAATCTGACGCAATGCACTCGACACTTGTCCATGGGAGGATGCGTAGTTTATGGGGTGAGAATGTGGAGAAAGACCTATTATTTTCCTGTAGATATAGCATTAGCGAAGGCCCTATGCCGGAGAAGAAGCCCCTGCCATCGACCCCAGAGATCGAAATGCTGACAGGACAATGGTGAGTAGTGCCCTGATTGCTAAGATTAAGATGAGTATGTCGATAGCTCAAATCACCAAGGTAAGACACGAAGTAAGGTGTTGACAACAAGTCAGCCGAGACGGGTGTACGGCTAGCGGATTTGAACGAGGCTTGAGACAGACTGAGAACGAAGTGCAAGCGAAGACAGAATGCGACAATGAGGCCAGTCCAGTCGTAGGTGAGCATCTTGAAACTTACTTCCCTTCCTCGATGGGTATACTCAAAGACGCTGTCGATCGACCACCTCAACATTTCGTTCAGGATACTTATACCAATTGCCCTATCTGCGGAGGGCATTCATGCCATGCAATTCACTGGGTATCAAGGCGAAACTCTCTGCCCCAGTCTACGGCACAGGTAGTCGTCGATGTCTGTCAAAGAGCTGCCTTTGCTACAACCACAGGGCCAGCTCGTCGAATCTCATGCTCGGGAATAAGACCAAGCAGAAAGTGACGGTCTCGGACGCGCGAACCTTGATGGTAGCGGCAGCAGCTCACGAGTCCTCCTAGTCCTGCGGTCTACATTTGACAAGGTTCGTGAGGATCATGATGCTCTCGTCAGCTCAGGAATTCTCTCGAATTCCAATATGCGTCAACCTATCTTGAGTCATCGTGAGAGAAGTTGTGTGACAGCTCCAGTAGAGGAATCATATTTTCGGGCGAGACCTTTGGAAAGCGGAGAGTAGGCCTGCAGCCCTGCATGTTCTATACAGCTACTCCAGCTCCTCTATGACGACTTGAAGTAGGTATGATGACTCCGACCATGACGACCTGAAATTCGCGTGGATGCGTGGATGCGTGGATGCGTGGACAGCGATTGTGATGAAGAGTGATTCTACACCGCAACAAGACTCATGGATCCTTTGATGCAACTCCGCTTAGTGATGCAGGTGATGCAGGTGATGCGGGTGATGCAAGAAAGAGAAGGGAAGAAGAGGAGCTAGAGAGATGGTCTGCCAGGTGGATCAGAGCCGCTGGCCAATCGGCTGACGGGACACTTCGGCCGAGGTGGAAGAGTGTCACCCGAGGACCGGCGGGCTTGTGACGACGTGGGAGTCCTGGCAAGCAGTACGCGACCTCACCTCCTTTGGGCACTGGTCCGTGGGTGGGCGCCCATCTGTCCGTGGTCGACGACGACGACGCGGATCGGCTCCGCTCAACACGAGTGGGAAATGCGCAGTCCATTGTACGGCTGAAAGATGGCGGACGAGAGAGAGGAGCAGGTAGATTGGTGACGGATGCATCAAGCGCAAGCGAGGCAGGTAGATTGAAGAAGCGCAAGCGAGGCCGAGTCGGGCCATGTTCGCATTGATTATTCGTGTAGTATTGAATAGTGCATTGATGAGCGCCTCTCGACAATCATGACAAGAGAAGAATGCAAGAGATGTGAGGTATGCAGGATCGGGTATCGGATATCGGCACAAGTGCCTGGTCCTCGCCGATGCCGATGCCACGCAAGTACCTTCCTTCCAGTGATGAATAATGGCAGGTGCGATGGTCTGGTACGGGTGGGCGTGGCTTGATTGGCTCGCTACGGAGTGATTCATCTTCCCGCATTCCTCGCCTCGCCTGCTTGCTCGCCGGATTTAAGCACACCGCACCGGTGCGATTGATCATGGATCCGTGATTGATGATGAATGATGGAACATTGATGGAGGATGCTCATCGGTGGATGACTGGATTGATGGATGATTCTCACACGGCACATATGATCGCAGACATGCCTTGACATGGCGGGATTAGGTTGCCGCTAGAGTGCTGCGGAAGCAGATCACTCATGGACGGCGAGGTACTTGCCCGCACACGCACACTACTGTCCCCGTATCTGCGAGCTTTGCCGCACTACTTGTTGCTTGACTTGCTTGTTTGTCTGCTTTTCCACCATCTCATCGCATCGGCCTTTCTGGCGACTGCCATCCGATCTGGTCTGCCCTCGCTTCCCCACGCCTCGCCTGCCGACCAACACTCCATTGTCCATTGTCATTGCCTCTCCCAACAACACCCGTGCCGCCATGGCCGCACCAAACGGAGGCAATTACGACGCCACCGGTCCTCCGGCACCTTATGATGAAATGGAGCACTCGGAGCCTCTGGCAGAAGAGCCACTGGAGCGGGTCCATTCCGAGAGACACCTGAACGAGGAGACGGTGCTCGATTACGGCGAGGCGGTCGAGAGCAGCTCCCACGACGATGCCAGCGATATGGACAAGAACCAGATCAAACCGCCACCCGTGGAGCGAACCCGAAGTAACTGGACCACCACCACAGGCACCAGTATCGCCACCGAACCCGAACACCTCGCAGCAGAGCACGCAGCGCCGAGGAGACGGAAATGGAGCGAGAAGATCAATCCCCTCAAACGCAAGACTCCTCCGCCCGTGCCTGCCGAACGCTTGCCATCTCGAGAACACCAGGCCAGCTTCTTGAGTGTCCTGACCTTCCAATGGATATCTCCTCTGATGAGCGTGGGCTACCAGCGCCCCCTCGAGCTGACGGACGTTTGGTCGGTGAACCCGGACAGAAGTATCGAGGTCCTCAAGACCAAGTTGTACGCCGCTCTGGAGTTCCGTCGACGCCGGAAGGACCTCTTTTCGCCCCTGGCCATGGCTCTGTACGACACCTTCAAGAAGGAGTTCTGGATTGGTGGTGTCTGCCAATTCTTTGGTGCAATCCTCCAGGTCGTCGCTCCATTCACCATGAAGTATCTCATCGCGTTCGCTGGACGATCCTACGCTTCGCAACACAGTGCCGCTCCTGCGCCCTCCATAGGCCAGGGCATGGGGCTGGTCATTGGCATCACCGCCATGCAGATCATGCAGTCCATGTGCATCAACCATTTCATCTACCGCGGTATGATTACCGGTGGCCAGTGCCGCTCCGTCTTGATCAGCGTCATCTTCGAGAAGGCTATGAAGATTTCCGGTCGGGCGAAAGCTGGTGGCAAAGCCTCAGGAGGTCCCACCGAAGCCAAGTCGGACTTCAAGCCTGGAAGTAAAGAGGAGAAGAAGTGGCTGAAGAAGCAATTGGGCAACAACAACAACAACAACAACAACAACAAGGTTTCGGGTGATGGGCAGGGCTGGGGCAACGGACGGATTGTCAACCTCATGTCGACCGACACTTACCGTATCGACCAGGCATGCGGAATGGGCCACATGATCTGGACTTCTCCCATTCAGGTTCTGCTGACGCTCGCATTGCTGTGCATCAACTTGACCTACAGTGCCCTCGCCGGTTTCGCCTTCATCTGCCTGATGATGCCCCTGCTCGCACGCGCGATCCGGAGTCTGATGTCGCGACGCAAGTTCATCAACAAGATCACCGACCAGCGTGTGAGCCTTACGCAGGAAATCCTTTCGTCCGTCCGTTTCGTCAAGTACTTTGGCTGGGAGACGAGCTTCTTGGACCGTCTCGGCGAGATAAGAACTCGCGAGATCAGCAAGGTCTCGTTCTTGCTCTCCATCCGAAACGGCATCATGGCAGTCTCCATGTCCTTGCCCATCTTCGCCTCCATGCTCGCTTTCATCACGTATTCGACGACGCAACACGTGCTCAACCCGGCTCCCATCTTCTCCTCCCTGGCATTGTTCAACTCGCTCCGTATTCCCCTGAACTTGCTTCCGATGGTCTTGGGTCAAGTCGTGGATGCAAATGCATCCCTTGCCCGTATTCAGGAGTTCTTGGGCGCCGAGGAACAACAAGACGACGCCTCCTGGGAGCCCGACGCGAAGAGTGCGATCGAGATCAAGGACGGTGACTTCACGTGGGAACGTAACACTACCCAGAACTCGGACGGTGCGCCAGGAGCGGATCCGAAGGGTAGCAAGCAGCTGAAACAAGAGAAGAAGGACGCCAAAGCCAAGGCAAAGGAAGGGAAGAAGCGCTCAGAGCTGGCGGAGAAGGAGAAGCTTGATGAGGTTCCGACTAGTCCGACTCCCACCAGCGATAGCCATGAGGAGGAGGAAGAGAGCCCATTTGCTGTGAAGAATATCAATCTGAGCATTGGTCGAGGGGAACTCGTCGCCGTCATAGGATCTGTGGGCTCTGGCAAGACGTCGCTGCTTGCCGCATTAGCCGGAGACATGCGCAAAACGAACGGCAGTGTCACGTTTGGCGCAAATCGTGCATTCTGCCCGCAATACGCCTGGATTCAGAACGCCACTGTCAAGGACAACATCATATTTGGCAAAGAGTACGACAGAAGGTGGTATGATCAGGTTGTCGATGCTTGTGCCCTTCGGCCCGATCTAGAGATGCTGCCAGCTGGTGACCTGACCGAGATTGGAGAGCGAGGTATCACTGTCTCAGGAGGACAGAAGCAGCGATTGAACATTGCCCGTGCAATCTACTTCAATGCTGATATCGTGCTTATGGATGACCCTCTCTCGGCCGTCGACGCTCATGTTGGAAGGCATATCATGGACAATGCCATCTGCGGCTTGTTGAAAGGCAAGGCTCGTGTTTTGGCGACACACCAGTTGCATGTGCTCAACCGAGTGGATCGCATCGTGTGGATGAAAGAAGGTGGCATCCACAAGGTGGCCACATTCCCAGAGCTCATGGCGAACGATTCCGAATTCCAGGAGCTGATGAAGACTACCGCAACGGAGGAGCATCAAGAGGAAGAGGAGCATGCGAATGACGATGAAAGGGAAGAGGAGAAGAAGCAAGCTCGGAAGAAGAAGGGCCGCAAGCCAGCAGGTGCGCTGATGCAGCAGGAAGAGCGAGCAGTGGACAGTGTCGGCTGGAGCGTCTACGCAGCATACGTCAGGGCTTCTGGATCGCTGCTTATTGCGCCTTTGGTTCTAGTCCTCCTCGTCATCTCGCAAGGAGCAAACATCTTGACCAGCTTGTGGCTCTCATACTGGACCTCCTCGAAATGGAACCTCTCCATGGGCACCTATATCGGGGTATACGCGTCGCTCGGCGTGTTGCAGGCACTCTTGATGTTCGCCTTCTCGGTCACTCTCACCAAATGCGGCACAAAAGCGTCACGAGTCATGATGAATCGTGCTATGTACAGAGTCTTGCGCGCTCCCATGTCCTTCTTCGACACGACACCTCTTGGCCGAATTACGAACCGCTTCTCAAAGGATGTCGATACCATGGATAATACGCTGACGGATTCGATGCGCATGTTCTTCCTCACAATGGCTATGATTCTCTCGGTGTTCATCCTGATCATCGCGTACTACTACTACTTCGTGGTGGCCCTGGTACCTCTGACGATCGCATTCCTGTTTTCCGCTGGCTACTATCGAGCATCTGCACGAGAAATGAAGCGACACGAAGCCGTCTTGCGCAGTGTTGTCTTTGCCCGTTTCTCCGAGGCTGTCAACGGAACGCCCACAATCAGAGCGTACGGCGTGCAAAAGCAATTCTCTAAGCGCGTGGACGACTCAGTCGACTCCATGGACGGTGCTTACTTCTTGACCTTCGCAAACCAGCGCTGGCTCTCCACCCGACTTGATGCCCTGGGCAATCTACTGGTCTTCACAGTCGGTATTCTGGTAGTCACTGGACGTGCTTCGATCAATCCTAGTACCGGTGGCCTGGTTCTCTCATACATTCTGTCCATCGTGCAGATGATCCAGTTCACCGTCAGGCAGCTTGCCGAAGTCGAAAACAACATGAATTCCACTGAGCGATTGCACTTCTACGGAACCCAATTGGAGGAGGAAGCTCCTCTACGTCTCGGCGACGTCCGTGCCGAGTGGCCGGAGAAAGGAGAAATCGACTTCGATAATGTGCAAATGCGATACCGTGACGGATTACCCCTTGTACTTAAGGGGCTGACAATGAAGGTTCGCCCTGGTGAGCGCATCGGTATTGTTGGTCGAACCGGCGCCGGGAAGTCCACCATCATGTCGACTCTCTTCCGATTGGTAGAGCTCTCGGGAGGCAGCATCTCCATCGATGGAGTCAACATTGCCAAGATTGGCCTTCACGATCTCCGGTCACGACTGGCCATCATTCCGCAGGATCCCACGCTTTTCCGCGGCACCATCCGGAGCAACCTGGATCCGTTCAACGAGCACTCGGATCTTGAACTCTGGAATGCCCTTCGACAGGCCGATCTTGTCGGCGCCGAGCAGAGTCTCGAGGACGAATCCGGACGGATCCACCTCGACACCCCCGTCGAAGATGAAGGTCTCAATTTCTCTCTGGGTCAACGACAACTCCTGGCGCTGGCTCGTGCTCTGGTCAGAGGATCCCAAATCATCGTCTGCGACGAAGCCACATCTTCCGTCGACTTCGAAACTGATCAGAAGATCCAGCGAACAATCGTGAGGGGCTTCAAGGGCAAGACACTTCTGTGTATTGCGCATCGTCTGAAGACCATCATCGGTTACGATCGCATCTTGGTCATGGATCAGGGCAATGTGGCGGAGCTGGATAGCCCTATCCAGCTGTACGACCAGGGAGGCATTTTTAGGAGTATGTGTGATCGCAGCGGGATTCGGAGAGAAGATTTCTTCGAAAGCGAAGAGGCGCGCTTCTCGGCTGAAAGTCCAGAATTGGAGAAGACGCTGAGTAGAGCCATCATGCCCTCATCCGATGAGAAGGGAGAATGATGATGATTTAACGACCGAGATAGATATCGGCAGCATGCATAGATTGCGATGAGAATGGGTATATGACGATTGTGTTTCTTGCATGGCGAAGGCGTGTAAAATAAACAACAGAAGATTGGGAATATTTCACATTGGGGATGAATCTTGTAGTAGATAGAAAGAGCTGGTCATCGCAAACAGCGAGACTCTTCAGACAATAATAACGACGCTTCTGTTCTCGCTTCCAATACACGACGTACACAGGCAGAAATCGCCCTGCATATACCGTCCTCGCGATGAGGTTTCACGTTTCGGATCTGCCATCCATCTGAAGAGAACGCAGATACATACATCTCCATAGGGCCACTATTTTCTGGAGATAGCTCTCGAGCATGACTGACGATGGCTAGCGTACAGATATGTGATCTCAACGACCACACCTAGTACGCCCCCTTTCGAACTTCACAAGAGCAGTATGTGGAGCCTTTTTTTTTTCTCCGCTGATGGCAGATTTCTAAATCTTCTTCTGCACCTATGAACAGACCGTCATGGTCAGCTCTCCGACCTCCACCTCAAAATCTCACTTAAGCTTACAGTATGAGCAAGCGCTCCCACGGCGCTCGTAGCGGACACATTTACATCAGCCGAAGGGATATCGGTCGCTCCTGGGAAACCAGTACTTGCTCCCGCGGCCCCCAGCTCCAGACTTGCCGGCATCTGTACGAGGATGATGGAAGTTGCAAACCGCTCCGGGGAAGGTTCGGTCATTTGTCAGGTGGAAAGCAGCGTATTACGGTACGTGGACGGCCTACGTAGTAGAGACGAGGCAGAACCTCGATATTCTCGGTATCTAACCCCTGCGCAGCCAACATGTCTTCCATCATCAGTAGCTGCTTCCTTTGTAGTTCTCCCGCCCCGCAGGAGCAGCGTTCGTCCCCTTTCATTTCCATTTGACTGCCGAAATTGGTGAGGCCAGGGTTGTGGGACATTCTAGACGAATGTAGTGCATCCCACAGACAAAATGGTAGTATTCCGCGTGAAGAATGAAACAGCCGTGGGCTCTCGAAGCGTCGGGCGGGAAGTTGAGACCACCAGCATGTATCAATCACTCGCGCCGAGATCTTCTAACCTTCTCGCGTCCAGCCGCAGCTATACGACCTGACAGCCTGGTCAAAGGAGAGATATTTGCTGAATTAAAGTGCGGCTCGCCGTCTGCATCGCTCCAAAGAAGACATAGCCAACGATGTGTCATTAGAGCCCAAGAGCCTTTCACGCGAAGCATGCACTGAGGCTCGCTTGGTCGCCCTGGAAGATGGACTTTTGCTAACAGAAGAAAGCTGTGGACAGTCAACAAACAAATAATTTTGACGCACTCGTTTGCTTCCCACAAGTCCGTGTCATTCCGCAACAACAAGCATGTCCGCTCGTGACAGTTTGCAATTGCATCGCTGCATCTATCTTGGTTCTGGAACTATACGTGCACCTTTCCACCCGAGGAAGAACTCCGTGCTCATCTTGAAGAACCGTAAATCGGCCGCCCGCAGCCGAAAGCGGCCAGAAGCAAAACAACAGAAGCATTAGCATCAGGTTACTCCACATGCATCGGTCCAAAAAAGCATTCGCGGTTGGGTATCGTGCCTGTTGTATGTCGTGCCTATGCTGGGAAAGTCTTGCGGGTCGCGATGTTGAAGTAGTCCCTCGGAAGCATGTCCGCTGAGATCTTATTGAGCTTCTGCAGGACCGTGAGGAGACCAGTACTGCCCTGGGTGAGTGTAGCTTGAGCGACCGTGTTACGCTTGCCGACAGTAACGGTGAAGACGTTCTTGATCTTCTCTTGCTTGCCGAGGTCATTTGCCCACTTGAATACCACTTCGTCTTCGCGATCGTCGCCAGCGACCAACATCCAATCCGGCTTGGCAGCGCCGTGAGTCTTCCTGTCCAGGATTTCCATGATGTGACTGGCCGCGGTTTCCTTGGTGAAGCCTTCCTGTTCAATTAGAACGGCCTGCTTGATCGGCACCGCGTGGATGTTCATATTGTGGCAGCTGCCATTGATCTGATCGGCGCTTTCGCCTGCTTGGCGCTGAGCGGCCTCCTGATCGTTGGCTTTCTCGTATCGGAAGAGAATGCTGCAGTGGCGCTCCTCCAGGTAACTGCCCTCGAGGCGCTCCTGATAGTACTCCAGAATGCCTCGGACTTGCTTCTTCCAGTTCTCCACCTCCTCCAAATTCGTAAACGGTGTCCACTCGTTGTTATCCATGCCATACTCTCGAACAAAGCATCCGTTCTCGGCGATGAGACCAGCCTTCGGCAGCGTGCGGAAGTGATTCTCCAGCTCCTCTGGCTTACGTCCAGACATGACATAGACTACGTTCTTAGGGTCGGACATCAGATCGTTGAGAGTTTCAATGACGCGGACTGGTGATCCAAGTGGTATGCCCGAAGATGTCTTGTGAGGAGCCAAGGTCCCCTCGTAGTCGATAATGAAGAGTCGCTTGTCAGCGGTCCTGTACTTCTCGGAGAGCTGGGTGACCGACAGACGCGGAACCGAAGCAGAAGCACGCTGATGGTGCTCGGCGAAGACACGGTCAAGCTCCTTGGCAAGTTGCTCGGCCCAGTAGCGACCAGTCTGCTTCTCAACGATCTCATGTAAACGGTTCCAACGGACTCTTCGCTCGTCGTTACCCATCTCGAGTGCTCTCTTGATTGCATCGGCTTGGCCAGAGTAGTCCTGCGGCACGTCAGTAGCTGCGTGAAATGGTTGGAACGAAATGACCTACCCATGGATTGATAAAGATTGGCTGATCCTCCAGGATGGAAGCACTGCCAGTGAACTCGCTGAGAATGAGTGGCCCATGCTTCTTCTCGGAACCCTTTCCGTCTTGGCAAGCAATGTACTCGTGCGCCGTCAGGTTCATGCCGTCGCGCAGAGCGGAGACCATCAGCACATCGGCAATGGTCAGCAGTGCGATGTACTGAGCAAAGCCTATGTCCTGCTTCAAGAATACCAGTGGCTGGTGAGCCAGGGTCGAGTGGACAGAGTCGATGCGTGTACAAATGTCGGAGACCGTGGTCAGGAGCTCAGACTGCTCACTCGAAGAAGTGGCGACCTGAATCATAACCACCTTCTCACGCCACTCTGGATGCCGATTGAGGAAGAGCTCATATGCGAGAAGTTTCTGACGCACGCCATGAACGTGGTCGAGCTTATCGCGAGCAACAATGATGACCTTGTCCTTGTATCTCTCACCCATAGTCCTCACCCACTCCGCAACCTCTTCATCCTCGCGAGCTTGCTGGAACATGGTAGGGTTGATACCGATGGGTTGAGAGGTAACGTTGACGAAATGGTCATCAATCTGGACGCCTTCTGATGTGGTCTCTACCGCGAGCAGTCGACTGCAGGTCTGTAGGAAGTGGGAGGCGTACTCGTCGGCCTGGAAGCCAATGAGGTTTGCGCCAAGCATACCCTCGAGCAGTTCTTGTCGGGTCGATAGGCATCGGAAGACTTCTGAAGATGGGAACGCGCTGTGGAGGAAGAAGCCGATCTTGGCATCAGGTAGCTTCTCTCGGAGCATCTGAGGGACCAGCAGGAGATGGTAGTCGTGAACCCAGATGGTGTCACCGCGCTTATAGCTGGCGATGACCTGATCTGCAAAGGCTCTGTTCACGTTGCGGTAGAATTCCCAGCTGTGGTCTGCATATGCTTTGCTCTTCGGATGGTCGGGGACTTGATAATGGAAGATTGGCCAGAGTATAGTCTTGCAGTAGTGGGCGTAGTGTCCGTCTATATCCTTGTCGCTGCAGTACACCACAACTGAGTGGTGATCGTTGATCATCTTGTCGCTGATGTCGTCCTTTACCGAGGCCGGCAAAGCGTCCGTTGGGAAGCCCAAAGTGCCAACCCACGTTGTATCTGTCCTGTCATCGTCGTTCTCTTCCGTGATCTGACGAACGGCATTCACAAGACCGCCGTTGCCATGGACTGCGGGCTCGACGGTCCAGGTCTTTTTCTCGTATCCTCGCTCGGAACTACCAGTGCGATTCCCATATGCACCCGACGTTGGCGAAGTCTTCTTGGTCCTCTTCATTCTTGCTTGCCTCTGTCGATTCTCTCGCTCTTTGATCTCATCATATGCTTTGGCGAAGTCCTGAATCGAGGCAGATGGAAGGGGGCCGGCCCTCGAACGGGGTTGGTTAAAGACATCCTCACGACCCCATTCGGCGTGGGTGTCACTGCGAAGCATGGATCGCGGATCACCAGGCTTTAAGAAGTTTCGCTTCTGAGCATCGATTCCAGGAGTGAAGAATTCTTGGTTCATGGCCTGAGTGATGGCCGGAGTCATGGGCGGCGGAGTGCCATTGAACAGACTAGCCGTGCTGTGACGCGATGGTAGCTGTGTGGTGGAGCTCGCGCGCGGTGGAGGATCCAGGTTGAAGGGCTGACTGCGACCCTTTGGCTTCTTGTCCTCCTCGTCATCGTGGAAGTCGACGGTGTTTGGGAGGAAGAGCGAGACGGTGAGATTGGTACCCATGGCTGGCAGGATGCCTCTTCGGCAGGATACCTCTTCGGCAGGATACCTCTTCGGCAGGATACCTCTTCGGCAGGATACCTCTTCGGTAGGTTACCTCTTCGGTGAGTATAGTTGGTGTTGTTGCAGGGTGTTCGATCGCAAGCTCATGAGAGGGCGGTGGTGGAGGTGAAAAGAGAGTTGTGCAGTGGAAGGGAAGTAGCTGGAGGTCAATGGGGATAGAAGGCGGTAGAAGGTAGAGGTAGTGCTGAGAGGTGTTTGCATGTGAAGCAGGGGCGAACGGGGAAGAAGTTTGGAAAGAACGGCGTGCCGGCAGGTGCGATTGTGAACGGTGGCAGGCGCCGCCGCACGTGTCTCGGCAGCGGCCCTTACCTGCTTGTGCTTGTGCTTGTGCTTGTGCTTGCTGTTGCCCCGTTCGGTGTTGTTGGTTAAATCAGATGGACATCATCGCTGCGTCAGTCTTGTCCAACACCTCATCCACCTCCAACTTCCCAGGATTTTTGGCGAGCAACGGAGTACACAGCGGGAGGCCCTACCCGGGTCCCGCTCTTAGCGTACGGCCGGTGCCGAACTCGCGTTTCCAGATCACCGTCGAAGCTTCCAGTGAGCATATTGCGACTACACTTGCCTCCTCTCCCCGCTATGATATGATATGATATGAGCTTTGAGCCTCCAACACTGAACAACCTGCCATGGCCAGCCTATCAAATGCTACTTCTGCCTTGCCATCGCCCGATGGCTGCGCAATCTACGAGAATCTCCGGTGACACACCGTGGCCAAGACCAACTTTGTGACGGCGTCTTGAGACGATTCTGATGCACAAGCTTCGCTACCGCGGCTCTCTTGGATGTGCTGAGTATCTCGTGATTGTGCCCATGGGAACACACCACCAGCTTGACACGTGTGTCAAAGCAACGCACAAATCGTCTACTTGGTCAAGGACCTGCTGTCCGCGCGAACGCGATTTCGCCGACTGCCTCTCTCAAGATTTCAGGCCCACGCTATCAAGACCCTATCGACTGTTGCTCCGAGGGGAGCGACTAAGACCTGACGCCTTGCCAGCGCTCGCGCGAGCCTTTCGATCCCCGTCAAGTATCTCGCTCCGAGGCCCGACAAGCGACATCCAGCGAACCAACATCCAACGAATCGACAAGCAATCCGTCTGCCATCACTCGTACGAGGCTTGTGCACGACCAGCCATCCCTGCACATCAGCGGCCACCTACAGCATCATTCCCGAGCATGCTTCGGCATCCCGATCCTTGATTCGACATTCAAGCAACGCCTCCTTACCATCTTTCAGGTTTGACAAGTGAGGCTGAACAGCTTCACAAAGCCTTGGAATCTCCAGCCCTGGAAGTCCGTCCACGCGGGAGTCGACTCGGAGCGGATGGATCAGGATTCCCAGGTACAGCCATGCGCCACGCTTTCAGACCGTCCAAAATATTTGACGCTACTCCTCTGGTAGGTGGTGCCAACATAGGCACCAATCTCTCATCCTGTAGGACCGAAAACTCACGACTGCCGACACTGACACACTTACACGGATCTGAATCATCTTCGACTACGTCATTGGCGTATAGGAGAGAGCAGAGTCTTCACCGCCGCAGATTTCCTAGCTCCTTATTAAGAAAGCAATCTCAAGTTCGCAATGATTGGAAACGCTCAAGGCTCTGCAGAGCACGAGTAAGTTTCCCGCGTGATTCGGACGTGGCTGAGCAATGAGACTCCACTCGTCACCACAAGACAAAGCTCGCGTCCAGAACATGGCTGATGTTGCCTATCATCAGCCATGTTGTGGCATTTACGGACTTGCTCTCCCTCCCTGACAGAGGTCCGCAGGGGGAGGGGGGGGCGGAAGGCGAGATCAACTGTGACATGTTCGGAGTTGCCTTCTGAAGACCTATGCTAGGCCTCTGCCTCACACGAAAGCGCAGCTGGCGCCAAGTTTCGACGTGACACTTACCGACTTGTTCCCTCCTCTGCGCTGGAAGAAGACCTGCTCACAAGACATGCCGTCCGGTATCACGCTGGATGGCAATGCCCAAAGAGCGGAATCAAAAGTCGAAACAGACCATTCAATGTATTAACGTTCTCTTCTCCCATAGAAATCGGGAATCGAATCATCCAACAGTATCTGCTGATCCTCATGACACCCCATCTGGAAATCTCCAGCCATGCGCCGCACTAACTCCCATTAGACGCCTCTATCAATCGCCAAATGCTACACCGTAGTGTGCCGGGCCCATGTTCTCTCTCTCTACGCGTACTACCCGTTGGCGAAAGGGGCAGCGAAAAGTCCAAAAAAAATCCCCCGCGTACCATAACCCACGCGGAACGCTGCAACAAGAATTGAATGGTTCATGGGTTACCAGCTGCTAACAATTTGGGTATACTTGGTGGTGAAATCTATCCAGTAAGGGGTTGGTATGCGTGTAACGGAGGTAGGTCTTCTTCGACGCGGTCGAAATGATGGGGAGCTCAAAATGTCTCCCGAGTGCGCTTTGTTCGTTCGCGTGGTGGATCACGCTGCCTCGCGGCGTGCGCGGAGTGAGTCGTACCAGTGTGCATCGTCCGAATGCCGGCGCTGAGAGAGGTAATGTGCCATGGAACGGAACTTTCACCTCTCAATTAGCAGCTCGAATCGTAGACGTGCTGTCATTGGAGCTCTCGCTCAAGGATCGCATCTGCATGGCCTCGGCAGCCTTCTGCTGCGCCACGACTTCTCTTGCGTAGAACTCCACCAACATCGTCCCGTACGCTTCGATTTCCTCCACAGGTACCGAAAGGCGGAAATCGTTCAGGAGAAGGAATTGAAGTTCGAGGTGGTTAAGTTCGGGCAAAGGTAAACCGCCGACCTGCGCAAAGCGTTAGCCCTATGAGAGGTGATGAATGTGCTGGGTTCACTCACTTTCGCGTATCTCGAATTCGTATAGAAAATGTCAGAAAAGAACTTGCTCGCGCAAGTAACGCCTGCAATCACCAATCGATGGATATTGAAGCTGTCCACCACGAAGAAATGTGATAGATTGTAGGGATCAATCATGGCCGGCTCCGCAAGCATGGATGGCGATTCAGGATGCGTAGGCCTGCTGTGAGGTGTTCCAGGAGCGCCTCTCTGCGAGCTTTTCTCCATGCCTCCGGAATGAGGTGGAGTCGCTTGCTGTGTGCCCAAAGGCGTGGTAGCCGTAACTCCCTCCATAGCGCCGTCGGATCCCAGTGGTTCGGTGAAAGAACGAGCAGTCCGGCCGTCCACAGCCTGGCTTGCTTCTCTCAAACTCTGCATCGGCCCTGCATTCACTCTCTCTGTCATTCTGTCAAAGTAGACCAGCAAGCTCAAGAACACCTCATAGCTCGTCGGACAATACTTGTTAATTCTACTCAGGTAGCTCAGGATCGTGATGCTCGGCACATTCTTGCCGTGGAATGCCAAAACACTGTTGGTCTGCGGATTCACGTGCGATGCAGCATCGATCGCGAGCGGCTGGCGGTGCAGATGCTCGTGCTGTCGGTCATTTGTGGTTGTGATTTTGGTGAGCAGGCCGGCCACCATTTCAATGATGTGCTCGACTTTCATCTCACTGATTTCATACTGCGGTCTGTCGTCTTCTGCGCCTCTCGATCGTGACCTGCTCCTGCTCCTAATCTCCGAGAAACTTCCCATGTCCTCGCTGGCAAAGCTCTGGATGTGCTCCAAATCTCGTACCTTGATCTTTCTCGGTCGCGATCGGAGCGAGGCATTTGGGTTATCGCCTGTCGATACTAATGGTGGCTGGGACCCATCTGAGGGTGGTGGCGCCAAGCGTCCAGCTAGCGGAGGGCTCGCTGGTGGCGGGGCGGGTCGCTGTTGGGAGGCCCGTGATGGAGCGCGCGCTGCATTGTGGGCGGCGGCATGTTGCTGCAGCTCGGCGGTGGGAGGGTTTTGCGAGGCGGCAGACGAGCTGTGTGCTCTCTGCGCCGAATCGGACATATGGGAGGCCTCGGCGCGCAAAGGGGATCGGCTTCGTTTCGCTTGAGGCGGCGGTGGAGTGGAGCTGCGGCGCTGGGAGCGCGGCGTGGACTCTCGAAAGACGTGCTGATGCTGCGGGTGGGGCGAGGAGTGGAAGAAGGAGTTCACGGCATCGAGGACGACCGAGCCCATGTTAGCTCATCGAGTTGTGGGCGTGCCAGTCGGTTCGCGAATGGAGGGGACGATTCTGCGGCAAGGGTACATCAGTTGTGCTCTTTGCGACACGCACTGCTTTGCGTATGTCTGCGAGAGTGCACGACACATCGGCCGAGGCGCTGCGGGAGGCCTGTTGTCGCTCCCTGGGTGGAGGTCGGGCCAAGCGAGGTGTTGGAGGGTGCTGGCATGTGAATAATGCCGCTGGTGCACGGCGACGGCAGTGCAATGGCTCAGCTGGCTGGCTGGCTGGCAGGCGACGGGGATGTTGGGACGGCGAGGGATGCGCTATCTGTGTATGGGCGCGAACGCCTGCTTGGGATCCGGATCCAGGCACACACGATCGTAGGCCGGCGAGGTAGACGGACGTGGAGTTGGCGTTACTGCTGATGGGGAGGCAGATGACGCGATGCCAGTAGCAAGCAAGCAGCGTGATGAAAGGAAAGCCGCAACGGTTGGGCGGTCGTCGTCGCGGTACACGTGTAAGAAGGTAGGTCTCTTGCGTCCACTGCACTCACCTCGTTCATGCCCCGCGTCTCGGCGTGCTGTGCGCAAAGTGAATTGGACAGCCGCAGTCGGTGTTGGGTGTGCCAAAACAATTGTTCGGCCTGGTGTTGGAGGGAGAGCTTCGCGGTTGCTGCAGGTGAGAAGAGGAAGATCTTCCAACTTCAGCACGCTGCCCGTGCAAGCAAGGGCTTACAGGGTTAGTCAACTCGGCACCAATCTTAGCGTCGTCCGGCCGGCATCTGGGTGGCATACTTCTATAATAATAATCATACACGCGCTACATCTCAACCGTCTACTTCCACCGCGAACCAATGCACATGGACGTACAGAAAAGCCATGCCAGTTGGCTCTTCATTCCGACTGTCTTGCGTAAGGCTGCCGCCCAGGAGCTGCGGGCTAGAGCTGCAGCGCTAGGTGGAAGTCGGCTTCAGGCCATATGCGTGGCGTGACACCCCGACAGACTGCCCACGCCTATTGGTACATACTCTACAGACCGCCGCGGTCTGCAGACGGCGCGCTCCTCTTCCACATCCCGTGCCTACGCGGGACACGCACGTGAAAGCCCCGCCTCGCACACATCTTCACCAGTGCCTCTCCTACGGCTTGTCTGTGCCTGGACCGCTGTAGTCGCGATCGGGTAGGTACAGGTGCCGCACCGCGCCTTTCGCTGTCAGGACCACCATGCGGATCACACCTCCGGAACTGCCATCCCACTTGATCGCCTCCCGTAACGCGCCCTTGACGAAGCCGATGCCCTCCTCCTCTGTCATGCCTTCCCGCCAATTCGCGTCGCAGTAACCGTAGATGTATGTTGAGCCTGAACCACCGATGGCATACGCCTGCTTATGTAGGGAGCCTCCAAGCGGGATGGAGTAGACCTGTCCACCATGCCTATGGTCCCACCCAGCAATGATGATGCCCGCGCTCAGCATGTCCTTGTTATCGTAGCACAGCTCTTGAAACAATGCCGCAGCGGTCTGTGTGGTGGGAGCTTCGTCATTCGTGATGCCGTACATGCCCAGGTGGTACTGCACAATATCCGCAACTGCCTGGGTGTCTGCCGCAGAGCCAGACCGACAGCACCATATCGTGTCGTGTACTTGTGTGAGCTTGTCGGTTACTCTGTTTGCAATGTATGCGCCGGTGGTGGTCCTGCTGTCTGCGCCGAGTATGACGCCGTCCTTGAAGTTGATGGCCATGATCGAGGTACCGAGGTTGACCTCGCCAGACTTGAGGTGGTTCATGTCGATGTGAATGCCATCTGCCACGGGTTAGCAACGGATGGACGGCGGATCTGTAAGGTCTCGTGCGTACCTTCGCCCAGCATTCCCGTCTGGTTGATCATCTTTGCGGTGTCGAGAAGCGGTGGTCAGGATTATCGGAGTGGCCAGATGATTTCAACGCGGTCCGTTTGTGATGCGGAGGTGTTGATGGAAGGTGTTGGTTTGGAAGTTTGGCGTTGTATATGTAAGGTGTGTAAGAGAGCTCCAAGGCGTCACTTGCTGCGCGTCTCTAGCTGGAGAGTCGTAGCTCCCTCGCTTGTCACCACCACTTTTGGCTGCCGGTCATAATTGCTTGCCTCGACCTCACCTCCAGCCATTGACTCGACAAGCGTATAAACAACACCAACATCACGATGCAGTGAGCGGGAGGCACCACCATCCTCCGTCCTCTGTACCGATCCCTCACACAAAATGACGAGCTCATTCTGGCCATGGCTACGTCTGCCATTCTACCTGAGCGCCGGCCTGGCCAGTCTCGGCGGCGGTGCGCTCTTCTACTTTCAAAAGTAAGTCCGTCCTTGCGCGGATTTCGTGCCTACATTACATGTCTAACGAAGCTTGAGTGAAATCATTTACCCGCGGAATCTGCCTCCGGGAACACGGACAGAAGTGCCGCGTCCCCCTCAGTTTGATATCGAGGACTCTGAAGAGCTGTCGCTGACTACACCTGACGGCGAAACACTCAGTGCATTCCTCGTCAAACCACCTAACAAGGCTCAAGCCAGGCCGATCACTATCCTGAGCTTCCATGGGAATGCTGGCAACATCGGCCACAGACTCCCAATCGCCAAGGTCCTCGCTCAAGATTTGCAGTGCACGACTCTTATGCTGGAATACCGTGGGTATGGCCTCTCCACGGGAAACCCTAGCGAGAAGGGGTTGTGTATCGACGCTCAGACCGGACTTGACTATATTCGCAATCGTGAAGATCTCAAAGGCAACCAGATCGTAGTATACGGCCAGAGCCTTGGCGGCGCAGTAGGCATCGACCTCGTGGCCAAGAACAAGGATACAGGCGATATCAAAGGCTTGATACTGGAAAACACGTTCTTGAGCATTGCCAAGATGATCCCGAAGGCCGTACCCATTGCGAAATACCTGACGCCACTGTGCCATGAGTATTGGCGGAGTGAACAGATGCTCCCTCAGATCACAGATGTACCGATCTTATTCTTGAGTGGGCTCAAAGACGAGATCGTCCCGTAAGTCGTTCTATCACTGGTCACCAAATGGATCTGCTGCTAAGTTCCGGCAGACCATCGCACATGAAGGAGCTGTTCAAGATATGTCGCTCTCCCAGGGTGATGTGGAAGGAACTCCCATATGGCGACCACAATAACACTGTTGCGGAAGCAGGATATTTCCTACACATTGATGAGTTTCTTCGGCAGTATCTGCCATCCTAGACCAGGCATTGTCAGCATGGTTGAAGCACGCCGGCGGACCCCGTCGTTGCGCCCGATTTCGACGCGTTCCTGTACCGCACATATACCCTACGAGGCATGAGATGGAGATAGATGTTGAGTTCAGCCGGTCTCTACCTCGCGTTTACAATCTTTGTCGACATCAGGCGGTCACCTGTTCCAATCAGCGTCCATGCAGAGCAAGATTGCCTGAAAGTAGCCTCGTACTGCTGTCCGACGGAGTAATCCAAATATGCAGCCTTTGGGTACGTGGTCAACGCATTGGCCTTATCATCTTCTCAGAAGCTTAATTCGCGCCCCTTCAGGACTAAACCGACGTACAGAGCGAATATGACCGAGAATGTAAAAGATTGCCCAGGGCACTTCAAAGGAGTCGGATCTTCAGCCCGCCTGTGATGTGAAGAACGGTCTCCGTCGGGAGCATGCGTTTCGAATTCCCTCGGATGCTTTCTCGGACTCCAGGTCAGGTGTAACTCCTTGTTGTCTTGAACGGCGATCAAAGATCTCCTCAAATGGCTACACGGCGTCCTCCGGCCAGATCATCCCGGCATCAGTCCGATCGACGGGCAGCGACGGGACCGTTGCGGTACGAGATGCACTTCTCGGTCAGCGTACCCAAGCGGAACAGAGTACCGTCAGTTATGGTACGATCCTGCAGTCACAAGCGACCGAGTTCGAAGAAAATTCTGGCCATTCGCTGCACCGACGAGAGGCTACTATTGGCACTATGCTCTAGGCTACACACATGCGTTGCACGCGAATGGCACGTGACTGTGCCCTAAAATTTGCAGAAAATATTCTCATGTCTTCCCGCCTAAGAACCGAAATCGCAGTGGCTATGCCAACCGGAGGGCTTCCGCGGCCGCCGAAAGTACTGTCGGCTGCGTGCCTCGCGACATGAACAAGGTGTGCGTAAGCGGACAAACTAATTTGGACAACGTATCCTTTACTTGTACTGGCCTTGCAAACCCTAATTAGAACAATCGAGGGCTGGACTGGAACCCTCCATCGCCGCGCGCGTAAAGAAGCGCGTGGCGCGACAAGTCCGGGACTTCAATCCTTGTTGTGATCTACGGCGTCCGATTTGGTCCTCTGTCAAACCTTGTTTGATCCTCAACTTCCACCGGGAAGACATCCACTTGGGCATCGACCTTTGCAGAATCGGGACTAGAAAATGGGACAAGAGTTCGGCTATTCGAAAATCGGGAAGAGGCGCAGACACTTGCTCAGACCCTATTTGGCGGCTCGCAGCACAGTTCGTATCCAGGGCCATGCAAGAAAATCCGAAGCATCCCAACCATCCGGTCGCCGGTAGCTCGTTGGGTGTACTTGGCCACTCCAAAATTTGCTTGATGATTCCTGGTTCTTGATATATAGCACCGACCGGATGCAGATCCAGATGCTCACATCTTCCGTTCCACAGTATACCCCGGTCTCCACGCGCTCCACTTTCTTCACTACAACTATTCTACGCACACGATCACTTCCGACAAGCCTCATTATAATTCAAATATACACGAAACGACACGAACGAACCTATTACAATACCCGTTAAACATCCCCAGTCTGGATACCAACTCCGTATCCAACACCTGCGATCAAACCATTCGACCGCCATCAAGAACAAGGCTCTCCAGACAATGAGAACAAAGGTCGCCAAAGGCTCCTTTCTACCCTTGGATTTGACAGGTCGAAACTCTTTGTCCTTTTCTAACGCACAATACCACAATGGATCCGGTGTCTATAAGCACTACCGCCGTCCCTTTCGACGATGCCCCATCACGCCTCCACTCTAGTGCGGATTCCGAAAGTTCGTTGTATCTCTCCGGTCTCGGTGACAATTTCTGTGACGGCTCAGCTCTATTCTCAGTCCTGAGCTCCTACGAAGATCACATGGAAGAAATTTCCGAGAAAAGGGATACGACGCAACTAACGGAGATCCTCACCTCTCAAACTTTGCGCACGAAACCTTCGAGAAACAAGATGCTGGGCATCCCGAGTCCTCTTCCTCACTCGAGAAGTAGATGGCATCCTTCTGAGGCGAGCAGAGGAATTGAACCTCTGCCGTCAGAGATTGCCAAGGTTGTTCTGAAGGAATGGGACGCGAGAAATTGGCATCAGTCGTCTGACGCTCTGACTTCGTGGCTCAATTCACGTTGGAGGAAGACGGGTTATCAGGTTTCTCCGCAAACGGTGTGCTGGACACTCAAAGCAGCCGGAAGGGATGCACAGATGGGTCTTGGAGATCCAGAAGACGGCGCCTTCCTCAGAGGTCCATCGTCTGAGGACTTGCTCTCCAGACCACAATCACGGATGCGGAGGTGAACGCACCACACCTTACTCCGGACCAAAAGCTATTTGATTCTTGGCGCTCGGGAACGTGGACGGTGATCGCTGGATCGATCTTTGGAAAAATTGTACGACTACAAATGGGTGGCCTTTTGTCTTTCTTCTTTTCTGTTGTAACATCACCATCATCCCTAATCGCTTAGAGCTTCTAAAAGACATCCACTAGATCCTTTGTATAACTTGATCCTTACAACGAAGCATTATTAGCATTCCTTTCATCTCACTCAGCGGCTAGATCACAAAACTATTCAGAAGTTGCTATTTCTAGTATTGTTCATCAAACAAGATTTCTTTGTTGCCATCACGTCCGCTCAAAACCAAAACATCATTATCTTGCCCCATCTCTGTTGTGTCCGACTGCCGTACACATTCAAAAGACCACAGAATCTTGACCGAAGGACTTGAAGAAAATCAATACAAGATCCACGTCAACGAACTCGACAAGCAAACTTCCACAGACATCACACGCCAAGCATGAAAGCTTCCACGATCTTCCCCGTTATCCTGCTCTCCCTCTCTCCCCTGCCCCTCGCCATCGCCGAGCCCGACAACGACTACCAAAACTCTCTCGCCTGCGCCAAACGCAACCCCTCCATCAATGCCGCGATCTCTGCCTTCTGTGACAAGAAGGATGCATCCGGAAACCTCTCCAACGACCTCTTCGTTCCTTCGCCTTACGCCTCAGACGGAAAGGTATCGGGAGGAGTGAAAGTCTCCATTGGGGGCTCCTGTTCTCCGAAGCAGTATGTTCCCTTGCAATACTGCGGGTTGCAGTTCCATGAGATTTGCAAAGATGGCCAGAGTCACAGGAGGTTTGGGAGGGGAGGATGTCAGGTTTGGAAGATTGAGAGTGGAGCTGAGGCAATCGCTGCGGTGTTGGAGGGAGAGTAATAGTCGACGGTGGGAGAGCCTTTGGCTAGATAACGTTGAAGAGAATCGTTTTGCGGGGGACTCTCCCGATAGTACTGATATTGCTTCACACGGGAAACAAATTCAATTGATCCTGTCCGCCCGCCTCTGAATAAGTCTTGAACGCCACGTGCACATGAGCGGCCCAGGTTTGCTATCGAGAAAGTGGCAGCTAATCATATGCGAGAGAGAGGTCCGTGCGGCTTGGAAGGTCGCTTCATGTGAGAACACCCAAAATTAGTTCATGCTCCTCAGTCCATTGACACTCAATATCTTCCATCCTATATTAAACGCCGATGCTAATTCCATGAGCCTCAATAGCCTTCGACTGCATCATCATCAACATCTACGCATACCGACATATCGTGTCCAGCGCCAGGTCCCGATGTCTTCCAATCAGATCTGCCCAGCGCTTCCTCTCATTCGATCCACGCGCGCGACCACAAGGCCCAAGTAATTCCATCCCTTCACAAGTGCTTGCCATAGCCCACGCTGGCACTGCCCGTAGAGCAAAGGAATGAGGAAGAAGAACACCGCAACCTCAAGGTCGAGCTGACCCTCGCCGTAGAAGGCGCCCACCCCAGTGCAACAACTTCCTCACCGACCTCTCAGTTTCGCGAAAGCGAACCTCTTCAACGCGCGCATTCAATACGCATCTGTGAGAGGGTGTACCCATGGATGGACTCGAGCTTCGCTTGGCTCCCTCACTTGGTCGTCGACGACCAACTTCGTGTGTTGTGACTGTAAAAGAAGTCCACCGCAAGCTGAACGGCGATGGTGGGAGTGTCATTGAAGACGTACTTGCGCTCTTTCGCTTCCTATTCGACCGCCAGATCAACCACAACCACAACAGCCTACCAAATAAACTGACCTCAAAAGCTTCGTCCGTGACGGCTTTGCGCAAGCTTTCGGAATGTAGCGCTAGGATCACGCTGTGGACTGGAAACTCTTTCTCCCAGCCAAACAAGCGTATGATCCGGCGGGAAGAGGTTGTCTCCCTTCAGCTTCGCCACTTTCTTTAGGAACTCCGCATTCTTGGGTCCCGGAATCGGGCGCCTCGCAAACGGCGGTGATACCGGCAGAGGAGACTGCACCGCGCCTCGTTCAGAGCTTCCTTATCAGTCCAGCGGCCTCCTATAAGATTTCGCTTTTATTTTTATTTTTGAGCAAACGCAAGCTTTGGCTGGAAAGGGCTGGAACATATCAAAGCTTTCAGTGGTCTCAACTTCCAGAAATTAGTCCATCTATCATTACATGGCCTGCTCATCCACTTTCCCAGTGCATGTCGCACACCTGCCAACGTCAAGCTTGTCGTACGTGCTGTTTATCCCAAGAATCTTCATCATACTCCGTGATCGCTTCAATCACAACCTGAGACCTGCCGGTCGTTGCACCCCTCCCCTAGAAGTTCCTCGATGCCCCGGTGTTTCCATGGTCTGCAGCACCGTTCACTCCTTGATCAGGGTATGTTCCACCAGAGCTGTACACTGGCCCTCCCATCATGTTACCTTCTGTCTGCGTGCCCATAGCCATTTCATCATCTTGCTTCCTGAGCGGCGGCGCGTAACGATCCCCCTTATGTCTCGTACGGGTCGCAGGCAGGAAATCGATGATGAAACTCCAGATGTAGAAGATGTAAATCAGCGAAATCGTCCATTCGAGAACGGCGGCTCGGTTATAGTGGGCCTTGTCCGACATGACCCCGAAAGCGATGGCGAGCGCGAGTTCGACGAAAATGAATGCGAGCTTGATCCAGAAGCTGGCAGCGAGGATGTTTTCGCCGCGGTAGCGGATTCCCAGGCGTTGATATTCGGCGCAGATGAAGATCGCGGAGATGATGTATCCGGCGCTATGTAGGTCTCGAGTCAGCATTATTTGATCGCGCGCGTTTGATGGCGGAGGGGACGTACATGAACACCACCAACATGGCGTCGTGTACATGCGGGTAATGCACGGTGTCAAAGATGGTGAGAAGAATCAAGCCAGCCGCGCCCACAACCGCGAACAGAGTCGCGAATGCGCTCAGAATGATCTCCGATACGTTGTAGTTTGGGGTCAATCGTCCCGTGTGTCGCAGCCATCGCTCCGAGATGAAGGCCAGATCGAACGTGACTACGGCGACTGCACTCCCGGTGATGAACAGAGGCTTTCCCCATGATGTTGCGCCGATGTCCGAGATGTATGTGATATGTTGGGTGGCATGGAAGGAGCTGTAGTGGGGTGATCCAAGTGCGAGCCATCGACCCAGCATTGCTAGGAGAGTTCCTATATCCCTCGTCAGTCATGGGCTGCGAACATGCGCCTTCCTTGTGGATATCGTTGCGTACCTAGCCACACGCATCCCGCGAACAACGGTAGAAACCAATATGAGAGTCCCAGCATCTTGTCGTCCGCACCGGTCTATACCTCCGTCACTCAATCAAGTGGTGGTCGCAGAAGACTTCGACGTGTCGCAGAAGAGTTCGACGTGTCGCAGAAGACTTTCGACTTGCGTGCCGGGCGTCACCAAACGGGGGTATGCCTAGCAACGCGCTGAGCTGGCCGACGATGATAGGGACAAGGACGAGGAAGCAAGATTTGATGGAGTAGAGAAGCACAGCACAGCACCTTCTCATACGCGACAACCGTGGCTATGCGGCAGAGCGCAGTGCAAAGTGCAGACGACTACTCACTCATCATCGATTCGCCAGAGTGGAAGACCCGACGTCATCGGTGGAAATTGCGTCGCAACAGCCACCCGACACACATCAGGTTCCCCGGCTTCCGCGGAAGGTGGACCTTCTCGCCGCATTGTGACGACGGACCAGGCGCTGTGCGCAGATTTTATGCTGGCCGAGACACGTGAACTTGTGCAGCAATGCTCCGTCTTCCAACTCGGCCGCAGAGCACCGCTTGATCAGGTCATACTCGCACACTCGCGATATGCTGCCGTGGTTGCTGCAGGTAGATCAGATCCATCTTCCTGGTGGCCAAGTGCGAGCGGGTCCTTGAGTTTGATTGCAGAATCCAGCTGAGTCGACTGAAGGCTCCGCGGCTGCCTCCGCGGCTTTGCTGACTGTGCAGACTGATGAGTTAAATGTCGACAATCGTCTTTCTGAGGACAACAAGTGCTTGTCAAGGCAGATCAATGGTAGCAAACAGCGGTGATTAGACCTGGAGGAAGGTGAGATGCTAAGCCTTAGGCTCTCATCACGTGACTTTGGCTGATTGATCTCCAGCCAATCAAGCGGCGCTTCCTCCCGCAGTCTTGGCGCCCGTCGCACCTGTCAATTCTCCAGACTTCGGATTCGACTTCGTCTCTCAAGGCTGACTGCCACCATCGACAACACAACCTTCGCCACCATGCCGCAGGAAGTCAAGCAGCGGTCCGGCATCGCCGTTGGCATCAACGCTGGCCACGTACGTTATCATCAACCCCCCGAGCGTACGAGTGCAAAGAGCAAGGACGTAACATGAGGGAGAAGAATCTGGCTAACAGGATATTTCCGTCCAACAGAAGGTCACCACTCGCCAGCCCAAGCCGCGTGTCTCGCGCATGAAGGGACACCTCAGCAAGAGAACTTCTTTCGTCCGGGATGTCGTCAAGGAGGTCGCTGGGTACGTCCGCCAAAGTTCCTCCCCCGGAGCAAACTTCCACAGGAAGACAGGACAATTTCATACTAACACTATGGCCTGTAGTCTCGCCCCATACGAGCGCCGTGTTATCGAACTGCTCCGCAACTCCAAGGACAAGCGCGCACGAAAGCTGGCCAAGAAGAGACTCGGAACCTTCGGCCGTGCGAAGAGAAAGGTCGACGAGATGACCAAGGTCATCGCTGAGAGCAGGAGAGCCGGCCACTAAATGCGGATACAATGCTACGGTGGACATTAGAAAACGATGGACATTATGGAGTAGTGCGAGGCATGCAAACGGCGCAAGGTGGGCACGGGTTCGAATGGAAAATGATGTGCTTCATGCCACACAACTGATGACTGCACTCGAAGGAAGGGTATCAGCTCCGTTGATCGGCTTTCGTATTGCTGAATGAATGTGCACTGAAAGCCAGCTGTCTCTGAAAGTGTTCCTAGTCTCAGGTGTAGCTCACATGCCCTGTCTGGGGCAAGACATTGCAGACCAACTTCGCAGTCTTCAATCAAGCTGCAAGAATTGGCGACTCAGCGCCTGAAGCTAGTTACTTGCATATCTCGCTACCGAACTCCGGCCCTTGAAGTTTTCGTTGACCGGCACAACAACAGATATCTTGGGTTCTCCCTCTTTGGCAGCCTGAGGAGCACACGATCGACAGAAGATGTGAGCAGTGAGAGGTCATCGTGGCCTACAATAAGGAAATGCGCCGCACTTCGAAAGCAATTCTCTCTCGCCGATGCCTATTTTGAAAACCAGCTGCGAGGCGCTTGGTGAGCTCATAGCAAGAGGGAGTCCCTTCGGTGCTGGTATCCCACATCTGTTAAGAGTAGGTAATTGGCACTTTCAGCCAGAGCTAGCTGCGGAAGGCATTCGCTCTCGGTCCGCCTACGTCCACCGCGCCACAGTGTACTCTGGACAAAAACCGTACGTGAACGGAACCAGCACCTCCACCTTGCAGTTGTGCAATAGCGCCAGAATGGGCAAGCTTCGCGCTGCATCAGCCTTGTGAGTAATCCACGCCCACTCCTTACCATCAGGCGTCACTGATCTGCAATAGCTACCCCGGGGCGACCACTCAAAAGACACTGTCGTGAGTCAATTCCTTTATCTCGTGAATCACTCACTGGCATGTCGTTCGGTAGGCAGACAGGATAACTGTCCTCGTTGCGGAAGCCTTGAGGAGAGTCTCCAGGTCTTCAGTCGGCACGACATTACCAGATGCTGATAGTCTCGATACGCAAATCCACATGAAGAGCTACAGATAAGCTGCGAACACCTTGGTTTAAAAAAGGAATGGACAAGAACGCTGGACTCGTGTACAATACACCAAGTAGCATGAAGATGTTTCTACGCCGCCCGGCTCTTCGAACTGCTCCAGAATCAGCAAGCGATCCTCCTCTCACAATTATCGGTACTGTGGAATCCATTGCGTTAGCCATATCCGCATGTCGACTCCAAGATGTCAATCATCCTACCTTGTGAAATCCAATATCCTCCGCCTTCTCCCTGAAAGCTTGACGGGACATCATCAATCCATACTTGCGAATAACACCAGACTTCTTCTTGTCGCCTGTGACGCGGCTACATTCTTCACATCAGCACAAGCAGGACTTTTCACAGTCCCTCGTCGAATCTTGTCTTGGCATTCCTACGATTCACTTACCAGCCCCTGGAGCCCCTGCCGTAGTTGCGTGGACGCGAGTAGTAGACCGTGTCGTGCGACATATTGGATGTAGGTCGTCTTTTCTTTTTTTCTGCTGTCGAGAGATGAGGTCGATGATTTCGAGGTGTGGTAGACAAGGGAAAGAGGACTTGGCTGACACCTTGATGGGCTTGCTTCCATCAAGGTCATGCTTTCGCTGCATGCCATCGTGGCTCAATCTCCCTTCTATCGCTCCAGAGTCATGCTTGCTATCTTACAGCGGAAGAAACACGTATTGTGAAGAACGTTGCTTCACTCGCCTTGCTCATCTCCAATCTTCTCCAGCTTGCCCATGGCTCTCTTCTCACCACTCTCACCAAACAACCGTAATCGGTCTATCCGCGTCTTCTCCGCATCGCCATCGCCGTCTGCAACGAAGACCGTCACGCTGCTGATGTTTTGGAACTTGACGAAGCGAAGTTCGACTTTGGCGGTTTGGGTCTTTGAGTCCCAATCGCTTTCCTTGATCTCTATGGTTTGCGTCGCAGGTGTGTCGTCTGCTTCGTCGAACCCGAGAACGTGGCTTCGGTTCGTGTACAGGTGCAGAGTTTTCGGTCGCATGACATCTTCGCTGTCGCCGGGAATGCTAGTGATGTGCACAGAGTGTAGCTTGAGCGTTGACTGGAATGGGATGTACAGCATCAATTGCTCGTCGGTATCGCTCTCAATCCAGTCCTTCTTCGATGCAGCAGCCCCCTTTCCCTTCGCGTCTAACGTGCTGGGCTTGCTGCCCTCGAATACGGTTCTCTTGTCTCCTGCCTCCCCATCCAGGTTCAAGAAGTCCAGACCCAGAACATCGACTTGATCTGTGATGTCCCCATAACTCCTCGGCGCAGCTGCTCCTGTCCATCTTGCTCCATTACCGCTTCCACTTGACTCTGCAACACCACCTGCATCCTCCATCTGACTTGCCTCTTGTGCGAGTTGCTTCACAGCTGAATCCAGGCCCTTTGGATCAGCTCCCTTGATCCTCTTCGTCTCTCTTCCTCCCTTGAAGATCAGGAACGTAGGCATTGCCGTTATGTTGTACGTTTGCGCAATTTCTTTCTGCGCATCGGTGTCGACTTTGGTGAAGGTGATCTGATTTGGGCGGGAGAGTTGAGAGGAGAGCTGTTCGTAGACGGGAGCGATGGCTTTGCATGGTCCACACCAGGTTGCCCAAAAGTCTGTCACAACGATGCGAGAGGAGGAGAGGATCTGGGAGAAGTGGGAAGGCGAGGTTATGTCAACGGTTTTTGACATGTTGGCGGTGGTTGTCCTGGCTATCGGGGGTGTATGTTGATGTTCAGGTGTTTCTTTGGTCGTGGTGGGGGCAAGACTCGGGAGTTGATGATGGTGGGGCGAAGAAGCACAGGCCTGAGATGCGATCAGTCAGCTGCTGTTTGCTTGTGACGTTGACCTGCCGCCTGCAGTACTACTTTCATTGACCTCTTGTACTTTTGGCCTCATCAATTCCTAATCAATCAGCAAACGAAACGCCCTTCGAGTCACGCCGCGAACACCTCGGAACATGTCTACAGCTCGTCAATAGGTTTCAAAGAGATGTCCGAACTTGGTCGCCGACTTGACGGACTGCAACTAACCAAGAGCGAACGACTGATCGTCGTTGCCTTGAGCTACCTATACTGCGCACCACTCGTATACGCAAAGTGTCAGCAGCTGTTTCCCTGGATTCGTGGATTGGCGCAACGAGATACAGAAAGAGCAGCTCGGAGGCGGGCACTGCTTGAGGAATTCCGGCCGGGAAGAGCACGCGACTAGCCACTACCTACATTTTCCAGAAAGAGAGTACCTTGGAGAGAAGTGAACACATTGCCGAACTAGGAATCGGGACCAGCTCCACGAGGACGATGGCCTCACACGTATATGTCGTGGACTCTGCATTCAAGAGGACGCAGATCAAGGTCACACCAAGCAAATACCTCCGCGAGGTGTTAGAAGAGGCGTGTAAGGCGAAGAAGGTCAACCCGGAGTCGTACGCTTTGAAGACGGACAAGGGCAAGACTGTCGATCTGTCACAACCCTTCAGATTATCTGGTCTGTCCGCAGGCGCCAAACTGCAACTCACACAGGCCAGTCGATCGGTTGGCGTGGTCAATGTGGCCCTACAACTACCGGAGAATGAAGGAGGGAGCAGGTTTTCGGACAAATTTCCAAGCTCGACAACTTTGTGGCAGATCTTACGAAAGTTCGAGGATGGTGTGGCAGGTCAGGCACAACGGAAGCTGAACCTTACGCAACGAGCAGTGCCTTCAAATCAATCCTCGGGCTCGGGGAGACTTGAATATGAGGCTCCACAGCTCGACATCATGGGCAGAAATTTGACTGGCGTGAAAGAGCTGCAACAGACTTTGTCGCAGCTAGGCTACAATAGCAGCAGTGTGCTGCTACGACTATCGTTCAAGAGCAGCGGTCAGCCACTGGACGAGGCTATGAAGGAAATCGAGGAATATTTCAGTATTACGCAAACGGAGGGTGTGGCAGAGAGCTCAAGTAGTGCCTCACAGGAAGCAAAGGGTGCACATGCGATGCCTGATGGAAGCATGGGTAGCGTACCGGATGCCAGCGCTGACAATGCTGGTATGCTCGTCGAAGGAGCAGCAGGCCCCGAGCCCGCTGAGCCAGATGCTCGCGACTCACCCATGATCGATGCGCCAACAGCTGAGCCGGTTACGGACGACGTGATTGCCAGTTCATCAGAGACGCAGCCCGGCACTGTGAATCCCGAACCGACACAATCGACCTCGAACAAGATCAATGGCATCTCTGTCTACCGACCTCCGTCGAGCAGCACACCAGCGGCGGCGCTACAGCAGGATGATCCAGCCGTTTTCCAGCCCACCATTGAGGGCGCCAAAGCTCACCAAGCTTCTCTTGAGCGAGCCGGGCGCAACACCCGCCTGAAGTCCGACAAGGAGCTGGAAGAAGAGGAGAAAGTGCGTCAAGAAGCTCTCTCGCGTGTCAAAGAAGTCACCGTGCGCGTGCGCTACCCAGATCAGAGCCAGATCGAAACAACTCTCACAGCCGACGACACATGCGCAGACCTGTACAACAAAGTACAGGGAACGCTAAGACACTCTAGCGAACCGTTCGAGCTGCGGACATACGGCGATAAGAACCAGAATCTGCTCCTGCCCAATTCGTCCAGCAAGCGACTGGTCAGAGATTTTGGATTCAAGGCCAAAATCCTCGTCACCATGGGCTGGGCGCAAGAAGCTTCATCGAAGGCAAGATTGGAGAAGTGTTTGAATGATCAATATGCCAGCGCGGCTCAGGAGATGAAGGTAAATCTGCAGACGCAGCAAGCCGCCAGCGAGGCGAGTCATCGTGCTGCTATGGCCAAGCCAGAGAGCAAAAGCGAGGGAGGTAGTGGTAAAGGAAAGGGAGATCTGGAGAGCAAGATGAAGAAGTTCCTTGGATTCGGGAAGAAGTGAGCAACTTGAATCAAATGTTTGGAGCTGCAAGGAACATCAAGCGAGGCATGTTGATGAGAATCGCCAGTTCTTTCACATCCTCTCGGTTTACTTCTCGGCGTGCGAGGTGTCCCGACACCGCGCTCGTGCCGACAGGGCACTGTTGAATAGGGCCATGGGATAGAACGCATGAAGTTATGAGCACTTGTGTATTCATGTAGCATAGCGTAGGCTGAGACAGGTCTAGATTCAACGCGACCTGCTCATGATATTTCTCTCGAGTATCTGCGAGTGTATAATCTAACCAGTCTTCTGAACTACATCCGAAAAAATAGGAAAGAACGCCGTATAATTATCGATCTTAGTATTATCCTGACATCTCGGAGATTTGGTGAATGGTCAACAATAAAGATTGGGATGGTGCTTCGACGATGGAGACCCGCACAAATATAGTGCATTACGAAGGTGGATATCAAGAGTTGAAGCTGTTTTCACGAAGCTTTCTGTATTCTACCAGTCCCAGCTTCCTACCGAACGAGCTCAGCGCCTTCGGTCTCTACCGTCGCGATCACGGTCCCGCCGTCGATCCCGTTCTCGGTCTCTATCGCTATCGCGATGGTGGCGGTCGCTGTCGCGTTCTCGATGCCGTCTCGAACGCTCACGATCATAATCATCATCCCTATCCCGATCTCTTCGCCGTCGCTCCTTTTCTTTCCGACGATGGTACTCCTCCTCACTCTCCTCGTCTTCCCTCTTCCTTCGATCCATGTCTCGTCTACGATCACGATCATGCCCGTCATCCCGGCGACTCTCCTTCTCCCGCCTCCTCTCCTTCTTCTCGAATTCAGCCTCATACCTCTCCCTCTCATCCCTTTCTTTCTTCTGCTGCAGTTCATCCTCGGTATACATCTTCCCCGTCTTCTTGTCCTTGACCAAGACCGGGTTGTAAATCTTCACTTCTTTTCCTCTCCCGCCTTTGCCCCAAGCGCCCATTTCTGCCGCCAAAGCAGCGTCCTCTTTCGCGCCGATTCCGAGCAGATTTGCGCGCCGTTCGGGGAGTTTATTGTCGTCTTTCGGGAGCCTTTTGCCTTTCTGAGAACCTATCCCTTCGCCTTCTTTCCAGCCCATACCGCGCAAAAGAGCGGCGCCAAATTGTTCCACGGGGACGCGGGCGTAGTCGTCCAGTGTGGACATGTCCGGAGCACCCTCATAGTCGTTCCGAAAAGCATCTTCCTCGGTCACGATTGTCAGGCTTTTGTCCTGTGTGGTTCTTCCCAAGAGGGCGTCCATAGCCAGTTCGTCTTCCGTTTTCCGGCGAGCTGGAGGTTCTTGCGCTGCTGGCTCCGGCTGCTCACTCTCGGGCACCTCCTCTGCCCTGCTTGCTTCCTCTCCTCCATCTTCCTCTCCCTTCTTGAACAGATTCAGGCCAAATCCAGGCTTCTTCGCCACATCAGCTGCTTCCACAGCCTTCATTCTCTGGTCCGCATCCACATCTCCGTTTGCGCCATCTGGCAGTCCACTCTTCTGCCTTCTCCTCTTGTTGGCAGCCTCTCTCCAATCGCGATTCGCCTGCTTCGCAATAACCAGGGGCCCTTGGTCTTCTTTCCGTTTCTCGTCGATCGCGCCTCCGGCTTTCTTGTCGAAATGCGACACGGTTTCCGAGCGGCCATATTCGTTGTCTTCGTCTTCCTCCTCTTGGAGAGCGGCGTGAGAGCGCTTCACGCCGTTGATGGGCTTGTTGCGCCCGTTGAGAGCGAGCGATATCTTGCCGCTCATGATTTGGAGGGTTGAAAGGAAAAGTTTGGTGTTGGACGGAATGTTGCTGCTTGACCTGCCGTCGGTGGAAGGCACTGCATGACTCGCGTTGGAAGCGGAATTAAGCCGCACACTTTACCGTGACACCAGTAAAATTCACGATGCTCGGCTACCTTCTCAAGTTTCTCTTTCCACGAGACTGGACGGATTGAAGATTCGGCTCCGCCGACAAAGAAATATTCTCAACTAACTTAGGAGGTAGATTAATACTCAAGTCGCTACTACTACTTATTAGTACTTGAGAGACCTATCACAGCTATCGAAGGTACGATCGAGAGTATAATAGCTTACACGGCCTTATAAGGTATACGGTTAGGGTGAGGTAAGAGCATTGTCTAGTGGGCTTCTTCCCTTAGGATACTAGTCTCCTTAGTTCCCGACTCCTCCTTCTCTTTCGCGATTTCTCTGTCATACTAGCACGATAGTAACACGATACCTCTCCCGTAATACTACCCTCTATAGGTCCGAAGGTAACTCTATACTCGATATGCCGAAAGAAGAAAATAAAATGTGGCGCTAAACGAACATGTCTAACACTATACCTAGAGAGCTTACGCAGCATGCCGGAGGCACGACCAAGTATACGGCAAGAACTAATACGGATACGAATTAAAGTCTCCTCTACCTAGTACTAGAATGAAGTACGATTACTGTAGTGTATCCGATATCAAGACCTTGCGGTATATCCTCGCACAATTGAACTGCTGCTCCCCGTCCGTTTACTAATGCTTTCAGGTATAATAGCACTCATAGATATAGACTACGCAAAGTTCAAATCCCGAAGTCCTAGTTACAAAGCAAGCATCCGCGATTATAGAGGCCGAAAAGCGACATATACCAAATATACGGATATTGCCTATAAGGCGTGCCAGACTAGGAGAAGAATAAGGTATGTGGCGAGGGAAGCAATATTGATACGGACCCAAAGTCGATTTCTTCTCTCAACTCTCCTCCTTCAACTGTACTAGACCACCACCGACAAGAGAACCGGACCGCATGACGGGTCAACCAACCATGGCTGAGGAACCACCAAAGCGTCAACGCAGATCGACATCGAGGAACACTTTAGATCAGAAGATGATGCAGGAGTGAGGGCGAGCCAGCTCTCACTTTCCGTCAGAACTCCCCTCGTAAGACAACCTATCAAATCCGATCCAAGGAAGCGCGACGCAGCAAAATCACGAACAAGACGACGAAGAGCCAGTTAGCTCTTGGCGAGAGAGCAGAGAGGAGGACAGGAAGCACTGGGACGAACGGAAAACGCAGCAAAGCTGCAATTAGAGGATCCATACCAAATGCCGGATCTCAGGCGTAGTACCGAAACGGAAGAGTGCGCAAACACTGGCTCGTGGACGGCAACATCTCGCTCCAGTCGCCGGGAGTATCGGTCCACCGACTCTTTGAATGAATGGGTCAGCGGCCAACATCATTCCCAACTCCCTCAGCAATGACTCCCATTATCGCATACAAGCAGCATACCTCGGTGGCACAGCAGACATCGATCGGTCACAGCCAGTATGTAAGATGCACGATGCTCGGATATCGTACATGTACTTTTCTATTTACCACGAGACTTGGACGAATTTCGTTCGTTAGACAACGTATCAGGAGTCGTTTGTCTTTGTCATTGAGACAATAATGCTGCATCTTCCATTCCAGCCCCTCTGCCAGCATCAATTGGGAGGCCAAAGGAAAAGAGTAGTATCGGCTTTGTTAGTTTCACCTCACATCGCGATACCATGCTCACCATGAGTCGCACATGCGCATTTCCATCGTGATGTCTACGATCTTCCCCCACCAGCAACCCCGCCCCGCCCAGCTCAGCGCATATGCGTCTCAAGAAGCGCGAGCGTCGCCATGGATGCCCGACCGCCAGCGGTACACCCACTCGAGAGAGATCGGAAACGTCGAATCATGCCGCACATTCGAAGCGCCATCGCGATTCAAATACCACCAAACACCAGTTCCCTTCTGTCTCAGCCTTCTGCAACGAATGACGCCGATGTGTCTCTCTCACGCGACACGTTGTTCTGGCGGCGTGTCGTGAGGCGATATATCAATCCCACGATTGTATGAAGTAGGAGACTGGCTTGCGCCACAATTGTGTTTGATGGCCTGAACCGTCCAACTCCATTAGCAGACCAGCAGGCGGGAACTCTGCTGCCTTTTGGCCTGTGCCTGCGGGGCCTGGTTGTTGCTTCCATGCCCGCTTTGGGATGCCCTGGCTTCGTGGCCTCGTCCAATGGCAATGCAATCCTGGCTTGAGGACCGCATACAGACTTTGGGCCGCGTGGAGTTGTCGTCAACCTCAGGTATCTCTTCTGATGGAAATGTCACGACCTTGACATTTTCGATGACCTGCAGTACGGCGGATTCTTTTCGTCGAGCCGGACGTTGGATTTTTTGTTGAGTCGATTGACGCGCAGAACCAATAGAAGTCTCCTTCCAATGGTCACGCGACAATATTGGACATTTGCTCCAAGGACAGTAGAACTAGGAGGGCATGCTTTCGATATATTTGGGGCCCCAGAAGCAAGGCTGTCAGCCTATTACCATAACCAGGAATAGCCATCTCCGAAAACAGCTGCTGCTAAGGGCAAATCACGTGGCTGGATGAGACGGCGAATAGCTGGACAGGACGTTCAGAGTGCTTACCATCCGCAATGATGTGTCCAACTCATCAATCATAGAAGATGAAGTCAGCTCCAGGAATACAGACTAATCCATCTCATAGGAGCCAGGTTCTCCGCATCGCGACAGCATCCGGACGATCAATGCTTGACCTGACAGCTGTGCAAGGTAGAACAACTCTCCGCTTTCGTGCCTGAACTTGGTCGGATCCATTGGCGTAGCTACCGGGGTATACCTACATAGCTCATGCCAGCACGGCCTGCTCCGAGAGCGAAGAGCCCAAGAGCTTGCCCTGACAGCTGACAGGCGGAAAGCCCGAAGCAATTTGGTGCCCTCGGGGAACAAATTCCATTGTTCATGGGTCGCTATTGAATTCCATCCCGTGATAGCCATGTGGACAGTTGGCAGATGAAGTCATGATCTCCAGACCAGCGGCAGGGAAGACACCTTCAAGCTTGGCTGAGCACCCAGTACTGGTCAGCCCGTCTTGAGAGTCGACATTCTCCAAGGACATCGTGCAGTCCACAGCCAGGCAAGACGCCTCCCCTTCTCAGCGGGCATCAAGGCATCAGACTTAGCTCCATGCTGTTACTCATCCGGGCTCAGGAAAGCTTTGTCAAGCGATGTCGGCGAGAGATGTCGGCTGCAATGGCATCAGTTACCAGTACGGCCGCACAGAAGGTGTTGTGTAGCGACACTACTAGGGCATCTTCAACAGGTCCAGATCAGGTTTCGGTGTTCGTAGATCCCTCACTCAAAGGAAAAGGACCGCAAGGCGAATACGACAGCCTTTGGAGGAAACATTGTCATCCTGGCCGACACGACCTTTGGATCTTTCTGCATGTCAGCCCGTAGACAACAACGACCGCACCGCCATCCAGGCAGTCGGAATGTAATCGGCCCAGGTCACGGACGCGGCGATCGTGAAGTCGAACCGCGCACAAGGTAATCGGCACCGCACAATAGCTGGAGCGTCCCGATTGACGAATCTGGCTTGTTGAGGCCAGCAAAACCTTGACGTCCGGTCCGGAAGTCTGCGGTATCAGCAAGCCGACGTTGGATGACAACGGCCAGCAGTGCCTAGGTATGTGGCGAATGGAACTCTGTGGCTTCCCCGCCCGAGACTCCGGCTTGGGTGAAGAAAACGGGGGTCCAAACAAGAAGACAAGGACGGCAACGACCAACGTGTGTGTCTCACTCTGAGATGGGCGACCGGTTGACAGTGATGAGGCGTGGTGTTCCTGAATGCTCCGACCGGTATCCAACGGCTTTCGCTCCTCCTCGTCCGAAGCGTTCTTCCTGGTACACGCGCAGCATGTGATGACGAATGGGCTGTACCTGCGTTTGTCACATGTACCTGCAGAGGCACATGCAGGTACAGAGGGTGTCGAGTGGACACAGCAAAGCACAGCGTCACCGAGGTCTGTCGAGCTGCAACACGCAGGAGAAAAAGCAGAGCGACCGCGATTATTCCTGCAAGACCGTACGCCTCTTGCGCTGTTCGCTCCGGTGCAAGATGCAGAAATGTGCAGTGATCTCTTCCCGAAGTGTACTACCTGAACCTGGAAAGGTCATTCTTCCTCTCAGCCAGCCAGAGTGGTATTTACGCCAAGGATAGCAACGTGCCCGTTCAGCCAAAAAGACTATTGCGTGGACATAGCTTCCTGCGGACCTGCGGGAGCATCCCGTGTTCCCACATGTTGCACGTCTCAGGGACTTTGGGAGCTCTCCAGCGAGTTTGCCACCTCAAACCACTCGACAAGCAGAATGTGGAAGGTCATGGAAGGTCAGTAGTGATATCTCCGCCTAGCACGTGCTTAGACCTCGACACGTATCACAGGTGGCCTTTGCGGTCCAAGCGAGGTTGTAGCGAGTACGGTGAGGTGAGAGAGCAGCGCTCGTGGACACCCCAGTCCCTTCTACGACTCACAATTGCCGGCTTCTGGAAGGCCTCGTCACAGTGGTGATAAGTCGGTAGTTCGGGGCTGCGAAGACCCTCGTCCGACGCTTCGAGGTATCCCAGTCGCTGATGCGGCCTCGCGAAGAGGTCGGCGGGGTGCGCGCCAAAGTTCTCAACGATAGAACGCCTCGCGAGATCGGAATAGTCATCTCCGGGCTAGAATCGCATCCTGCGATAGGGCGCATGTGAAGAGGTCATGCTAGCTGGTGGTCGATGAAGTGCAGACTGCCGCGAAGTAGAGACGTACCCAGAGCCGCGGTGGCGGCGTAGTGCAAGCCACCGTAACCGGCAACTCGTCACTGGGATATACAAGTGACAAAACGATCTTACAGGGTCGGGAATTCTCAATTTCGTTTACGGTCGATCGTTGCTGATAGGAAAAGTCTTATCAGGCAGGTCGCGACGGCGGAAAGTAAGCTGTATTTCCCCGGGGTCCAACATCGGGTGGCTCGGGACTAAACACGGGAGCGAGAGCCGGCTGGATCCAGATGCTGGCCGCTCGTACGCTCTCTTGATGAGCTTGCCCAGACTTTGGTGATTGGGGAAACGCGAACCGGGCCCTTTGGGACGAAGAAGCCGTGGTTGTGCTTGCCGAGGCTGTCGAAGAGCGTTGTAGGCGTGAACCCTCGATGAATATCGATTGAGCAGAAACGTGCATTTGTGGAGTTGCAGAGGCTGGCCCAATGTGAAAGGCAAGCCATGGCGGGCAGCATGATTACAGAGCTGCATGGAACAGCCGCAGAGAAGAGCTGTGACAGCTAACGCCCGTAGATAGCTGCATCGAAAGGACGCGGTGCCAGGTACGAAACGCGGCTATGAAGAGAGAGCTCTTGTGATCGATCCTTTCCTCCTTCGCGTTCCTCTCCGAGTAGCCGGCTTGCAGACGCGTACCTGCAGTAGTTCTGCATGCGGAAGTCGACGCCTCGAATGGACGCGGGACAATCCTATCTCGGGGGGTGTTGTTTCTGTTTGGAAGCTCGCGGTCATGGCGCAGATCGAAGCGGCATTGAGTTCGATTGTGCAGCTTGCATTAGCCGTGACCATGCTAAACATAAGATGGCGCATGATTGGGCATCAGCACCCGCAAAAGGCTCTGCTGCTGGTAAGGCTTCTCATACGGGTGTTGTTGAAGGGGCGGAACAAGATGTGCAGAAGGGGACAGCGACGTCGGGACAACGACGCCAGGGCAACTGTCGTGACCAAGTTGCGGTGTCGTCGGGTGGAGTAGTCCTGTACACGCACACACGTCTTCTCGAAGGCGATCGCCTTCTAGTTGATACAGAGTCTCGGAAGCGGGTGGGTCTGGGAAGAATCATGGTGCAGAGGGATTCGCGTTGCTTGGAGAGCACAGAGGCACAGAGGCAAGGCAAGAGAGGGCGCGCGTGTGCTGGGTGCTGCGTGCGTCACGGTCACGGGGTGAAACGATGGCGTGGGGAAGGTGGCAATGGCAAGGCAGGCGCAAGGCAAGCGCAAGGCAGCAGTCCGTCCCGATGCCGTCCCGCACCCGCTGTGCGCTGACCGCCGTCGGCCTGGAAGGCGGGAAGACGGTGCCTGCGTTAGGTCGTCGTCGCCTGTTTCATCTCAACACCGCTGTCGTGCCACGGCCCATCTGCCTGCACCCCCAGCACCGCGTGGAACAGCACTTCTGGCCGCTCTTCTCGCGACGAGAATCGGTACAGCACTAGCAGCAGCAGCAGAGCGCGTGAGAGCTTGCACCATATGCCCCCCGATGGATTCGCAGTGCATTTACAATCGGTGGATTTGCAACGGATTTGCAGCGGATTGGCAGCGTACAGACCAGACGCGTCGCATTTGACTCGCCTCTCGCAGCACGACGCTCGCCTCATGTTGCGGAGGACCGCGGTCGAGCGGCCGTGATCAGCCATGGCAGAAGGAAACATGTCCAGTGGGAGCGTGTGCAGTAGTCGGTCATACACCTGTCCTGCATGCGTCTCAAAGTCAGCCGAGGCCACCGACGGCCTTGATGCTGGCGTGCGAAGGGCTATTGGAAGAAGGTGCTGGCCCATGTCTGCGAGGTAGGACAGCTCGTCCAGCGAATCCAGGGTGGCAGCGTGAGTACTGTCTTGACTGTAAGCGTGAGTGCTACGTGGCGGCGGTTACTGCCAGTGTGTGAGAGGTGTCCGGCAATCAAGTTATTGTCGATTGGAGGCGGTGCCGGATGGATGGCGATGGAGAGCGATGGAGAGCGATGGATAGGCTGATGGTGGCGCCGCAGTCTGGCCACTGAAGTGCGAAAGCGGCATCTCAGCGTTCAGGCGGAGAGGGCATCACAGCACAGCCCAGCACGGCACAGCCCAGCCCAGCACAGCACAGAAGAGCGACGCGCCCAGGCACAGAAGAGCGACGCGCCCAGGCACAGAGGGAGGACGTTGGCGGTGCATGCATTGCCATGCAGGCGGACAGAAGCACGGAATCAATAGTGTACGTTTGATGCACAGGAAGGCGGCGACGAGACGCGACGAGACGAGAGGAGAGGAGACGGCGCAACGAATGGGATGGCTCGTCGTCACTGTGCAGCTGGTGACAGACAGAGGTGCCGGAGATGCAGCCTGTGCCTGGCCTGACCTGACCTGACCTGGCCGTGGACTATTGCGATTGAATCAGCAACGCAACGCCGCCCGCCGCGGGGGACGAGAGTCGTGAAGCGTTTGAGAGTCGGCGAGCTGCAGCGAGTGCGAGTGCGAGTGCTCGTGTCGCGGCAGCACACACACAGCATGTGCCGTGCAGACAGCGCAGTAGGAGGTAGAGTAGGAAGTAGGGAGTGGTGAGTGCGAGCGAGAGACGGAGGGAGAGTAGTGTGTGTGAGTATGAGAGTGAGTAGTGTGCGTGTGAGAGTGATGAGTGAGTGCGTGGTGTGGGTGGGACGACGACTTCTGACCAGTGCCGGGCGCCAGATGCAGGCCCTGGAGCGGGAGTGGACGAGGAGGGCAGCCAACCACGGGCGTCGGGGCGGATGGATGGACTAGCGCGACGAGCCGGGCGTGCCTGGCATTAGTCGTGCATGTCTAGCGAGGACAAGCGCAGGCAAGCGCAGGCCGGGGGGGGAGGGGGGGCGATGTACCTGCAGGCGTAGCGCCGCCGTACGGGTTGGATGGAAAGAGGATGTGATGTGTGTGTAGCTAGCTAGTTCCATTGTAGGTCCGTCACAGGTGGAAGACGCTGTCGAGTCCATGGGACGACTGCACAGCCCCAGCAACGCTCCCGACAGTCCCTACACGCTACACGCTACGCTATACACCCGCTCCGCTCCACGCTACACGCTACACACTACCTTATCTGCCCTGGGGGCCAGTCCCGAATCGCGCTGCAGCGCTGCAGAGCCACCCACGGCCACGCCTGCGCGGGTGCCCGTCTCTGCGCTGCCGCCGATCGGTCTCTATCGCCGGCCCTCCCCATCAAATCGTCCTGCGCCGGGTCCAGGGTTCGTCTTAAACTTGTCTGTTCGTTCCATTCTTGCACCTGCCCTCTCTCGTGGTCTTGTGCACTGCGACTTCGTCATCTCACCCCTTCCACTTCCTTCTCATATCAATTCCCCCTCCACTCCCTTCACACGTTCCCTCCCACCCCAAGGTCCCCATTCGATCTGTGCTGTGCGCCCATAGCAAGACCGCCTGGTCCTTCGTCACTCTTTAGGAACCATCCTGCCACACTTAACACCGCCTGTATCACCACGTCCGAGGAAAAAAAAAACAAACCAACTCGAAACACGCTCACCACAGCACGTCGACTTCCACCTCCACACCCATCCCGACACCCTGATCCACCGAGGGACCACCACCAGCAGCACCACGACGACCACCACCAGCACCAGCACCATCACCACCACCACCATCATCACCGGCCATCGCCTCATTGTCCTTCCTTGCGACTCTTCCGCCATCTGTATTGTACCACCATCGTCCGTGTACAGTGTCACTACTATCAGCCACCGAACCGTCTAATCCTATCCTGTGTCGGAGCATTTCTTGCATGTTCCGAGCCGACGTGAAACCACTTCACCACCACCACCAAGGGAGAATATCTGGTCAGTTACCGCCGGTAGCGACTGCGGTCCGCACCTGCACCTTCCACTCTTTCGCCCGCTGACTCCTGCTCCCACTCACCAAGGCAGCAGCACCCCGCCATGGAGTACGCACAAACGACGCCGCCAATGGGCCAGTCCCCATTCTTCTACTACAACCCCGAGCCGAGCCCGGACAACCGCCAGCATGGCCACTTCACTCCTCACCCAAACCACCCTCACGCACCCCCAATGGCCATCGTGCCCTCGAGTCCGGAGCATCTGATGCACTTTCAGCACCACCCCGTCTACCACCGCCCGCAATCTGCCGGCCCTCATGTACACTACCTCCCGCAGCCCATGTACGGCCCGCCCATGCTTACCCCCGATGCTTCCCCGCGCCAGCACCAGAAGCCCACCTTCGTTCTCGCACACCACGAGCTCCAGGGCGGCCTCATGTTGAACACCGAATGCAATACTCATTTCCCAGCGACTCCCACCCTCTCGGCATCCGGCTCCTTCAGCTCCGTCTCCACCCCGCCATCCACCTGCGACCTCCTTCCCACACCCGCCGACGGCCAGACCGTCTTCTTCGCAAAGCCCGCCATCTTTGTGCAACCCGCAGTCAAGCAAGGGTGTGAAGAGGAGGTCTTTTCCGAAGTACTCGCGGGCGGCGACTGGACTCGTCCGGGCTCACCTCCCATGACCCCCGTCTTCCTGCACCACAACTCGGTCCCATCAGCGAGCGGCAGCACCTACGAGGTCGCGACCGGCTCCGCTCAGCCCTCGCCTTCTCCCTCTCCCGTGCCACGATCGGTGGCATCCGAGCAAGACGTCTGCGATCCACGCGACCTCACGGTGGGCAACTCGCCCGCTGCCGAATACCAAGGGAAGCCCGAGGAGCACCCGGTCTTCATTGCCGCGCCAACCGAGCTTATCAACTACGGTGGCATGCCGCAGTTTGAGCCAATCTTCGAGCTGGACCACGAGGACGAATTTTCGGGCATGGTCGCATATGCCCAGTCGGACATCCACTACAACGGCAGCAAGCGTCAGCGTCTCGAGCCGGTGCCTAGTCTCATCGAGGACGACGGCTTCTTCAGCGACGAGTTCAGTGAGGATGACATGGCGCGAGGTACCGCTTACTCCCCCCCTCTTTCCGACTTCTCTGTGCCCGAGAACTCGGAAGCTGCCAAGCCCAAGCGCAAGAACTCCAAGAAGTCCGAGCCGGTCTACACCACCGCCCAATCGACCACCACCCAGCAACCATCCACGGCTCCCACGTCGGCAGCCCCAAGCACAACGTCCGCCGACGCCAATGAGTCCGCTGCACCCACCTCAGCCCAGAGCAGCAACATCTCCCGTCGCGGCCGCAAGCAGTCCTTGACCGATGACCCTTCCAAGACGTTTGTCTGCACTCTCTGCAGCCGCCGCTTCCGTCGACAGGAACACTTGAAGCGTCACTACCGCTCTCTCCACACACACGAGAAGCCGTTCGAATGCTCCGACTGCGGCAAGAAGTTCTCTCGCTCAGACAACCTGAGTCAGCACCAGAGGACCCACGGCGCTGGCACCATGGTCATGGGTGTCCTCACCCAGCCTGGTGAGCCTCAGATGGCACCAGCACCCATCGAGTCGGTCAATGGCGGCGACGCCGGCAGCCTGATCCGCCCTAAGCAGGAGCAGTCATATCCTCCTCCACATCAGTACGCCCAACAACACCGCGTCAGCCCGGACGCCCATGAGCTCGGCTCGATGCTGTTCGACGTGACTGCTCAGGTGGCCGGATCGAGCTCCAGCAGCGTTGGCTACTCGGATGGTGACTACAGCCCCAACTCGGACCGCAAGCCGGCACCAAAGAAGAGAAAGCAGGAGGAGTAGATTTCGTTTGCTGCCTCTCTCTTACTTGCTGCTGTGGCCGCTGCTCTCGGGGCAGACATGGATCATGAAACAAGTTAATGTCACCAAAAGTCAGCAACGGGATGTTTGTGTTGATACGAAAAGTTACGCAGTCACGCTGGGAATTATAAAAATTGGGATAGCTGCCACTGCCGGAAAAGGGGTGCCTGCTATGGGATGGTTTCACTTCGACCACTTACTTCGATTCCACGGCTTGAACAGGACGACGCCTTGCACTTTACTGCCTTTCTCTGGACATTGTTTTATTTTCTTTTCGCGCCCTTGCTTGTATTGTTTCTGTACTAATAATATTCTACAACTGTCTGTATGGAGGCGATCAACAACTTTTTGAGGATCCGGCTTGGGGGAAAACATATTTGCAGGCGCGCGCATCAGCCCTTGTACTTTGTTCTTGTGCTCGCTTGGTTGCTGGCGCTACTTCGCTGTATATTATTCGAAATTTCCTTTGTCTTGGCTTTCTCTTCGACAGGGTTTGAGAGCCTTCGCAGAAGGCTCTTGTCCATCATGACAGCAAGCGGCACGCAGCACCACGTCTTGCTCGATCTGTTCCATCCCTCCTACGCCGGTCGAGGAGTCGACAGAGGGGCAAGAGTGGTCTGCTCTGGCCGGCTATGGATGGGAGGGGCTGTCTGTATGTAGTCCACCCGCTGTACCATAGAAGGGAGAAGGGAAAATGTCTGTCGTTCAACCAACACCATCAACCATCATTCTCCCTAACCATGCCGTGATTGCCGTCATTGTACTGCTTCCTACTACATGCCCTACCCAATTCTACCGTCGATGTGAAGATGCCCACCTCATCTGCTTGCCATCATCACCCCACGGACCCTCGAAGTTGCAGAGCCAAGAGAGCCCGCCGGACGTCACTGCCGCCACCGTTCGGTCTGGCTGGCTGTTCCTTGCGAGTCAGTTACCGCTCCTAATACGTGCTAGTGTCGCCCTCGCGTATCGTATATGTATTGCTCATCATCACCGGCACCGCTTGGCTTGGAAACCTGGAACGCGAGGGTCTTGAAGAAGCCAAGCCAGGGCAAACCGCGCGTGGCAGCCCAACAACCAGTTTGCCAGTGTCGTGCATGATGATGATAATAATAATAATAATAAAAAAAAAGGGACTGTCGGTCGGTGCATGAATCTTGTCCATCATACGCAAGGTTTTCTGATACGGGTGTGTATCACGTATGCACATGCGACCGCCATGGCACCGGATAGCGGATGGCGGATGGCGGATGGCGGGTGTAGGTTGTCGGCTTGTCTCACAGGTGTGTGTCTGCGAGATGTACATTCACAATATGGGATTTGGGGGGTAATGGAGGCTTGAGACTTGTCCATCTGAATGAGGGAAGAATGGATGGATGGAGTCGGTATGGATACCTGAGTCAGGTCCCCTCCGCTTCGTGGTGTTCGGTCGGTACGTTCACTGAACCACAGCCACAGCCGAGGATGATGGAAGTCCACAACCCTCCTTGACTACCTGATTCGACAATTTGTTGGAGCGCTGATGGACGGATCGCCAGACATGGCGATTCAAGACTCGGCGTCCCCCGCGATGCGTTGTGTGAATCATAATAATGGGTAATGCAAAGCCGATTGACAATGATTGTCTGCGGTGCCTGTATGTAGAGTCCAGGGGAGATGCTGCTGCTGCTGCTGCTGCTGCAGAGACGTTGTGAAGGTGAGGTGGTGGTGCTGTGGTGGTGGTGAGGTTTCTTTGGTTCCAGAAAGGGCCACAGCCAGGCTAGATGGACGGTGGGTCGTGTTGCTATTCATGGATACCGTACCTTACTGTGTTACCTTACCGTGCCGCCGTTCACATCTGTGCATTAATTAGGATCATGCGACCAAGGAGAATAGACTTTCCTGCTGTCGGTTTCCACAGTCGTCGGTTCCTGTTCTGGAACGGCGATCTGGCTTCGTCAGGGGCAGTAGTAGTATCCCCTCCTCTCACTTTCTGTCTGCCTGAGGCCATCATCCGCCAGCCCTGGTACTTTGTTCTCTTCTCTTCCTTGCTCGCCGCCGTAACGCCAACTTGCTGTGACCTGCCTGCCTGACTCTCTTGCTCGCCTTCACCTTGCGACATCACCTCGCGACATCACCTTGGCAATCTTCTTGGCAGCGTGATAGTATCAATCCAGCACACTTCGAACACGGAGTATCTGGGTGGACTGCGACTCAGACACTTGTCCGGTAGAATCACGCGACGCGTGTGAAGGCTGCTCCGAATGTCATGGACAAGGACTGCATGTGATGCCTACCTCGGCGATTAATTGGCGGACATCAGTATGTGCTAATGGAGACATCGCAGCCATTTCGCGCGTACTAGGATTGCGGATACCAGGAGCTGTTGTCCCAACAGTGAAGGCGACGACGTCGAAGAGCGAACCTGGGCACGCAGCGCTTCTCTCTTTGACCCTTTTCCATGGCCGAACTCTTGATCATCTGATCTACGCCATGCTGCGGTTCTAACCAGCCCACCAGCCGGACATACACATCGCCTCACACAGGTTCTCCGTCATCCAACACTCCGAGCTCTCTCCAGTTGCCTCCCCCGATGGAAGCCCTCCATCTCCGCCCTCTGTTCCTTCCAGATAGCTTTCAACACCGGATCATGACTCGGGTCCCCATCCCAATACTTGGCATGAAAACTCCTCGCCCCGCCCCTCCAATCTTTCTCCGTCGGCCAGTTCACATTCCAGCCATACCACAACGGTCTCCACGGCATATTCCCATCCTGCCGATGTGCGTAGTTCAGGAGATTCTGCTCTGGGAATGTCGGGTCAAAACGCCCCGGCAGGGAAAGCAGGGAGACGTAGTAATCGAACAACGGAATCGAGGGCGTGAAGACGAAGAAGCCGCAATTGAGATAGGAAAGACTCGTAGGCGGCGGGTATTCGTGATCGTAACCCCAATAATCAGCATGCGTAGCGAACAGATAAGTCCTCGGAAGCGGGGCCTCGTCTTCCTTGATGGCTTCCTGGTGCGGCAACGTAGCCTGCGTGAGCGTCGCTTCGTCGAAGAAGACCCCATCCAGAGGCGCGGTGACGAGCATATCCGCGTCGATGAAGCAGATTTTGCTGTATTGTGTCAACTGGAAGAGTCGGAGCTTGGTCATGACGTCTTGCCATCGCGGGTTTCCCTGTTGGACCCAGCCATTGTCGAGCTTCTCCACGAGGACGATGGTGGCGCCTTCGGATTTGAGGATGGTGCGCTTGCGGAGGGAGACGTCGCGGGTGCAGAGGACGAGGAAGGGGATGGAGTTGTTGGTGCCGGCGGATCTGCTGTGGAGGAGCTGGTAGGCGAGGACGCGGGTGCCGATGAAGTAGCCGTCGTCGGCGTCGTCGATGGCGGCGGATTCGGCGTCGGTCTCTTTCCTGCCGGGATTCGCGTTGGCGGCGAGGAAGGTTGCGAAGGCTACCTTGTGGGTCTGGAGGACTTTCTGGTGGGTTGTTTGGGGGTCTTCTGGTGCTAATGATGCTGCTGCTGCTGCCGCTGCGTTTCCCTTCGAGGCTGCCAAAGTTGTTCCTTTTCGGTGGGTGAGGCTCGAAGGGAGGAATTGGGCTGATCTGTGGTGGGTTTGCTTCAGGGAGAGGGTGAGGAGCGCGGAGGCGAGGAAGAGGAAGATGCAAAGACCGACGGTCCTTGGGTTTGCGGCTGTCATGACGGGATGGACATCTTGGTGAGGGAAGGGAGGAAACGGCTGAGATGCTGAGGAGGAGTTTAGCAAAGGTGGTGGTGGCATTCCAGAGATAGGCGCGTGATGGCCGAGAGGGATGTGTGTGACATGCCAGGTGTTGCACTGTCGCAGTAGACATGTTCTTCTTGGCAGATGGGCTTTCACATGCCAACGAGCTAGATGAGATGGATGGAGTGATCGAGCATCGGCGAGCCGTCTTCCCGTCGTGTCAGGAGAGTGTGGTACGCTTTCGCCTGCCAACGGTTTCCGCTCCCTTCCACCCTAGCACAGCTAGCCTAGATGACCGCGCATCGCCCTCTCGCCTTCGTCCTCTCCCTCCCTTCTCTGCCTGCATACATGCATGTGAGTGAATGAAGGGCGTCGACGGTGAATCGTCGTCGACGGCCCGGCGGGGGTCAGGCTCGGTTTCGTCTTGCTGGACCCCACGCGCGTGGGAGCAGCCCTGGCAATGCAGTGACATGGCCCCGTCTCCTGTTGGGCCGCAGCTGGGAGGTGACTACTGACTACTGACTACTGACTACTGGCATTACGACTGATGGAATGACTTGGCCGAATAATAATTCTGCCGGTACACCGCAGTCTGCAGCGATGCGTTTGGCTGCTGCAGATGGAACGCCGTGGTTGGACTGATTAGCGCCGAACTTTTGACGCTGCGCAGCGCAGATGCCTATGCTGTCGTGGCCGGACCCTCACGACACTGCACTCCCCATTCTCCCACCATCGCCGCCGCCGCCGCCGCCGCCCACTCCGCCCCCAGCCCAATGCTCCACCATGCCCGACGACGAGCGCCGGCGTCGACGCAAACACGACTCCGACCGCGACCGCGACCGGGAGTCCGCCAGCTCCCGCGACAAGCACCGCTCCACCCATCAGAAGTCGACCAGTTCCAGCAAACTCCCGCTCCACAAGCGAAAGTCTGGCAGCCGTGAGCGGGACTCACTCAGACCCAATACCGCCTCGGAGAGATCGACCCCCTCCAGAAAGGCCTCCATGGTCCCCGAAATGGGCCGCCGTCCGAATGGCGCCGAGGTGCGGCCCACCACGTCGTATCCAACTTTCAGCAAAGCCCACAGCCGTGAAGCAGTGGGCAGCAGGGAAGAGATGGCGAATGCCAAGGCGGTACCAATCACCCCCGAACCCACAGAGCTGGACAATGAGAAGTCAGCCAAGAGGAGGAACTCTTCTCCAGCCAAGCCAGCCGCTCCCACGAGAGCGCCGCCGAGTCCCCCACTGACTGCAGACGACCCGGACATCAGACGCTCGGGAAGCGGCAGGAGCATGCGAGATGCTGCAGACGATGTCAAGGAGAGGATGGAGAGTGGCAGAAAGAGTACGGACATCCCTCGCGGCAACGGCGTGAGGATGCCCAAGTCAAGCGCTAGCCTGCGCAAAGAGGCACGGCTTGGGCAGTCGGAGGTGTCGAGCATGCCGGGCGCCTTTCCAGACGAGGAGAACAAGTCCACGCCCAACAGCAGCTACCGCAGGACAGTATCTACAACCTCGCAGACTGCCTCTCAGCAAGGCTCTGCGCTCACGGAGGAGACGACCGACTCGGATGCTACATCTATTGCGCCAGAACGGAAGGCCACGAGGAGAGTATACCATGTGGACGGAGCTTCGCCGCCATCCGTCACGGACTCACAGCCGAAGACTCCCACCCAGGAATATGTCTCTTTCCCGCCAAACGTGCGTTCCACACCGATCATTGATGTGGGTGCTGCCAAAAAGTCCACCCCTATGTCGCTCAATACGCCGAGAACAGCCAAGCAGATGCCACCACCTCCTCCACCGCCGCCTCCACCCGCCGAGAACCTCAGAGAGGCACCGCGAGTCGACTACCTGCTCAAGAACGGCGGGCTGCCTTATCCTGTTTCGAGGAGGCTGGTGCAGACAGGCCCGGGGACCCCTGTACAGCAGTACAGCGTCTACCAATCTCCCGCTTTGACCCAGTCTGCGCCGCTCGAGGAATACTCGAGGATCTTTAGCACCATTCACAAGCGCCTTGATGACTACCTGCAGGTACTTCACAGCAATGGATCACTTGCCGTCGCTACCGGATATAAGTCTGTTGCTCGCCGACTACTCGACAAACTATCGCAGGTGTTTGCGCGCGACATCTCATCACAACGATGCGATTGCGTAGTATGCAAGACAACCCCTCAGCCGTTCCTGTCAGATGAAGAAGACTCAGGCGTCAGCTGGGGTGAGATTTTGGAATTTGTAGCCGGTCGTCGAGACCTGCCGCAGTGGCCACCGTTCAGCATACAGCCCGATGAAAGTGGCCTGGGGATCTCGGGAGCGACGCAGGCGCCCATGCAGAAACTTGACATTGACGTTCCCGAGGAGTACAAAGATCATTACATTCGACAGAACCAGAAGACCAAGCGCGCCGTGCAGAGCTGGCTGTCGCGGCAGCCAGACTTCCCGTCAAGTCCGCCAGAGGAAGCAGATGAGGACACGCTAATGTTTGCGATGATGACAAAACTCACCGTCCAGCAGCGAAACCTTTTCATTGCCTTGATGCATGGTCAGAACTTCATCTCTGAATCAAGAGCTCCTACGCCAGCCGAGCGGCCCACGACTTCATCAAATGCCCTCAGGCGAGCGAAGAAGGCTCTTCAACGATTGTATCGCCTGGATAGGCCGCCGCGGGACTGCGAAGCAGCTATGTATCTCTTGAACAATCCTCACCTACACGGAATGCTCGCTACGCTCGCCGAAGTCAACGAAGCCGAGTGGGATATCCTTATTTCGGGTAGATTTGACGGCTTCCTCTGGTCTGGCGCCGAGACTTCTTTTCCACCTTCAGCCTCAGCTTTCAATTCAGCTGCAGCATCATCTCGGGGGCCATCACGGGGACCAACGCCTTTGTCTCGGAATGGCACGCCTTTCAGCGGCTTGAGCGGCATTCCTTCGCGGAGTACCACTCCGTTCGAGATGGACGGGCAGCACATGCCTTCAATGTTTCCATCGCGTGGGCCCACTCCAGGGCCCAATGGTGTCGGCGTTGCCCCGCCAGCACCGGTGCAATTGGACGAGGATACTGAGATCGCGGTCGCTGCCGAGCTGGAGCGCAACCTGTTCCTCGACATGGAAAGACTGGAAGACGCATTCGAGATTCTACATGGACGCGCAGAATCGGTCCGGCAGATGCTGCGTGAACGATCGGCAGGCCTCTCCTCACAGGCCCAACTGCGGCGCGGCAGCGGCTTTGGTGACCCCGTTGGCGTGAGACTGGACACTCCCGCGAGCGGTGTCACCGATTTCGACGAGGATGACGATGGTCTTGCAGATCTGGCCAGTCTTGCCCCTGATGACTCTGCTAGTCAGATCAGTGTCAATCGTCGCCATCGTCACCGGCGCGAGCGAAAGACACCCGGACCGGAGGCGGTTCCCGAGGAAGACGAGACTGTCTTCGAAGAGGAGCGAGAACGATGCAGGAGGGACAGGAATGGACGAAGATCAAAACACTGATATACCAAATGAACGAATTCAACCATGGGCGAGATTGGTTACGAACGCAGATGAGCATTCTGGCGAGGCGCTGAAAAGGACAGTCGATAGGGAATGTGCATAGCGGATGGCGTTTTTGGATTTCTGTCGAGCGGGCCTTCTTGATGTGATAGGATGATGAGAAAGCTTGCGCTTTGGATCTGCGAAGTGCGATGCGTTTGGGACGGCGATGAAACGGAAATATGACTAGCACGACGAGATATGGACTTGAGGGAGGACAGACTAAGTGGCAGCTCATTTGCATTATTCCAGCACTGCCTCGCCGTGCTCTCTCAATTTGTGATTCATCGATATAGAACTAGCGGTGAATCCAGAGACTCGGAAATAAGCATGTGAAGCGGAGTTTGATCGGGACTAGCCCCGTTAGAGCGCAAGCGCCGTCATCGCACCTTGGTCGGCAAGCTTACAGATCTTGAATTTGCTTTGTCGGCCAGCCATTCCCGCGCACACCACCACCCATTCGATACATCACTTCTTCACTGCCCTCTTCAACAGCGGAGCCTCAATTTGTGATAGACGCCGGGTCTGATCAGCATGCGCGACTAACATGAGTTGCCCTGTGGTGGATTTTGGGCGAAGACGTCTTCTCCAACATCTCTCTTCGACAGGCGCGATCGTACGAGCGAGTGCGATAATACGACTGGGACCTTCGCGAACATCGGCTACATTTCTTCACGATGTTGCGCTTACGAATACATCCCTCCGATGGCCTCGATCGACGACGACGACGACTCTGACGATAGGGTTCAGTGCGAGAGCTTTCCATAGTCTTCCCAAGGTTAGAGAAAAGGGATTGATGAGATGGGTGGTCCAGAGGAGATGTAATAGCAGTGACAACAAGAGCCTGGATAGGAAGATTCTGGATGAGAAGAAACTTCCGTCGTCGGAGATTGGGAAAGAGCCAGCTTCGACTGATGTACCACACCACCACCACTCGAACAAGAGTCTGTACGACCGTCTACCGCACCTACATCGCCCTACAAAGGAGGAACTCCTGTCTGCTGCGACAGGCTTCTGGCATCGCTTACAGATCCGCTTCAAATGGTTCTCCATCCGTAGCGTACGACCCTTCAACCTCGAGGAGATCTTCGCTTTCGCGAGTTGGATCTTCTGGGGCCATGTTCTATGGTTTGTCATTGGAACTACGACGTTCATCAGTCTGGTCATCCTGGCCGCCAATACCGTTTTGGCGCAAGAGACGCTTGCTGGATGGGTTGGCAATTACTTGACGAGAAGTACTGGGCTCAAAGTCATATTCGAGAGTGCGATTGTGCCCAGATGGGGCGATGGAGTGATCCGCTTGAACAAGGTCTTTGTGAGTCGACGGCCTGCTACGAATAAGAAGGAGAGATCCGTCTCCAAGGGATCTTCGACGACTGCGGCTGCGGCGGCTGAAGCGCATGCGCTTGCCGAGAAAGAGAAGCAGCAATCTGGACAATTCCTCATGGATTCGAGCGCGGAGCAGGAGGATGATGGCAACTATACCCAGTTCGACGTTACCATTGAGAATGTGGAAGTCACACTGTCTTTCACCAAATGGTTCAATGGCAAGGGTCTCTTGAGGGATGTCGCCATCCGCGGAGTTCGTGGTGTGCTGGATCGAACCTCTGTTCAACCACGCGACGAGAGCATCGATCCCAAAAGCTACCGACACGAACATAACACGGGAGATTTTGAAATGGATAGCTTCAAGATGGAGGATGTCCTCTTGACTGTCTACCAACCGAATAACTTCCGGCCATTCCAGGTCAGCGTTTACAACTGTGAATTGCCCAGGCTACGGAAGCAATGGCTCTTCTATGATTTCCTGTGTGCAAACACAGCACATGGCAGCTTCGACAACTCATTGTTCACGATCCATCATAGACAGGTGCATGGTACGACGGGAGTTGCGCTCGTCGACGGCCACGAAGAGGAAGCCTCGCAGTGGAAGAAGCACAGTCGATTACGGATCGATGATCTGAAGATCGACCATCTCAACCGAGGCGTTGAGGGTCCTTTCTCCTGGATACACGAGGGGAACGTCGACATCGTAGCAGATATCATGATTCCGAATGACGCGGATGGTAGTATCGCGAAGGTGATGAGCGACTTCTACGATCGCATGGAGGCTACTGTTATAAGTCAGGCACACGTTGTACGCCATCAGACCAGCGGGGATATTATTAACAACGACCAGCAGTCGCTATCTGATACACATGAACAACAGCAGCAGCAGCAGCAGCACCAAATCCAACCGCAAGGACCATCCCGAGAAGAAGACACCCGCTTCCTGGTCTTCGACATACAAATCCACCTGAACGACGTCCGGGCCTCCGTCCCACTCTTCACCAAGGACCTATCCTACGTGAACAATGCCGTCGTCCGTCCGATAGTAGCCTACATCAATTCTCACGCGCACGGAAACAAAAACTACATTCCCATCAGCTGTCGCATCGTCAAGCGACTCGGTGAATTCGATGGCTCATGGACGGTCTTCGATTCCGGCTTGTTGGACGATCTCTCGAGGGAGACGTACGACGCCTTCGTGAGGGATATCATGGATCGCAAATCACGGCAGAGGAGGATGAAGAAGGTGGGACTCTGGGCTGCCAGTGTCGCTGCTCAGGCGCTTTTTATTGGGTTGGCGGGTCAGCTTGCCTGAGCGTACGTACGCAACCAACACCTGTGGAGTGAAGAGCCTTCAAGGGTGCGGTGCGGTGGTTGTTTGTATTCTTTTTATATTTATTTTTTGGTGACCTAGGAGTAACAGACACAGCGTGGCGTTTCTGGAGCAATGGGGGTCAGGAAGGGTGGGTGTACAAATCGGGAATGTGGTCTGGATATGAATACTGAGTGGGCTATGAAACGGGCGGCGATAATGCTGCTCACACTGTGCCCTGCGTGAGGCGTTGTATTGTTAGATGACATGACGGGATACGCTTTAGTCTTTTTGCTGATACAGTACACATACACTCTCTTCACTCTGAGGTCACGGATTTGCTTCCCTTGTCGTCTTGTGCAGGCAGTGGTGGGACATATTCGAATGAATCGATTTAGTCTTGCAAGTGATTTCAATGCATTTGGTGTATCTGGTCGTTAGCTGCCTGCTATGCTATACATCCATCCAGCTCCTCTTCTGGGCTGAAACTGGATATGTCCTATCGTACACGCCCCTTCCCACGCGCGACAGCTTCTCATGCCGGCCCTAATCCATCTTCAGCGGCGCATAACTCTCCTCGATACCATCCTTGGTGATGATCATCATCTGCAGCCCATCACCGACCTCAATGTGTCTCTCCACCGCACTCGTGAACGCATCTTTGACCAGGCTCTCCACATGCGGCCGGCTGAGCGGCTCGGGCGTGAGCTGCGTCTTCTCGAATCCCTGTGGCTGCGCCGGATCACACTGGTTCTTGAGATTGACTTGGTTGTCGAGGAACGGCATGATCAGACTCGACGCGGCGCCCGCTGCACGGCACTGTTCCCGCTCATACGACCCCACCGGGTCGTAACTGTACAGCGCTCCCTTGCCCGCCTCGTCAATGCCCCCCAAGATCGCATGCACGTAGTACGGAAAGAACCTCTTCCCGTACAGAATGTGCGAGAGACGCTGTGCGCAGGCCCCCACGCTGATATCCTTCCCATGCTGATATCGGTACATCTTGACCATGGTGTCGAGGCGTTCCTGCAGAGCGCGCCCATCTGCTGCGAAACCTACGACGGACAGGACGATTTTGCTGCCGATGTGCTCGGGCCCGTCGCCGCCGATTTTGAACAGTTTTGGGGCGTAGCGGGTGTTGATGTTGTAGCCGGAAGTGCTGCGGGTGTCGCCTGCGAGGATTGTGAAGTCGTCACCGCTGATTCCGAGGGTAGAGCCGCCGTTGTCGGTGTAGCTACATTATATGATCAGTGGAAACGTGCACGCGGGAGATGCGAGGCAGTGTACGCACGGGTAGAAGGCATGTTGTCTTGGTTCTGAGCGGGATGAGGTTGGTTGGGAGAACGAGTAGCCTGGTTGCTCGAGAGGTGCTTGGAAGAGCGCCATGTTGGTCTCTCCTGATAGTCGTAGTCCGGGGATTGTATGGAGAACGTAGCGTCGATGAGGTCTGTCGAGATATGTTGAAGGGTGGAAGTGTTACTTGAGAGTTGGTCCAAACGCGAAAGCTCCAGGCTGGAAGGCGTCAGTCGTCCACGAAAGCTCCGCGGCTTCGGCCCGCTTGCCGATCACGCGGAGAAAGGTTGATCCGGTAATTTCTCGAAAAAGATCCCACTACCGCTACCACTCGCTTTCTTTGACGATCGCAACCCAATCTCAAACTCTTTGGGAGCACTGAGATCCTGCGAGTCGTGTTTCGACCAAGTCAGCGTCGTCTTCAAAGCCTACGAGTCTACCAAGTGTCGCCAATCACATCGCTCACAAAATGCCCGCGCCGACCGCACTTCAACGAGCGCCGGAGCCCATGGCAACGGAAGTGACGGCCCACGATGCACCACAGACAGCAGTAGAAGATGACCAGGTCCTCGTAAACGTCACCGCAGCGCCAGATCAGGAAACAAGCGCCGTCGAAGATGGCGACGTCGAAATGGAAGAAGAGACGCCCGCCAAACCCGCCCTCTTTGCCCCCGAGAACCCTTCAAAATCAAAGGGCAAAATACGCTTCGAAGAACGCAAAGTCCGAGTCCCGCCTCACAGATACTCTCCTCTCAAGGCAAATTGGCCGAAAATCTACCCACCTCTCGTTGAACATCTCAAATTGATGGTACGGATGAACACAGCAAAGAAGGCCGTCGAGCTGCGAACATCAAAAGACACCACAGATACGGGTGCGATCCAGAAGGGAGCGGACTTCATCCAGGCATTCTGCCTCGGTTTCGATCTCGACGACGCGATCGCCCTGCTTCGTCTCGACGATCTGTATATCCAGAGCTTTGAGGTGAAGGATGTGAAAGAGCTGCATGGAGAGCATCTGAGTCGTGCGATTGGACGTATTGCAGGCAAGGATGGCAAGACCAAGTTTGCGATCGAGAATGCGAGTCGGACGCGAATCGTGTTGGCCGATCAGAAGGTGCATATTCTTGGTGGATTCAAGAACATCCACATTGCGAGGGAAGCGGTGGTCAGTCTCATTCTGGGCAGTCCTCCAGGGAAGGTTTACGGAAACCTGAGGACCGTTGCGGGCAGGATGAAGGAGCGGTTCTAGAAAGGAAAGAGCTGTCACGAGGATATGCAAAGTGGGATTTGGGCATTAGCGATGGCGCATGGTGTTCGGAAGATATGACGGCAAACGAAAAGAAGACGAACAATCGGCATACTGCAAGGTTTCATGAGCGACACTCACTCAGTCTACAAGTCCAAATTGTCGCAGAGCGTCTGCGTCAATTCGCCAATGGAGAAGTGCCTTTGTGTGCCATGTTGACATGGTCTGTTAGATCTTTCCTAGACCTTCCAGCCTCTACAATTGTAGTCCATCAAGGATTCACGATGACAGCACTACTTCTCTCAACCGCCAACCTCAACGCTCCTCTGCGAGTGATCATGTAATCTTTTCTCTCACCACGTTTGACAATAATCCGGCTATCCGTGGTCCAACTCGTAATGATAACTATAACCATCAAAAGTCACCCCGGTAATCGCATCACTCCCATCCCATGTCCACCTCTGCAATTGTCAGTTTTCCAATGCAAGCCTTTGGCAGTTGGAAGTCATACGTCTCCACCGAACGAGGGTAGTCATTGATATACTCGCTGTTGTATACCTGCTACGGCTATGTTGCCAGAGTATACTTTATATCGGCGGCTGCTACCGAGCCGATTGACCCATGTCTCGCGACGGGCCGAGGCGCTAGTGGCCGGTGCGCGCTCTGCCATCAAAAACTTCTTCGCGTCGCCATCGCCAGATTTTTCTTTCTCTTCAAGCGTCTTCTGACGCTGTGCGGCTGGCGGTGAATTTCTACAGTTTCCCAACGTTACTCGCACACCCATCTTTCCGTGGTGTCTCGCGAGCGTCCTTCACGCCAAAGATCGAACCAATTGCACCCGGTCTTGATTGCAACCCGCTGGAAGCTCCTTGCGAGTTCTTGTTGGCGTCTTGACCACCGGACATATCTTCCATTCGACTTTTCCATCCAAGTAGTTATGCTCCTCCGGCTCGACAGACTGATATTGCTGTCTGACGGTATGTAGGTTGGTGTACGACCTGTTCCAACTCCCCAGCACGTTCCCATCAAATTGCGCCTTGTTCTGCCAAGACCCAACAGGCATTTTGATATTTATTTCAACAAGAACAACAACAACCATCCAGCTATCGGACGAGCTTCCGATCTGCCGGCATGGGAGGTCTCAATGTCGTGGCTCTCATTTCGGGTGGCAAAGATTCCCTCTTCTCCGTTTTGCACTGCCAGGCCAACGGCCACCAGGTGATCGCTCTTGCCAACCTGCACCCTCCACATGACAGCGAATCCGGACCATCCGAGGACTTGGAGAGCTACATGTATCAGACCGTCGGTCACGCAGTCATTCCGCTGTACGAGAAAGCGCTTGCTCTGCCCTTGTATCGACAGGAAATCACGGGCTCGGCGGTAAATCAGCAGAAGAGCTACGGGCCTGCTACCGCCATCGACGGAAGCTCCGAAGACGAAACCGAATGCCTATTGCCCCTCTTGCGGAAGACCCTGGCTGCACACCCAGAGATAAATGCCGTAAGCACCGGTGCCATCCTATCCGACTACCAGCGCACTCGTGTGGAATCGATTGCTCTTCGACTTGGCCTCACTCCTCTTTCCTATCTGTGGCAGTGGCCCACGCTGCCCCCTCAGACGCAAACTTCCCTATTGGAAGACATGGCAGCTATTGGCCAAGATGCGAGGATTATCAAGGTCGCCTCTGGCGGGCTCGATGATAGCTTTCTCTGGCAGAATGTAGCAGATCGTCTTACGATTAACCGACTCTCAAAAGCTGCTGAACGGTTCGGACAAATTGGAGACGGTGCTGTACTCGGTGAGGGTGGCGAGTACGAGACTCTTGCCATCGATGGCCCTGCTCCGCTTTGGAAAGGACGCATCGTCGTCCCAGAGGGCCATGTCAGTTCCGTCCAAGGTGAAGCCGGCAGTGCATCCATCAGACTGCGCAATCCTTCGTTCGTTCCTCACGACTCGGAAGCACAACCGGCCAATGGCGTCCGCATTCCGCTTGTTCTAGAGCCGCGATTCCAGGTGATGGCAGAGGATATCCTATCTGAATCCAAAGATCAGCTGGAGAAGCAACCGCCTCTGGACTTGGCCATCTCAGTGCCTAAAGAATCTACTAATTGCGCTACAATCCTTTCTGGTGTAACGGCACCCGGCATTGATGCCGCAGAGCAGGCACGTGGTATCATGGATCAAATCACCAGCGACTTGAAGATCCAGGGCCATGAAGCCAGCGACATTGTCTACACTATCATCGTACTTCGTAGTATGTCGGACTTTGCAGCCGTCAATGCTGTGTATGGCAGTTGCTTCACGAAGCCAAACCCACCAGCTCGTCTGACGATAGCCTGCGCCGATGTCTTACCTCAGAATGCTCTCCTATCAATCAGCACGATCAGTAGCAAAGCTCGTCGCGAGGGCATGCACGTCCAATCAAGATCCTACTGGGCTCCAGCGAACATAGGACCATACTCGCAAGCCATCAAGATCTCGTCTGAGCCAGCAGCATCCCCCATTGCTGGTTGCGTCTACATTGCAGGGCAAATTCCGCTTACACCAGCCTCTATGGAGCTTCCGCCTCCGTCACCTTCACCACAGGAAACTTTTGCTCACCAAGCTGTCCTGGCGTTACAGCATCTGGATCGCATCGGGCGGGCTATGAAAGTAAAACAATGGGTCTTCGGCATCGCATTTGTCACGGCGCCCACGGAAAAAGCAGCACTATCAACGAGGACAAAAATCTTACGCCGCGCATGGCAAGGATTTCACCAGCCCCAATCTGCCGGCAAGAGCTCTTCAGATGATTCCGAGTGCGAGGATTTCGACGTTTGGCACCTGACGCATGGCTCTTCAGCTGCTCCTTGGCGGGTCGACAACAGAGCAGAAGAAGTCAAGATGAGTGAGACCGGTGGAAGTATACCTCGTCTTGTGGTCATACAGGTTGACAGTCTACCCCGAGGCTCAGATGTCGAATGGGTTGGGCACGGAAAGAGTATTCCCGGTGAAGATTCGTCTGTGCCACTGCATGTGCGGAGCCTGCTATATGCTTTTCGGACTCGGATCCTTGCCGAAGAGGCTGACTGAGCGTGCATGCTCGTGACTGGCCAAGACGAGCGGCTAATCTGACCAAGCCAATACTGGGCCCTACGGCAGCACCAAGTAGGATTGATTCATCTGAGGCAGTGCTACGACAAACATGGTGATCAGAGCCCGCACTGCAAGCCGCGAGAGTAGTACGCTTCGACTCGTTGCGTCTGACTTGGACTCGATTCCCCACATGCGCTGAGGGCGGAGGCGGAGCCCCGCACACAACTACGACTACGACTACGACACACGCTTGCCTTGTCTTGCCATTGGACCGACACGTTCGAAAAGTTGTACATTGACTCCTCATGAGGCATTAAAAGAAGAACAATCGCGAGCGACATGCGCATCTTCTGCTTCGTGGCTTGTCGGTCACGTCGGAAAGACAGCCGGGACATCACCTTGGTAGCGCAGCACCAACCAGCACCTTTCTTCGGTAACTCGGTTGACAGACGGCCTTGTGGATGGATGATCACTCTGAGCTTCGTGAAGTACTTTGTCACGGAACTAGAGCAGCTCTTCTCATCTTCCTTCTTCCATTTTCCGTTTGTATCCCTTCTGCCACATCTTTTCACCTTCTCGTTATAATACGAAATCATTTCCGATCACGTAGCATTCAAAATGGCGCCAGATCTGAACGCTGTCGCCGGTGGCGAAAAGTTTGACTACTCTCAGCCTGGATCTTCAGGCTACGAAGTCAAGCAAGATCTTACCTGGAAGTATGGATGCATTGGCAGCGAATTGTCCGTGGGCGCCTGACTGACATTTCGGTCCAAGTGATCCAAACAACCGCAAACTACGAGTTCTCACCATTGGCGCTGGTGTTTCGGGCATCTTGATGGCATACCAGATCCAGAAACAATGCGGAAATGTCGAGCACGTCGTCTATGAGAAGAACGAGGATATTGGTGGAACATGGTTGGAGAACAGGTCTGTTGGATCGATATCCGTGTCCAATGATGTTGACTGAGGCTCGAATAGGTACCCAGGATGTGCCTGCGATGTCCCAGTATGCTCTTGAACCTTCTTCCCATGGCAGGCATGTGAGACTTCTTATCTCTTGACTAACAACCTATCACTCACAGTCCCACGCCTATACCTATCAATTCGCCCTCAATCCTGACTGGCCACGCTTCTTTTCCTACTCTCCCGACATCTGGAAATACCTCGACAAAGTCTGCAACACCTTCGATCTGCGCAAATACATGACCTTCAACACAGAAGTCGTGGGCGCATATTGGAACGATGACCGAGGACAATGGACAGTCAAACTCCGCAACAACAAATCCGGAGAGGAAATTGAAGATCACTGCCACTTGTTGCTCCACGGAACGGGTATTTTGAACAATTTCAAATGGCCTGAAATTCCGGGACTGAAGGATCGGTTCAAGGGAAAAGTCGTCCATACTGCGAGATGGCCGAACGAATATCAGAAAGAACAGTGGGGTGAGAGGATTGCTATTATCGGGAGTGGAGCGAGTAGTATTCAGACTGTTCCTACCATGCAGCCTCACGTGAAGCATATGGATGTCTTCGTTAGGACTGGGTACGCTTCCTGTGATTGATTTTGCTGACCATGGCTGATGGTGATGGTGAAGGGTCTGGTTCGTACAGATTGCGAACAACTATGGCCAGAACAAGGAGTATGACCAGAAAGAAAGAGACGACTTCCGAAGTAAGACCCTCTGTCTCTTGGCTTGCTTGCAGATCAACTTACGAGATATAGACGACCCCAAAGCCCTCGTAGCACACGCCAAGGACATCGAAGACCAACTTAACGGCCTCTGGGGAGCTTTCTACTCCGATACCGAAGCCCAGCAGCAAGGACAGGAAACTTACAAAGCCCGCATGGCGGAATTCATCAAAGACAAACGACTCCTCGAAGGTTTTACACCCAGCTTCGGCGTGGGATGCCGCCGTATCACACCCGGGGATCCTTATATGCTAGCCATTCAGGAGCCGAATGTTGATGTGCATTTCACCGCCGTGAAGAGTTGTACAGAAGATGGAGTCGTGGGCGAGGATGGAGAGGAGAGAAAGGTTGATACGATCGTCTGCGCCACGGGATTTGATGTTTCCTACCGGCCACGGTTCCCGTTGGTTGGGAAGAGCGGCGTCGATCTGAAGGTCAGAGAAACTTCAACAACAACTTTTGCTAACGGAACAGAGCTAACGAGGACTGTAGGAGAAATGGGGAATCTGTCCCGAAGGATACCTAGGTCTAGGCATCCCTGATTTTCCCGTACATCCTCCTTAACCCCAACGCAAACCTCCACCCATCACTAATATTTCTCCCAGAACTTCCTTACCTTCATTGGACCTACCTGGCCCGTAGAAAACGGCTCAGTCATGGGACCTCTCCATTCCGTCTCAGAATACGCGATCCAAATCATCAAGAAGATGCAAAATGAAAATATCAAGAGCTGGACCCCTAGGCAGGACATCACCGATGATTTCAATTCCCATGTTCAAGAATGGATCAAGCATACCGTCTGGAAGGAGAATTGTAGGAGTTGGTATAAGAATAATGAGACGGGGAGGGTCAATGGTATGTGACGGTTACCGCAAACGCTCGGGTTGAGAGATTCTTGACGCTAATTGCCTGGGACGCGTAGCTGTTTGGCCTGGATCTAGTATGCACTGTAAGTGGACACCCAGCTCCATCTCTGAGACACCACGAGCCGCTGACTTTTCCTCCCTTATTCAAAGATCAACAAGTCATCGAACGACCACGCTACGAAGACTTCGACATCGAATACCACGACAAGAACCGCTGGGCGATGCTCGGAATGGGATGGACCGTCGAGAACCGCAAGGGAGCCGAGGAAGCAGACTGCAGTCCTTACCTGAATTTGAAAACTATTGATCCGAAGTGGTATGAAGCGAATGGTGGAGATCTGGAGAAGTTGAAAGCGCAAGTGAACGAGTACAATCGTTGGCAATGATATTGGGCAATGTATATCGACAGGAGAAGCTAGCTACAGCGAGGCACGAAAAAAAAAAGAGAGAGCATGGATGCTGGTGTTACGTTTTCCCCCGTCTCTTTAGGCTCTTCTGACAATCTTTGGCGGCGTTGATGATGGGAGATGTCACCTGCGCAGACACCAATCCATTCCAAGAAGAAACAGGATAGCCTCGATCGACTCACCAAGAACAGAGACCTCCACGGTAAGTCGTAGCGACACGTGCTTGTGGTGTTCGTGCCAAGTACCGCGTGGAATCAGAAGAGAATTAGTGCCGTCCGCACGGACCCTCGCCTGGCGCTTCTCAATTCAGCGCTTGCACGTGAGAAGCTTGGCACTGAATACTCGCTTGGCATTTTCTGAAGACAGGATGCTAAAGGCTGAATTTAATTCTTATGGCAGAAGATTCGCAGGCCTTGATGTTTGTGCGCCTCAAGCTAATCAACAACACTCGCCAACACTGGGTTTCGCCTTCTCGTCTCCCTGCCTGGAAGACTAGCCACAGATCATGGTGGGCGATCTTTCTGAATGCCCGTCATGAGTAAGATTCAGCCAGCCAGACTAGTGGCTACAATTGAACTGCGGGCTGTGATCTGACCTTCCTGTTCCCGCAGTCCTGAAACGGGCCACCAATGTGCAAGCAAGCAAACGCGTTCCAACAAATCTTTTGCCACATCGCAAGAAAGTTAGTGTCCGTCCTTGCTGTCGCATCTTCCTCCCACTTCGAATCTTACCGATTCTCACGGCTATCTTGTGATTGCTTCTCAGAGCCCGCTGATTGGCCAAAGAGGTTCAGTCGTAGGGACCGCTGCGTCCGGTGCACCAGCCTTACCCTTCACGAGGCATAGCGTGGTAGAGTCGCAGATACCATACTGTACAATGATGGGTCAGCTCAATTTTCTGCTGCGCGTAGATCGTGCAGAAGACTTACGAAGGACAACTTCTGATTGTCGCTCAAGTCTCTACCTTGGGAGACAAGACCGTGCCCCTCCGTGTTCACACCCGTCATGACTCCAATCAAATCTTTCACATCCTGCGCAGTAGTGTCTTGGTGCACATCCAAAGTGGTGAGCTTCTTGCTGTTGAAGCGTATGGTAACCTGGAACGAGGGAGCGCTTGTTGGAGTGAAGGGGGCGGCTCCAGGAGTAGGAGGAGGCGGTAGTGGCGATTTCGGTGGAGGTCCAATGGGGCTATCGACTCTCTTACTGGAGGGTATACCGCCCTTCGGGCGTGGGAGCGGGCTGGAAAAATGAAGTGGGTTCACCGAGCGAGGCGGGAGCTTGTTTGGCTGCAGAAATCACTTAGCTTCGCTGTGCTTCTCGCTCTTTGAACGGCATTAGCACACCTTCTGAGGAGCCACGCCGCTGTGTTCTTTCTCCGTTGTCTCTTTCTGCTCTGCGATCCAAACTAACTGATTCACGCGGGCCACACCCGTAATCTCCTGAATCATCTTCTTGAGTTCTCCGATCTGCATGCGGTCATGCACATGAATGGAGATTGCGCTACCATCGGCCGCCTGGAAGAAGACGTCATAGCCTTTGTCGAGGACAGTGCAGCGCTCGCACAGGTGTCGGCTTTGATAGCTCAGGGCGCGCAAGCTGTAAGTGCCGCTCGCGGAGCTCGGTGCATCGACACGTGAAGCCTGGTCCAGTCGCTGCAGCTCAAGTCGGAGCGCTTCAGTGGCATCAGCTACAGTTTCCATGTTCACCAGTGTGCTGCCGTCATGATCCGAGGCGTGCGGCGTGAAGAGATGGTCATCCGAGTCGACAGATTGATCTGATGAGATGAAGCTGATGGGCCACCTTGGCTGCGACCTGCCATTATCGGCCAGCTCATCGTCGTTAGTTGGCGGCGCGAACTTGGTGGGAAGCGCCTTGACTGCCTTGGCAGCGGCTCTGGTGGTTTGTTCGAGCAGCGTCTCGTTTCTCGTCGGATCGGCCGAGGTCTGCAAGGCCGCAGCCAAAGCAAGCGGCAACTCGAGCGACACCCTGAGCGACATTTGCGAGTGTTGTGTGCGATGGAGTTTGGAGTCGTGATGTTCGAAGTTCAGAAAAGAAGTGACTTTCAATTTTAGATTCGTCGCTCGCTAAGCTTGGGCCACCTCACTTCCGAACAATCCCCAATCACATGCAAGTGAACTTCCGCTTTAGGAAGGCGCGCTAATGATCGACAAACCCCGAAAGATCCCTTCCTCCTGTATCTTCCATATCGCCTCAAGATCCTCGAAGCTGAAGTACCGTGTGCACAGTACTCTCGTGCACTATATTGTACTACTGAATGTCAGCTTTCTCACTCTTTTGATATTTATTGCGGAAGTAGGCTCGACTTACATCAGCCAAGGTGCGGCCATCTTCCAGCGGTTTGCCAGCGAAGTTAAAACGTATATCATCAGGGTCGAACCCGGAATCCTCACCGAGCTTGTCTTTGAGCAGACGGATTGTCGAAGTAGGTTTTAGACCGTGCAGCTGGTGAGTCTTCTGCGTAAGGGTCTTGACGTAGATAGTGAGATCGTCGACATTCGCTTGGCTACGAGTGAAGAGTTGAGACGTGCGGTTGCCTTTTGTGCGCTTGGACGGAGAATCTGGAGCGTCGTTGAGGCCAGAACGAGGCAATCTCCCCTCGCGTCCAACATTTCTTTCCTGTAATGCTTGACTGTTGATGAGCCCATTATCAGAGCTCTTGTCGATACCCAATTTGCGTCTCTTGAAAGACTTGGTCTGTTCTCGGACAGCGGCAATTACAGCCTGGTTCACGCCATCTGGAAGGGTGTCATTGCTTTGGTTGATGGACTCGTGGATAGCCTGCACGTCTTCCGACGACAACGTAATAGTGATTTCGACGGACATATTCTCGGGTCGAGGCAGAGTGACTGTGTGTGTAAATAGACGTGGACGAGAAGAAGGCTCTACTTATGCGTATCTCGCGTCGTGGTGTCTCAATGCATCGGGAGGGCCTCAAGTGGTGTCTCTTTGTTTAACTAGACGCCTGTCTCGGCCATGGATCAGTTTGATATTTGCATCTGTGCAAGACATCTTACCCATGTCAGTCTCACATTGGCAGCTGACCACTTGTGCAGATCTCGCCCTCGCATGACCAGCGTTGCAAACAGTCGCTGCGTAGACCACATCTTCCATTCGATCAAATCAAATCATCTGAATAGCTCATCGTACGTCTTCTGAAAAGGCGTCCTATGGTCTGGAATCCATGCCTTCTCACATTGTTCAAGGCAACGTCGTCAAATCAACAGCCTCAACCTGATACAACGGTTGCTCTTTAGTCCCCTGATTTCCAAAAAGACTGATAAGCGCCGTCCTCCCATCAGGACTAACCGCCATCTCCCTTGGAAAAGAACCCGGTAAACCAGCCGCTATTCTCCCCAGTGCTGCCTACTCATCTCCTCGCAAAGCCGCATCAGTGTCAAACACTGTCAGACCAGTGATATGAGACACATTGAACCGACTAGAATCCGCCGTCAAAATTCGTTTGCCATTGTGGGCGAACGCTAAGCCAACGGGATTCTCTCCAGCCTCCACAACAGCCAGAAGGGCGTGGTCGGGGTCGGAAAGTATTTTGTCTGTGACAAAGGCAATCAGTGAATTGGCACCCCTTACTGTCACCCAAACAGTTTTGCCATCTGGATGCACGGCGACACGAACAGGCTCACAACCTGCGGGAATTGTGGCGAGAAGAGATCGGCTCGGATTCCTTTTGAGAGTCTCCACGTCGAGAACGCTAAGAGTCCCGTTTAGAGCGGTCTTGTTCGCCATTCCCTCTCTGGTAACATAGAGATATCGATTGTCTTTCGAGAGGGCAGAGCCAACAACAGCGCTACCTAGACTGATCGCTCCAATCGGTTCAACGATAGGCATATCACGGCTCGAATTCGAACGATGAGGAATCTTGAAGACTTCAATCGAACCTGCACCGTTGGACGCTTGGCCTACGGAAGACTCCTGGCTCACAAACGCATAGTCCCCGAGCGCAGTGACTTCGACAGCTTGCCCACTGTTTGGAACAGTATTGTTAAGAACAGCGACAACGGCATCTGAATGACCTGTGGCCGCTTTAATCGAGTCAACGAGGAATGTATCTATTCCTGCAGTGACGAGCAGATATCGGTGATTTTTGGTGAGTGCGATGCCAGACCCTCCGAATTTCAGATATCTGGCTGGAAGTGGGATCTGATGAACGAGTTTCGGCGTGAGATATTGAGTATCCAGTACTCCGACCGTGCTGACGTTTCCGTTGTAAAATGCTACGAATGCGATGGTGGGTGAGAAGTAGGTGACTCCAAATGGCCGTGCTGGAACGTCGACTGTTGCGATCTTGACATTATCGAGCGTCTTTTGCGCAGATGGGTTCCCCTGACATCCCGGCAAAGAGACTGCGTTGGCAAGGAGAGAGAGAAGCAAGGCTATGACCGTCGCGGATTGTAAGGGCTTGAACGTATACATGGCCATGGGGGAAACGATTGGTAGTCTCGAGAGAACGTCTCAAGTCACACGTAATTCCGACTGCAGCTTGGCATGGCATCTTTATATCGAAGCAGCTCTGAATTAATGCTCTCAAGCTTGCTGCAAGACCGGTGTATATCACAAAACCACGTGCAATTTTCTGGTCATGCCATAGGATCGATCTGAGAGCTGCAGGTCGGGCGGTACAAGGAGTTGTTAGCGTGGCAGATGGCTTTCGCGGCTGAAGAAATGAGGGCGAAGGAACCTTCGTAGCATGTACGGACCTGGTGCTAGCCGCTTTGAGCTTAGTAGCTGAAGAAGCCAAGCCGATTGTGAAGATGCTGTGCTACGCTTTGAAGAGAGCGTCCCATGGTGAGAGCAGCTGGGGGGGGGCCCAAACGTGGTCCGGTTGTGCGTTCCTGTTACACACGTCTCGATCGCGTGCATTACAAGACAGCGGCAACCCTTGATTTGCGCACGAGCCGGGGTCACAAGATAATCGTCTCTCCGCGCTGATAAACAAAAAGTCACGAGAGGTAAGCCAGGACGCAAAATTAGGTACCAGAATATATTCAGAGCCACATGTCTTGCGCCCACAAAAGTAAGGAACTGTCCAGCAGGTAGATGAGGGAAGGAATCGGTGCCATCGCGTCTTCTTTTCGGATTCAGTCCCTTGCAAGAGTGTAGATCCAGAATTCGAAGAGCCGTGTTGCAGTATGGGCTTCCGAAGAAGGTGCATCGTAGGCATAGACGCCAGAAACGAGCTCATGTGACGATACTGCGTGTCGCTGAAGCCGTTCATCATACACTGTTGCTCTTCGTCCTTATAAAAGTGAGCGTCTCCGGCACGGGCTTCTCGTCGATCGGCCGTTGCTTCTTCCGTAGGAATCCAGGGGCATCCAAAGGATCCATGCCATCTACCAAATCCTCCCCATCAACCAGGCCAAAAGGCATTTTCCTCGCCCGCTGCCAAATCCCAAGATCGAACTGCACCTTGATCCTCCTCGGCTTCCTCGTGGCCATCTTTGTCGCAGCACTCTCCCTCTCTGGAAGCTCCTCAGGATGATCGTAAAACCAGGAATAAGCAATGACTCTCTGGACTTCAGACATATCCTGAAAGATAGACTCCTCGCTCTCCTCGTGCACAGCGTCACGGCGCCGGCGCCGTCTATTGTGTTGCTTGATCTTGGTCATTGTATCCGCAAACGCCGTGGAAACGGGCTCAACGATATTGCGTCGTTGTTCCTTCTTGTTGTTTGTCTTGGCGTCGGGTAAAGGCTTTGTGGATTTGCGGCTGCTACCCATTGATTTCGTTTTATGGTTCGTGCCCGAGAACAGAGAGACTTTGATGTCTGAGTCTTCTTCATCGATGTTGTGGCATCCCAGAAGGATTCTCGCCAGCAATCTATACCACGTTCGTTTCTTGTGACTCGGTGACTCCCGTGTCACCGGATCGCCGTCGGTGGCCAACACGGCCGGCGTGATCATGTTTGGGCCTTGATGATCGGTCTCACGGGTCATGCTTCCATGTTCGAGCACCCGTGACGGCCGTGCTTGCAAGTTGACTGTTTGTAAGTGATGTTCTTCGCCCGTTCAAAGCCGAAACAGGCCAATAAAAAATCCGCCGCCGCAAACGCTGGTCGGAAGTGAAGTTGCATGCCGTCTGCCTCGAAGCGTAGATAGTTCCCTGCTCATTCAAACGGATCGCGACTTCCTCAATGGCGGTGAAATGCTGTTGTTTGTCAGTCAGGCACCTCGCGCGGCCGGAAGAAGTGTCCTGAGACGTGTGCACATGAACCGTGGTATCTATGTCTACATTGGCATCATCTCGTTGTTTCGTGTTGCATATCGTACATTGATCCCATGCTCATACTGGAGATTTCTCCACGTCTGATCGTCTCTCACGCCGTCGTGAAGTCTGCGGGCTTCGCGCAGACCCGTTCTCGTCCGGACTGTCACCTAGGGTTCGCTCGCCATCTCCGAACAGGGGCTTATAGGCATTATCGTAACTCGTCCACACAGCCTGAAAGACTGTCGCAAACATCTTCTTAGCCCACGTCGGTAGCTGGCCATTCTTATCGGTAAACATCTTTGCGAAAGTAAACAGAAGGATGACAATCGGTACCCACGTAGCAGTGAAAGCAATCTGGCCCATCCGCTGCTTCTTCGTCGTGATGGTGTACGGCTGCAAGGAGAGCAGGTAGTCCTGGTATTCATAAGGCAGATTACATTCTGCTGCACCGTCCGTGATGAGTTTCAGATAGCGTGCGGAAGCTTGTGCATAGTCTGGATCGGGACGACGTAGGTGATGCTCTGGTTCGTCACCTTCGGGTTCTGCGGGCGCAAACAACGTATGCGCTTTAAAGGGCGGCAAGAAAGGGTCCTGCGGGACTGGCGCGTCCGGATCAGAGCTATCCAAAGGATGGCAAGCGACCAAAATGTCCTGGTATGCGGAGCCACCTCCTTCTGTCGCAATGATGTGCGCATAGTCTTCCGGCGTCACTTCGTAGACGACGCCTATCATGCCTTTGTGCCAGCGGTTCTTTCTGTAGTCTTGCTCCTTCACCGACTGCCCAAGCAGCGCAGACTTCTCGTCGTACTTCGTTGCTGCACCTTCCTTGGGAGGGTCGTTGTTCGGATCTCGGCGGGCACTATTCGCGAAGCAAGGTTCTGAGTATGGCACACCTGGCAGATCGAATGTCATCCGAAGAGAAGGAACTTGTACATTGATTTGCGAGAGAGGCTTGATGCCGCGCTCGCCCTTGAACTTGCGAGCAGCAAGGTTGGAGCCATAGGCGAGGTACAAGACTGTCTCCTCTTTCCGCCTGAAAGCCGCTTCTTCCACGAAGCTCTTGAGGCAGTACGGGGCTTCGTTGAGGGAGGAGGCAAGACGAGAGGCCGAGGGTCGCGGCGATGGAAGATGTTGGCAAGGTTGTTGTTGTTGTTGTGATCTGCCCCTGGCAATCGCGTGCGAGACGCAGTAAGCAGATATCACGGCTCTTTCCGACGAATGGTCACCTGATACGCTCATCGTAGCGACTAGGTACAAGGGATATGGAGAAGTTGGTTGTTCATAGACTGGAGTAATGCTCTCTGTACACCATCTGTTCCTCAAAGGTAATCAGCATCGTCATCGACACGGCCGGCTGCATGTGATAACGGCAATGCTCGGTATCGGGTTGACAGCTCGCTTCACAACTCGCATAAGTGCTGCCTGAGGCGACAAGATGCCAGCGTGTGGAACGGAGTCCGCCGACGTCCACCTCCCGCAAGATATCTTGCCTTCCGGCCTCTTCCTCCATCTCTTTGTCTTCTTCATATACTCCCGGCTACCAAATGATCCGCCCCAGGACGCGCGCTCTTGTCTTCAGCCTGCGTTGGGACGAAGTTGGCTGAGCAGGGTTTGCCGCTCTCGAGATCATGTCCGAGAATATGGACCATGGGGAGTACGATGCCTACATCGAGAACATGCGGAAGACCGAATATCCCATGCTGAAGGATCAGTTGTATCTGGACCATGCCGGAACCACGCTATACAGTAAATCCCTTATGGATCGCTTCCACGCCGATATGCTGTCGAGCCTCTACGGAAATCCACACTCCGCCTCCTCCCCGAGCCAAAAATCATCTCAGGAGATCGAAGCGGTCCGCATGAAGGCCTTGAGATACTTCAACGCGGATCCGGATCATTTCGATCTTGTCTTCACTTGCAACACCACGTCCGCTATCAAGCTGGTCATGGAAGCTTTCCGCGATCAAGAGCACGCGTTCTTGTATGGCTATCATCGGGACTCGCATACTAGTCTCGTTGGAGTCAGAGAGGCTGCGAAGGAACATGCTTGTCTGACGACCGAGGATGATATTCGTCAATGGCTGCATTCAGAATCTAAATATTTTGGCGGCCATCGCCTCTTTGCATATCCCGCGCAATCAAATATGAATGGACATCGATTGCCACTGGATTGGCCACCGAAACTCAGAGAATTGGGGATATATTGTCTAATGGATGCTGCCGCACTAGCAGCAACCTCGCGCTTGAACCTTGCAGACACTGAAGCCGCACCAGATTTCACGGTATTGAGTTTCTCAAAGATCTTCGGCTTCCCAGATCTTGGGGCTCTGATTGTGAAGAAGGAATGCGCACATTTGTTCCAACGTCGGACCTACTTTGGTGGAGGCACTGTCGATATGGTCGTGTGTCTGAAGGAACAATGGCATATCAAGAAGACCGCGTCTCTCCACGAGCAGCTCGAGGAAGGAACATTGCCAATACACAGTATTCTAGCATTGAAGTCGGCGATGAAAACGCATCAAGAGCTGTTCCGTTCTCTGGAGCACGTTGCAGCACATACTACGTATCTGGCCAAGCAGCTTTACGACGGCTTAAGTTCTCTGCGACATCATAACGGGCATGCAGCATGCACAATCTACCTTGATGAACACGCAGACTATGAGCGACCGTCCACTCAAGGGCCTACAGTGGCTTTCAATCTACGCGATAGCAAGAAACGCTGGATCAGTAACACTGAAATTGAGAAGCTAGCATCGGTCAGGAATATTCATCTGCGCACAGGTGGCCTTTGCAATCCCGGGGGAAACGCATTTCACCTTGATCTGTCCCCTTGGGAGATGCGTGAGAACTTCTCGGCGGGCCTCCGCTGTGGGTCAGAGAACGACATCATGAACGGCAAGCCAACTGGCGTCGTGCGTGTAAGCTTGGGAGCCATGAGCACCAGAAGTGATGTCGAGAAATTTGTTGATTTCGTTGATGAGTTCATGGTGGACAAAACGCCTCCACAGACAACTGCTCCCTGCTCATTGGCACTGGACGACCCAACAGCATCCCGCCTATACGTGGAAAGCTTGTCCGTTTATCCGATCAAAAGTTGCGGAGGATTCAGTGTTCCATACGACACGCCTTGGGACGTTCATCGCGAAGGTCTTGCTTGGGATCGGGAATGGTGTGTAGTCAGTCAAGCAACCGGCAAAGCCCTCAGTCAGAAGTCGCATCCTCGGATGGCATTGGTACGACCCCAACTGGAGTTCACAGAAGGGCTCCTTCGCATCAAGCTTGCTGGTAGTACAGCCCAGATCAGTGTCCCTCTGTCGAGAGACCCAAGCTACTTTGCTGCGCCGGACTTCAAGGATTTAGATGCCAGCGTCTGCGGCGACACCATCAAAGCTCGCGTCTACACCTCGAAAACGATCGCGGATTTCTTCACGAGAGCCCTCGGAGTTCCCTGTACGCTTGCTCGCTTCCCAGCTGCGACCCAAGCGTCTCCTTCCGTTCGGCACAGCAAGACTCACCTACACCAGAAGACCGCAGAGCAGAACGTACCCCGTCCAATTCTCCTAAGCAACGAATCGCCCATCCTCACCATCTCCCGCTCCTCACTGAATCGATTGAACGAATCTATCAAAGCCAAAGGCGGCAAAGCAGCCTATCCTGCCGTCTTCCGAGCCAACATCGTTCTGGCAGAAGACCCCTTACAACCTCCTGGACACGAGCAACCTTGGGCGGAAGACTACTGGCAAGGTATGCGCATCGGCGGCGAGAATGGGCCCTCATTTGAGTTCTTGGGAGGCTGTAGGAGATGTCAAATGGTCTGCGTAGACCAGGAAAGCGCAGAGAAGAACCAGGAACCCTTCAGTACGCTGGCGAAGACGAGAAGGGTTAATGGGAGGGTGTTGTTCGGTGTGCATACCTGTCTTGCTGGACATGAAGGCGGGAGCGTAAGGATCAGTGCCGGTGATAAGGTTGGGACTTGGAATTGATGGAGAGAAAGACGCGTAAAGCTATCGGATGGATCTTATCGACCCCAAGCACGTACTCAGTCGTTCATATCTCGTGGCTCATGCGCATGAGTATTGAAGAAGTCCACTGCGACTCCCCAGCAACAACATCGTCCCCAAATTCCGCGTGTTAGACGATTATCGCTTGGACAAGAAAGATGAGCCTGGTCAACTGTTGGATTGTCGGAGACTCGTTCTCAAACCTCATGGTTCAGAAACTGGAGGGACTGTCCGTGTGTGGTGGAGGTGGAATGCAGTACACTGCTCGGACAGATGAGGTCCTATTGCATACGAAATTGAAGTCTCCTTTGCGATGGGATAGAACCGCGTGTGCACCCAGGCTTCTTCATAGGTAGGGTTGTCGAAGGTTGTCGAAGGTTGTCGGCGCGCTAGCTCTTCGTAGAGAGTTGATATCCGCCTCGAGCGCTAGGCAAGACCATTGGCAGTAACGCAGCCCGAGCCGAGACAAGCTCTGGTTGGAGATGAAGAAAATGTGATGTCGCTTTGGGCCATCAGCCTCTTTCACGATAGTCCGCACACATGTCGGAGTTTAATCCATCTTCTAGATGCAATCTTCTAGATGTATGAGGGAGCCTTATCGAGATCATCAGCCTTATCTCTCGGCCACGCTCGGCCTTTCTGTGGCCCGTTGCGAAGATCTCGGTCCAGACAATCTCAATGCGAGCTGGGGGATTCAATCCTGAAATTTGTCTTCTGTCTACCAAATTGTTAACCTCAGGGGTGAAGAAGAAGTCGTGGATATACTGTTGCTGTAGCGACCACATCTTTTTTGAGAAATTGAGTTCAGTGACGTCGGTTCGAGACCTCCGTCACGTCTTCTTCCAGCTTCAGCTCCAGCTCCAGCTACCAACAACACACTCCACACACCACCAATACCACCTCTCGCGCAACAAACCACCGCCCAACATGCCCAAAGGCGGCGTCGCCCCCTTTGCGACCTTCCTCATCGTAGGACGTGAGTCTCCAACCCCCTCTCCAAGACTACCGCCCTCCGAATCTCCCACTAATAACCGTCTCCATCCCAACAGCAACCTGTTTCTTCCTCGGCATCCTCTTCGCCCTCTTCCCCTACGACTACAATGTCCTCTGGACCATCCCCTCCGCCCCCGCATCCGACCCGACCAACCCCAATCCCCGCGACATCTACTTCGCCCTGCAGGAGAACCACCTCAAATTCCTCCACGCCTCTCCCCCGCTCATCTCCCGCATCCTGCACATCGTCATCGGCGTCGGCATCTTGGGATTCATGATGAAGCTCTACAAACCCTCCGAGGCAAACCTCCTCTTCGACGGCGCGAGCTTGGTGCTCTACATGTGCGGGATCACGGTGTACATTGCGAATATTGTCAAGGGCTTGAGGACTGTGACCGCGGGTGCGTATGGGGGCCAGCAGCTGGAGGGAGGGGAGACGTTGGTCGATAAGACTCTGGAAGGGACGGAGAATGATTACATCGGGCGAGAGGATTCTCTGAGGGTGTTGGCGGCGTCGAATACGATTCTGGCGCTGGTGTTGGTGGGTGTGCTGGTGTTGCAGGCCGGGCAGTGGTACGCACAGCGGAAAGAAGCGGAGGAATTGGAGCACATGGACAAGGTGAGGGACGAGAAGAAGCACGCAAAAGCTGCTGCGGGTGGAAAGGAAGGCAAGAAGAAGCAATAGCATTGTGGCCGAGCTCTTTCTTTGCCTTCTTCCTCCCCAAGCGAGCGTTGCGCGCGCGAGGCGCTTGGGTTGGTCTTGGATGGCGAGCTCGACGTAGGTGGGAGTGATTGATGACAGAGGGCAGGCAAAATACCCAGAAACACGAATAGAGAGCATGATGATGCGCGCGCAAGAGCTGTACGGCGAGTTCATGTTGCAAAGTAAGCTTACGCGAAACATTTGCCCAAAAGTTCAGACCTCGGTGTTTCTTTCAAAAAAAAATCGTCTATCATTGATCGCGAACTACCGCCTGGGTATATCGCTGAAACCATTGGCAAGTGACCACGCCCAGTCTCCTCGCTATGCGCTTTACACAAAGGTTATGTTGAATGGTTGCCTCCCCAACGCATCTTCTGTTCTAGCATTCTTTAGTGGTGGAAGAGTCGAATATGCTGCTCAACAAAAGTAATACCAAGCTGATCGGCGGTCGAAAAGCATGGCTGATCATTCTGGCTACCAGTCGGGGCAGCGACGTACTTCGCGCCCGAGCGAGCCACGCGGTAGACGTTGTCGGTGAAGGGGAAGAAAGCGTCACTGGAGACAGCGACCTCGGAGAGCTTAGACAACCAAGCCTTGCGCTCCTCCAATGTGAAAGGCTGGGGCACTTCTTCGAAGTTCTTCTCCCAGTCTTCACGCTCGGGGCCGCTGTCGGGCACGATGCCGGAGCAGAGTAAGTCAATCGCGTTGCTCTTGTCGGCGCGCTTCGTGCCCTTCTTCCATTTGATCCCGAGAGCGCGGTCGTGGAAGCGCATCCACCAGTTGTCAGTCTTGTCGCCTGCGAGTCTCGTGCAGTGGATGCGCGACTGCTGGCCGGCTCCTAGACCAATTACTTGGCCGTTCAGGGCATAGCAGACCGAGTTGGACTGGGTGAATTTTAGAGCGATCGTCGCCACGGTGAGATCTCGTAGAGCAGATTCCGGTAAAGGCTTCGACTCCTTGGGCACAATGACCGAGTTGAAGGTGCTTTGTGGCGAGATCTGAGCATCGTTGCGGTTCTGCGTGAGGTTGATGCCGTAGAGCGTTCGGACCTCTTGAGCGGGCGGGTTGTATGCCGGGTCCATCTGAAGTACGAGGTACTTGCCGCCCTTCTTTTTGCTGAGGATCGCAAGTGCTTCAGGCTGGTAACCTGGTGCGACGACTCCATCGCTGACCTCCTTGCCGATGATCTTGGCAGTGGGAACATCAACCTCATGAGACAGCGCAATGATGTCGCCAAAGCTAGACATGCGGTCGGCGCCTCGAGCACGAGCATAAGCCTGGGCAAGTCCTGAGTTCTCCAGTCCTTCGATGTCCTCGACCATGTATACCTTCTTCTCCACGTCGCTCAGAGGTACGCCGATAGCGGCACCTGCTGGGGAGACATGCTTGAATGAAGCGGCGGCTGGGTATTGGAGGGCCTCACTAAGTTCCTTGACCAGGGGCCAGGCATTGAGTGCATCGAGAAGATTGATGTAGCCAGGAGAGCCAGCGAGAACTTTGAACGGTAGCTGTCCGCTTGTCACGTACGCAGATGCGGGCTTCTGGTGGGGGTTGGTGCCGTAACGGAGGGACAGTTGCTGCGAGCCGTCTCCTGCATATTTCTTGCGGAAGAAATCTGCGATGGCAGTGTCGTAGTCGGCGGTGTGAGAGAAGGCCTTCAGAGCATACCGCTGTCTCTGTTGCTCAGTAACTTCGCCCTTTTCCAATTCCTGCAAGAAGTCATGGTAGTCCTCTGGGTCGCTGAGGATGGTGACACGACCGTGATTCTTGGCTGCGGCCCGGATCAGTGTGACTCCGCCAATATCAATCTCTTCAACAGCCTCTGGAATGGTGACGTTGATCTTCGCGACGGTGTCCTTGAACGGATAGAGGTTGCAGATTACGTAGTCGACCTTGTTGATATTCTGCTCTGCAAGATCTTTCTCATCAGAAGCAAGGTCCCGAGCTAAGATGCCGGCGTGAACTGCAGGGTGCAGAGTCTTGACACGTCCAGAAAGCATTTCGGGGGCCTTCGTGATTGCTGAGACATCTTCTACAGGAAAGCCGGCCTCACGGATCAGTCTAGCTGTACCACCAGAAGCCAAGAGGCGCACATTCTGCTTGACCAGGCCTTTTGCGAGATCCAAGAGGCCTGTCTTGTCGTAGACGGAGAGGATGGCTGTGCAGATTTTACTGTTAGTGGCGTTGCCATTGGGTCGAAGTAGTAGTATTATTCGGCACACTCACCAATCTTCTGGGGATTCTCCGAAGCCATTGCGACCGCTCGAGATGTTGTGAAGCGGTGGCTAGATGTTCACAAGACAATATCAAATTCCGAGTCCTCTGCTCAACTTTTCTCCAGTCATGCACGTCGCCCACCAAGATATTTCGACCTTGGAAACTTTAATCGCCCCGCTGCGGTCATAGTCCGGGGCCGGATTGGCTGACAGGGCCCGTCCCGCAGATGGCTGAACTCTAATCTTGCTCGACTCGGAACTTCACCTCCGATCCTTTTACATCAACAACAACATTCCTGTCCTCCTGAAGGAAACGAAGCACGTATCATCTCCATTCTTCACTTCACAGTCAAGTGAGGCGACATGGCGAGAGCTTTTTTGGTCTTTTCTGAAAGCATCAAGGCACCAAGACTGTTCTCCGCTCTATCAACCAAGACCTCCTTTCACAAGCTTCAAACCAGGAATTTGCATGGCACCTTCTGTCGAGGCTCAAAGGGAGAGCAGAATATACACAATTCTTGGACCACCGAAGAGGTCGAGCTATTGCACGACCTGATGCGAAGCGGGAAATCGAAGAAGGAAGTTTTAGCGGCATTTCCATCTCGACCGCCCAGATCGATTCAGAGTAAATGGTGTATAATCGGGCCCCGAGACTCCCGAGGAAGGCTGATATATTCCTTTGCCCATCCCTATACTCAGGACGAAGTGCGCAAGCTGAAAATGCTGCACAAAGCTGGAATTACCTCTCATAGCGAACTGCTGCCACGCTTTCAAGGTCGTACGGCGCCCGCGCTGCGCACCAAGATGCAGTCATTGCTCCACTCGGACGTGCAGAGATTCAAATACTTCTGGACGCCGCAGGATACTCAACGTTTGGTATACCTCCGCGAGGCATTGGGTTTCTCGTGGCGGGACATTGCCTCAGAATTTGGGCGGACGGTCGAATCTGTGCGTAAACGATACAGGAAGGTTGTGGACGCTCGTAAGACATGATCCGCATCACGACTCTACAAATGTTCTCAACCGTGGACCGATATCTCGAGATCTGCCACCTTACGCCCATCTTAGCAGCCGAGTCTGCCTCTCCAAGAACCTGATCCTTGGTCGATCTGCCTCATACGTCACACTCTGATGGAAACGGACGACTTTGGAACCTCTGCTAGCTTCTTCGAGAAATCATTGCTCAGTACCATTGCTGTCGGTCTTCAGTACCTGTTCGCACCAGGTGTGCATACTAAGCATTCCGGAGGGTCTCCACCATCACGGCTTCCGCACAGCACCAGGCTCGGTCGTAGTATCGGTCTTCAACAAGGCTAATGACGGCGTCACTTTGGGCGACGATCAGTGTTAGTGCTTGTATGCTCGGCATTGGATCTTGTTGGTCGACGCATGCGAAGTCCTGATCCAGTCTAGTCAGTACCATGGGTTGTCTGGCCTGCGAGCAAGGGAAATGCACTCACCAGACACGTATAATTTCCCTGGATCTACCGAAGGTGTCAATATCAGAAAGACTTGAGCGCCTTCACCATTCTGCCATATGGGAAGTGGACCGCGTCGTCTGGGTGGGCTGGGCGGGGGCGGAACTCGGTTGATTCATCCGTACGAGAAGATAACTACTGCATCTGGCTCCTCGCACTCGCCGTATGGCGAAGCCATGCCGGATATGGAACCAGGAAGCGCCTTGACATCCAGAAATGCGTAATACCGCTGGAGTCTCAAAGAGTCGAATGCTTCTCTTAGGTGCTTGTCAGCAATCAACGCCTCTTGCTAAAGGCGACGAACAGATCGCAAATTGGACCGGACGCGACTGGAAGCCGGACGCATCTTTTCTTGGAACAGCAGCCGGTAGCCTTTTTGCATCCTGGCTTCTCTCAACTTTCCATGGGATGTGCAGTAATCTAGTCTGCTCCACCGGCACCGGGTCGCGTACTTTCAAACTTGCGCTGTAGACCTTCCAACCCGATATGTTCCGCTTTCACATCGCCATTGCACACCGCGTAGGCAAGTGGTGAATAGCCGCGACAATCCGCGAGCCCACATCTGCGCCGGCATGGACAAGATCACGGACGTCCTGTCGATACTCCTCCAAATGCATCTTCTGTGATGAAACCTGTCAAGGCCTCTTCGCGCTGCCCGTGGTGCAGCAAAGCTCTACCATAGGCGGCATCGAACATTGCTCGTACCGTGGGATCGTCGAATTGGTCTGACAACAAGTTGAACTCCTTAGAGACCGCGACCGCGTCTTCATATCTACCTTTCGCGACATAGCAGAGCGACAAGCGGGATAGGCCAATGATCTCTCGTCCTATTGCCCATCCTATCCTCAAAGCGCAGACTTGGCGGTACTCGTCTGCATCTGGCCCGATCAGGATATCTCTGGCCGGATTACTCGTTCCCGAACTTGCTTGATGGCCATTTGAAGCAACTTTTGGTCATTGAGTCTTTCAGGGAGTTGGAAAGTTACCATACCCAGGTTTTCGACCGCCCTGCATGTTTTAGTCTTGAAGACCTAATCCGTCGCCAAGTCGTCCTGTTACTCGAAAGCCTCTCTGGCGCCTTCAAAGTCCTTCATGTGCCTGTAGACTACTCCAAGCTCTCCGAGGAATCGGATACTGTCTGAAGAATTGCAATGAGTGATGCACTTCGAGTCTTCATCTAGAGCTTTGCGCAGAAGATCTCGCGCCTACTTGTAGCCTCCAAACTTTCGATGGTTGTGCCCTAGATCAAACCGGAGAAGGCGTGTGTAGTATCCAGCGTAGGGCAGATTCGGGTCGTGTGTGGAGTGCAGCGCTTTGTGGAAACCTCAAAGGGCGAATCCCCGCTCTGCAGTAATGGCATATATCGTCATTGAGAACACCTGGATGAAATCGTTCTCATTTTGATTATGAGCAGGCCATGTTCGAAACACCAATTCCAAAAATTACGGACCAGTTCGGAAGATTGAAGATGTGGCGTGGTATGGCTCAGCTTTCTTGATCGCACTCTGAGGTTATCAGTCCGCTTCTGCAAAAGCCTACTACAAGGATCGACTCATCAAGATCTCTTTTCTCACCTTCATGGACATCCTTCAAGGTTGAAAGCCTCGTGCGTGCGGTGGCTCCGACCTCTGTAGCCTTGCTAATTGGTCGTGCAGTAGCGAGCCTTGGAGCTACCGGTATAAGCAGCGGAGCCATGATAATAATCGTGGTTATCAGGCCGCCAAAGAAGCGACCCTTGTTTCAAAGCCAACTTGAAGCTGCATACGGAATATCCTCACTGGTCGGGCCACTTCTTGTGCGCGTCTCCACCAAAAGGCTACCTTGGAGATGGTGTAAGTAATAAATTCACCGGCGCAAGTCCACGTGGAAGCATACACCTGCTTCTGATGGCCACCAGTGAACCATGCGCCGCAAGCTCGTCAAGCAAAGTGGTATGGTCAAGCAGAGGTGGTTTCAATGAAGGAACATTTCTTCGGGGGTATCTCTATCTGAACGTACCAATCCACTAGCTATGAATGCTTGTCTTTGCTCTTTTCAGAACACCAGAAAGGATATCACTTCTCACAAGATTATCATTTCACATTTTCCGCGTATCAAGACATATTCCTATTCAAAGACGACAGACTCCAAGGTCATAATGGCCTTGTCTTTTCCGCTCTCCAAAAGCCCATGAGCTCTCCTGTTTCGGACACCCAGGTTCTCACATTATTGACAGCCGCCTTGGCCATGCCTGTCTGGGTATTACTCCTCCTCGACCGTGTCCTAATCTCTCCAATCCCACCGTTGATCGAACCCGCAGTCGGGGCGTGATCAGCTCCAGGAGAAATGAAACTACTCCCCTGCCCAGTCGCGTATTCACTGCCCATACTCGGCAGAACATTCTCTCCGGCACTCAAGCTCACGAAGAGAGCAAACGGGACCAGCCACACGTTCAGTCCAAAGAAACTCGCAATCTCCGTAAACGTCGGAATATTCGCCTGATCGTAATAATTATACCGCCCCCCGGTCGAATTGTGCGGCGGCGCGCTGAAATGCCGGAACCACAGCCAATGGTTCACCAGCACCAGTCCACAGCTCAGCAAGAAGATCGGGTCTGTGAGCTTTACCACGGGGAATCGCCGTAGATTGAGGCTGTAGATGAAGTGCGAGCCGATGCTGAAGAGGGAGGGGAGGTACGGGAATTTGTCGAAGAGGGCGAGGAGGACTTGGATCGCGGTGACGGCGTAGATCATGCGAGTGAGGATCTTCTTTGCGAGGACGGTGTGCTCTTCGACCAGTTCGGAGAGGTAGTAGAGGCCGGAGGCAATTGCGAGGGTGAGGAAGAGGAAGCCGAGGAGGAGGCCTAGGTAGCCCTGTATCGATGGTGTTCAGTAGTTGTTACGGGAGGGATAGTGTGTTTCCGGATCGAAGAGGAATAGATGAGCCTACCAAGAGTGGAAGGATCCACATGATCGTGTCTTGTCTTCAGAACACTCAGTCATACAGATCAAAGACTGATGTCGATCCTCTGAGGGAGATGGGAATGAGGTGAAGATAGACGCACGCGAAAAGTTGGCATTCACATGCTGGAGATGTGGTTCCCGGCTATCCCCACACGGATGGATCGGTCCGAGGAGCTTATCTCCGATAAGATGTCAAAGTGAGTTTGAGACAGAATTTCGAAACCGAAGATCACTTCAACTCTACACAACAACTGCGATCTCCGTCTCGACTACTTGCGCCCAGCATCCTGAAGACACGAGTCACACATACGAATGCTTGTGACGCTACCTATAAGATATCTGGTTGGCACGACGATTCCAGACTCCCTCTGATACCTAACACTTCGCGACAATGTCGAGACCAGAAGACCTTCTCCCGTATGCATATGGCCAAAGCTCGGAACGAGTATAGAAGCATGGCTGACAGCCTTCCAGACCCGATGTATTCTACAATGACTCAGAGTCGCGAAAATACACCACCTCCTCCCGGATCAAAAACATCCAGGCAGACATGACAAACCGTGCCCTGGAACTGCTCGACCTCCAGGAACCTTCCTTCATCCTAGACGTGGGCTGTGGCTCGGGCCTCTCGGGGGAGATACTATCCGACGTCCCCTCAGAAGAAGGCGGACCACACACATGGGTGGGAATGGACATTTCCTCCTCGATGCTGGCACAAGCGCTAGAACGCGACGTCGAGGGCGACATGCTCCTCGCAGACATCGGACAGGGGATCCCCTTCCGGGCAGGCTCCTTCGACGCCGCAATCTCCATCTCCGCGATCCAATGGCTCTGCAACGCGGAGACCTCCGACGTCTCCCCCGAGGGCCGCCTCAAACGCTTCTTCGACGGCCTCTACGCCGCCCTCAGACGCGGCGGCAAAGCCGTGTGCCAGTTCTATCCCAAAAACCCGCAGCAGCGATCCATGATCTCCAACGCGGCGATCAAGGCGGGCTTCGGCGCCGGCATCCTCGAAGACGACCCGGCAACCAAGAACGTGAAAGTGTACCTCGTGCTCTCCGTCGGCGGCGGCGACGTCACCGGCGCCGTGCGCGGGATGAGCGATGTGGACGTCTACGACGCGCGCCGGAAAGAGCGCAAACGCGGCAAGGAAGTCGACAAGAAGAAGGGCAGCAAGGCGTGGATCCTGCGCAAGAAGGGCCAGATGGAAGCCAAGGGCAAGGTGGTCAAGGCCAGTTCGAAGTACACGGGCAGGAGGAGGAAGACGGCGTTCTGATGAGGAAGCCGTGGTCATTCGTCATGAAAGACAGAGACTTCTTCTTCTTCTTCTTCTTCTTTCGTGTCCAATCATACGATGATGAAGACGGATTCCTCCGTTCTAGCCGCCGTCCCGTCCGGGAACCTGTCCTGTGACAGGGTCCCGCCCCCCCCCCTGACTGCTGTGCTGGATGTTGCGGGCGGTAGTCAGAACTGGCTCGAGTGGTGGTGATGAAGGAATTTCCCCTCCCAGTTCTAGACCGGGCGCTTACTACCTACCTCTGCCACCCCATCGCGGCTCATCAGCCCTGCAGCAAGAGCCTAGAGCCCCGCGGAGTGCCGGCGCGAACTCGCATCATGCATCATTCCTATGATATGATACCCGAGCTGCTCGTCTTATTACGCGCTCACAACCAGCTACCTTATACCTTAGCAAGGAAAGAAAGATGACGATCGCCACCGCCCGCCCGCCACAGTCCAAACACCCACCCAATACCCAACACCCAACAGCAAAGGACTCCGCGTATCGAATCGCTACTACTACAACGCAAGCAAAAAAAGGGGGAAGAAAACGTTTCGGGTATCCATCGATCCATCAAAAGAGAGAGAGAGTGTGTGTGCCATGTCATGTCATGTCATCAAAATCGCTTCGATTCGATTCGATTCGATTTTTGAATTTTTATTGAGCTACCGCTACCGCTACCCATTCATCTCGCTTGCCGCTTGCCGCTGGCAACGAACACCAACAACAACAAGTTTGTAATAATAAGCCAGTACGCACATCCATCCACAATCTCATGCATGCGAGTCAGTGTCCACATCCGTCCATTCATCCATCCATCCCAGAAAAGATACGTAGCCCGAAGCCCCATATCACATGTGCGTGACAAGCGGGCCACCGGTACCGCAAACCGCAAACCGAAAAAAAAAAGGCTAAAAAGGCTGTGAAGCCCAAAGAGTCCTCCATCTCTCCTTTTTGTGTAGCATCCAAATTTTTCTAGATTTCGTTTCCATGTGGCGTTCAATTCGTTATACGAGGAGTGGGGGGTATCCGATAAGAGTGATGAAAATATAAGAATGATGATGATTAATAGATAATGATGATGGGGTTCTTTCATCGTGATGAAGACAGATCAGATCGGGTCGTGAGTGAACGTTCACGAGAAGAAAAGCCCGCAAGTCAAGTCGCTTGCTGTGGAAGGAAAGAAGCGGCAAAGCGATTGGTGGAAAGACAGGTAGGTGTGTGGGAGGGAGGCCAGGCTGGATGTGATACCAGGATCCGGTGCAGTGTCGATGCAGTGTGCCCGAGCAAGAAGAAGTTGAGGTCCGACGACAGGCAAAAAGGGGGAGGGCAGAGATTTAGGCTTGCACGCCATTCACCTCCACTTCATACCCCTTTCCCTTCTGCTGCAGGGCCTTGGCAATCATAAGCTCCCGCATCCATTCAATGCGATCGTCCTTGGTCTTGACCGCGAAGTGGTGAGTCTTGCCGTTCAGGCTCACGGGTTTCTTGGGAGAAGGCGAGCCGGCAGCACTGCACTCGGCCTGTTTACTCGGGATGAGCTGAAAGGCAAAAGCGGTAGGATCGGCGTCTTCCTTCTTCTTCGCCTCGCCTCCGCCGCCAACGAGATGGAGAGCCTTGAACGCGGAAGAGAGTTTGTTGTTCGTGTGGAGGGTGGAGCATGCTACGGCGTAGTCGTCGACGTTGATCGACTCCATGGCTGCGCTGGAGAGGCGTGCGTTGGCGTGTTGAGTGAGTTTTGTCCCTTTGAGTCGAAAGTGGGATTCTTGCCATTCGTGACGGAGCATCTTTGTTCGTTGGCGTTTCTTCATCCAGCCAGCGTGGGTGCAGTCGGGCCCGTAGCCGAACTGTTTCGTTCCGACAGGGCTGTGATGCGAAGGATCTCTGACGGACGGCTTGACTTGGCTTACACTGTCGGCGGAATGCGAAGTGCTCATGGATGGTCTAGACTTGTGCGAAGAGTTGTCTGAGGATGGTGAGAACACTTCATTTTCTTTGACGGCTGGCAAAGCCATCGAAGGTCGTCTCCAGTCCAAGCGAGATTGAGACCTAAGGGGTTGTTGAGGGCGGAATTGCATATTTGGTGGGACCGATTGTGATGTGTCGCGCGCCAGAGGGTCTTGAGGGACAACAGCAGAGATAGCAGGAACATCCATCTCCGAAGCCGGGGTCCCTAGACGATAGATGTTGTGCTGACTCGGCGAGGCCGTCGCGCTGCGGCAGATGGACCCCGCGGTCTTGGGGGATGCGATTCGGTTGATGTTGGGTCCCGCGCTGGCTGAGCGCGGGATGTCAAGCCTCGGAAGCGACTTGAGATTCTCATGTGGGCCAGCAGTATGTCGCGTGGGCTGCACCGGCGAGGGCGTAGGATACTGCGCTGGAAAGGGTGACACAGAGTTGGTGGGAAACATCTCATATCGTGGCTCTGCTGGTGGCGATGGCGGTACATCTTCACCGATCGGGGACTTGATGTGCTGGAATTCCAGAAATCGTTTCACATTTTCTTGTGGATCGCGTGAGCCAAGTTGGCCAAGGGCATCTTCTTGAAGCGCGAAGCTCGGGAGCTGGCCAGGCCCAAGGAGATCGGAGGAGGCGACAATGGAGGGCTGAGCTTCCGAGACAGGTCGGAAGGGATCATCTAATAGGGTATCTTGCTGCTTGTGGACATTGGGGACCATGTTCTCAGCAGTGTGGGCGTTGCCTGGGTCGCCGGCCACGAAGATGCGTCCACCTTTGGTCGGACTCACGGGGAAGCGACCAAGACCGTGCTCGTTGTGAAGCTGCTCGATCTCTCTTTGCTGCTTTCGCCATTTGGCGCATCGCTCTCCCTTGGAGCAGTTGTGAGGCTTGGGGAGTAACTGCTCAATGGCGACAATCGATACCGACTCGGCAGGCATTACGATATCGTTGGCCTTGGAGGCCTTGCGTGCGCGACGCTTGTTGCCACCTCCTGGAGATGTAGGCCTGTGATCGTCGCCAACCGGTGACATTGGGCCACGACTTGGCGACCGCCTGTTGTTGGAAGTGCAGGGTCGGCTGATGTCCTGGAAGGGGGTAGGCTGTGGGCTGATGGTCGTGTCGTCGCCTCTGAGAAGGCAGATGGCACTCCAGAGTTGATGTCTCTTGCCGAAGGATTGGATGTCGAGTTCCTTGAGGTCTTCGAATTGCAGGTCCAGCAGTACCGTGCCATCGATGTCATGGACCTCGAAGCATTGGATGACGGAAGCTTCGATTCCCGTATCGTACATCCAGTCAATGACCTGCTGCTTGGACCATGATCGGATGTAGGCTTCGGTATCGTAATAGGCGGGTCCGGCTGGCCGAAGAGCAGCATCTAGGGAGAAGCTGTTGTTGTCCTGCGACGGGATGGGCGTCACGGTGTCTTCTGTGAACGCTGTGCCTGTCCGCAGGGGGGGCTCCTTGGGAAGCAACGGCGACATCTGCAGAGCATGGTCGAAATCAAACTCGGCTGATACGTGAGAAGACTGCGAAGACCTGAAGAGATGCGGACCTTTGGGACCCTCGACGGGTCGGAAGCGAAGCTCGAATTGTCCTCTCTGGGAGCCGGTCCGTGGGCTTGGCGTTGGGGCTTCGTCGTAGGACGAGATGGTGGTTTGACTTCTTCTCCTGTCGTCCTTGATGGCCATCAACAGGTCGCTCCGTTCCGATTGCACACGAACAGCTCCATGGGTGGGTGCACTTACCGATTCGAAGCTACCCTTCTGAGACGTCTCATCGAAGTCGCTCTCGTCTTCAAAGTCCGTCTCGAGGATCTCGGTGGTCTCCGTCATCTGCGACAGTGGTCGGGAGTCGAACATTGATGACGCCGTCTTGGGCCGGAGATACATCTCCCCGCCGACCTCGAGAGGGGACACAAGCGTGGTGATGACCGGCATCACGACGGCTACTCCAAGACTGGGTTGGGTTGGGTTGGGTTGGGTTGTCAGTCTGGGCGAGAGTTGTTGAGTCGATGGAAGCATCGTCCGTTCACTGTCGCCAGTGGGTCATGGTCTAGAAGGCAGCACAGAGCAGCTCAGATGAACGGGTGGTCGCGAGGAGGTCGCGGTGGGCGGGGAGGGCGCGGTGGGCGGAGATGGACTTGTATAGACTCTGAGGTGCAGTGGCCTCCAAGTCGGCGGCAGCAGGGTGGTGATGAACATGTCGCGCAGCAGGAGCGACTGTTGCAGGCGGTACGGTATACCTAGGTAGGTAGCCGGCGCCAACAGCGGGATGCGGGAGTGCGGGAGTGCAGGAGCACGACTGCTCTCAATGGCCGCATCGCCTACCAATGGCATAGCGCAGACGGGGGAGCGCCGACGTCGCTTGGCCCGTCACACGCCGTCACAGCCAACGGAGTGACTTCTGCCAGTAGCTCCTTCTACTGCCGGGCGCCTACAGCTACACCACTAAATACACCTACTCGGGCGAGAATGCGGGCTAATTAGTCTCCTATCTTTGGATCTCATCTCTGTCCGTATGCGCGCGCTATGGAGCGATAGACTCAGACTCAGACTCTGCGCCGACCGGGACGATCAGCTCCCCGCCGTCGACACCATGATATGATGGCCGCGACGGGACGAAGCGGAGCACTCTCCTAGAGTTGCTTTGCAGTCGCAGTGCCATCTCACCTCGTCGAATCTCGCCCATACCCCGTTCGGTTCGGTGCCGTGTCGGTCCCGCTCCGAGGGCTGGCCCTCTTCATTATCGTCAAAGTGGTGACTCTCATCAGTCCAAGTGGAGGCCGTCGACGAGATTGGGATGCTCGCATGTTCTACATGCACCCTCTTGCACACAGCAGCGTCGTGTTCGGAGCGCTCTGCTACGCGACATCCGTTCCTGATAAGCCAGCCATCGAACGAGGTCGCAGCTCCCGAGAGTGCTCGCATATCGCGACGCAAGGGACGGTGTAGCAGGGCAGGCAGGCAGACAACAGAGACTGCGCGAATGCCATGCCACGAGAGAGCACAGTACATCGATGGCGTTGCGTTGCGTTGCGTTGCGTTGCGTTGCGTTGCGTTGTGCACGCGGCTCCGGTGCACCATGTCACAACAGCACAGCATTATGCCAGGTCACAGGAGCACAGCGCATTGTTATTGCCAGAGCGGGAGAGTTGCAGTCTTCGACCTCGAGCGTGACCTGCCACTCTACCAATGGGTGGCGAGATAGTGAGAGCGCTCCACTGACTGGACGAGCGGTGGCCGACAGCTCGTCCAACGACGCACGCGAATGTGGCCGGTCGTTGAGCGGATCCGGCAGAATTTAATCGGATTAATTCGAGAGATGCGAGCTGCGAGCAGTTTGCTGGGAGGCGGGCGGGCAATCAATCATGTGCAATGTGCAATGTGCAATGTGCAATGTTGTGCCGGCAGGCCGAGAAGTGTCTCGCAAGTCGAGCAGCTCAGCGTTTCTGGAGCAGACGCGGTGAGCTTCGCGTCCCTTGCGTCGGTATCCAATCGATGCTCCAGGACCGCAAATCCCCACCTTCGACACCCTCCCAACTCCCGACGCCATGAATCGCGGCGAGAGCAAAGTCCACGTGGGGCTGATTCTACATACTCGTGCTGCTGTTGCCGGAGCAGTGGCCTGACGAGGCCGGGCGCAACTCTCTCTCCGGCCTTGCGTGCTGTCCTGCCTGATATATTGCTGCCATGCCAATGAATGCGGAGGCTTCCCACGCGGCGACTGCATGTACCGTCTGCGCAATGATGCCACGAGAGAGCGCGCGCGACGTCTCGTGGCCGCCTGCCCTCCTCTGCCCATTCACAAGCCATCCACAAGCCAATTCGCAAGCCATTCACCAGCCAATTCACAAGCCAATTCACAAGCCATCCTCAATCGTCCATGCAGCCAGGACGTCGTGTCTCGGAAGCGGTACGGCACGGTCAAGCCAAAATGGACCTCTGTCGCCAAGTCTGGGGCATCCTCTCGTCTGATTGGCCAGGCATTCGATCGGGGGGCTGGTCGTGGTCACAGCGCTAATGCATCCACACAACCTCATCACGCCCACTCAGCGTCCTCACCTCACTCCCTCCACCAAGTCACGCTCTCGCCAATGCAGACCACAGACACACGACGCTGCTGCGCTCCACTGGCCCGCACTCGGGCTTGGTACTCGAGCACGCGAGGTATTCCCCGCCCAGGGCACGTCACCCGCCTACGCACACGCACAACAGCGCGCCATCGGGACATGTTCGACAACGGGCAACGATGACCTGTCTCTCCGTGGCATGCGTGAGCTGAGAGATCCGGACATGTCGTGCTTCATCCCACTCGGCGAGCTCCTTCGCTCATGCAGGTCCCGAATGCTGCTCAGCGCTGGCGACAGAAAGAAGAAGAGTCCGACCTCCCTCGCACAGGGTCTTCCCTCTCGCGGCCGAGTCCACCTTGTGCGTGCAGCACATGCAACTGCAAGGATCGTCCCCATGGTCCAACGGTCCGCTTCGGGCACGTCTTGCGGACTACTGCACGCAAGCTATGTGATCTGTTGTAACTGAACGACAGCGGCGGTCCACCATCAGGCCCACTCGGTGTCGGGCTTTCACACTGAGCAATGGGAAGACGGTCCGCCAGCGGGCTGCGGAAGGCTGTCCAGACCTGGGCGGCGTCGACAGCTGAGCCGTCCGGCGATCGATCATCTCAAGCAAAAAGCTCCTCGACTGCTGGGGCAGCACATCTGAGTGGGCCTCGCACTGTGAGTGCGTGGTGAGGATCGACCCCGGAGACATCTCAGAGTGCTAGACCATTTTGCGGCCATTCGGTTGGCCAGTAGCGAGCGAAGACGCAAGAATAGCCAACGAGAACGGGCCGTTGATTGGAGGGATCTGCAGCCATCCGTGCACAACGCTCGATAGGTACTGAGCAAGCTTCGGGGCCACTTGCGCATTTAACACCCATTTCGGCGTGTGGAACTCTGCTAGCCAACCTCCTCCAAGAATAGAACTGGAGCTTTTATGCCGCATTTCGTCCACTTGAGGAGATATAAGGTACCTGCTGGCCCATCTCTTCCCCCAACACAGCCGTCGTTGATCGATTAATTTACAGTCTTTTTTACCCTCCATCCTTCCCTTCCACCAAAGCCCGCAGGCCAGGCTTTGCGTACTACCCTGTCGTTTAATCCAAAGCATCTCGGTCCCCTGCTCGTGTTCCCGGCCATTGTCGTTGGCACATATACTGCTACTACTACTCATGTCTTCTTCCGCGTCGGTCTCTAGCATATCGAAACATCACTCCGGCAAGATGGCCGCGCCCAAAAACGCTCCCTCGAGCGACGCCAAGGCGGTTGCGTCCAAGATGCACCGGCGTTCGCGTTCAGGTACGTTTCTTTCCGGGGTGCATGAGCCATTGTCAAGCTTCGGCAGGTACTGACATGTTTCAGGTTGCTTCACCTGTCGATTACGGCGGAAGAAGTGCGAGGAGGGCAAGCCCGCTTGCAAGGCTTGCAAGCATCTCGGCCTGCGATGCGACTACAAGCGTCCAATGTGGTGGAGCAATGGCGAACAGCGTCGTGCTCAGAAGGACCTGATCAAGAACATCATCAAGCGCACGCAGGTCTCCAAGAAGCAACAGCAGTCGCAGCAGCAACCTCTCGACACTAGCTCGCCGCCACCACTCAGCCATTCTGTACCAACATCAGCAGAGGCTCCTTTCGCGGAATCATTCACATACTCACGATGTTCTCCCGAAGGATCGCCTTTCTCTTCCAACGGATGCGACTTCACGTACCAATCGCCGGATGGGTACTTCACGATGCCACCGCCGCCGCAACCGTATGTCTCGGGTCATCCGCAGTACCCTCTCTTCTCCCCATACGAAGTCGACATCAAGACCGAGCGTGAGATCTACGTCAACAACGTCCCGACCCGAAGAGATTCAACGATATCGACGTTCAGCACCTTCCAGCCTCCCCCAGGTCCGCATGGGATGCCCAACTACCCGGCAGACAGCTGGGTGCAGCAGGAGCATTTTGAGAGCACCTCAGAGGAGTTTGCGGAGGAGCCGGTCGACTTCAACTTCTTCGAGTACCCACATGGCCCTGTCGCTCCCGAGCGCGAGACAGTCATCATTGTCGACGACGCTGACAAGTATCTCTTGAATCACTTCCTGGATAAGGTGCTCAAGTTGATCTTCCCAATTCTGGATGCAAATCAGCACGGCTCTGCTCGCGATGTGATTATTCCAGCGCTTGAGTCCAACAAGGCATATCTGCACTGCTGTTTGAGCGTGGCGGCAACCCACATGAAGGCAACAGAAGGCGTTACCGATGAGCAGATCGACAATGACATTGTTCGACACCGATACGCAGCTGTTTCGGAACTCTGCGAAGCTCTTGGACAAGACATCGACCATGACCAGATCCTCGAGGCGACACTCGGCATGATCTTCTTCCAATGCTCCGTTGGACGACCAGACGACACGCTGCCGGATATCCCGTGGCACCAGCATTTCCAGGCTGCAGCGAGCTTGGTGAACAAGTTGGACCTACCCGCCATGGCGACCGAGCTCTCCGCCGCTGCTCAGCACCCATCCTTCAATATGACGCTGACTTCTTGGATTGATATCCTCGGATCAACCATCATGGGCCGATCACCAATGTTCGCCGACACCTACCGAGAGCTCAACATGACCAACGGCACCGCGGGACTTGCAGAACTCATGGGGTGTGACGACAAGATCATGTTCTTGATCTCGGAGATCGCTTGCTTGGATGTGCAGAAGCAGATCGGCATCGATGAGGTGGTTCTCTGCAAGTACGTTGAATCTCTTGCGCAGGAGATTGGTACCACGGAGCCAGCTGCCGGCACGGTACAGAGCTGCTTCTCCGCCAGCGGCGCCATTCGACCTAAGCAACTCGCCATCAACCTTACTGCCGTCTTCCGCGTCGCCGCTCGCATCTACCTGTGCACTCTGGTCCCTGGCAACACACGCAACCAGCCCAGCATGTGCCACCTGATCTCGCAATTCTCCGAGCTTATGAGCTACATCCCCGCCGGCCCCGACGGCTTCGACCGATCCCTCGCATGGCCACTGCTAATTGCCGGCGGCGCTTCCGTCGCCAACTCGCCCTTCCGCGCCATGTTCGAGGAACGCTGCGAACGACTCGGCGACGGCGCCAACTTCGGCTCCTTTGGCCGCATCCGAGAGCTTCTCAAAGACCTCTGGCAGATCAACGACGCTGCCGCCGCACAGGGAGACTACCAGGGCGTCCGCTGGCGAGACGTGATGCAGCAGAAAGGATGGGACTTCCTCCTCATCTAGAACGCTGCTCGCATCCTGGCCTGGTACTTCCTTTCCCCTCACCACTCACTCCGACCGATCGATATCAACGACTGCATGAGCGCGAGCTCACCACGACTTTCATAATCTCCTTCTTGCATAGCGACGGCGCTACTACTTCTGAAGCATACCACACATCGCCTTAATACGGGATGCTCTCGGGACGAAATCTTTTTTTTTTTGGCATTGCAGATGATACCCCCGAATTGACAGCCAAACGAACGCGCTGTCCATGACTTTTTGTTTTTTCTTTTACAATTTTCCTTCTTAACTTCATGAATTGCGAAGAAGGCTGGCCTTGATCTAGCGCAGCTCTCAGGCCCGGAGGAGGAGGAGCAGCAGAAGGGCAACAACGACGAGAAAACCATAATGATCTAGCATTAGCATCTGCATCAATATCAACATCAGCATGGCATGGTATGGAGACAGTAGTTGGATGGATGAGCATTATTGTCTCCCAACGAGGTGGAAGGAGGAAGGATGTGGATATGGATTAGTCCCATGTAGAGAAGGACGGAAATGGATGAAGAAAATCTTCAAACCCAAATCATGTCTTCTCTCTGCTTTTCCTCATCATCCTCGCTGTCCTGCTACTTTATTGAGCGAGTTACTCCGAGGAGCGATAGGTGTCGAGTCCCTGCCTCTCCACCACCCACCCATCCACGGCCAGAATAATTTCTACTGCTGTTGACGGGAAGGTAGCAAGAAATGGTCTCGGACAGGGTTTGCAAATCTCAGGATGGATTATTGTTGTCGCTGTCCGTATTCTGATGAATAGATAGATTGGTATTGACGGTGTTCGAGTTCAAAGTTCATTGGGAGAAATTGAGAGATTGAATTCAAGCACGTGGGACGTGCGTCGTTCGTGTTCTGGGGACGGTGTGGGGCGGGCGTCTCGGCTCTTGCACGGCAGTCCCCGTAAGCTTCAGGGATATACCACTCGACACAGCGAGAGTTCATTGCAGAACCAAGGAAACATCCAAACACCCTCCTCCACACCTCCAAGAACGGCTAGACCACAACAATAATGTCCGCATCATCCAACCGGCCCATCTTTGACTCCGTCGACACAACCTTCGATCCCTCCCATAACAACAACAGCGCCCGCGACGACTCCCTCGTCGTCGAATCCCCCTCCCTCACAAACGGCAACGCCCTCGCCCGCTTCGAATTCGAACCCAACCTCACGAGCAAAAACGGCACCAAAGTCCTCATGGTCGAATGGGAAGAAGACGACACCACAGCCCCACAAACCACCTCCTCCTGGGAAGTAACCTGGGAAAACAAGCGCACAGTCCTCCCCGCAAGGGAAGAAGGCGAAGAACAAGCCGTCAACCGCCTCTACTTCCTCCTCGGCCCGGGCGTCGCAATCCCCACCACCGTAAAACTCACAAAGGGCAGCATAGAATGGCGAACGAACCCCCTGCCAGCCATCTTCCCGCCGGAACTGGGTGCCAAGGCCGGCAAGAAGGGCGTGTTACATACCATCTGGGCCAAGAAGAGATTACAAGTCCTCACCAGAGAAATCGAAGCGGAATCGAAAGAGAACGCAGAAGGGATCGGGTTGGAAATGGCCGTGGCGGAGAAAGAATGGATTGAAGCGACTTTTGGCGTCGCGACGAAACCCCCGCAAATATCTATATCCGCTGCGCAAGGAGCGACGATGGCGTCTGTCCTGGGAGGAGGCAATCTGAATTCCCCGACAAGTCCGCGGAGTCCCGGAGGCGGGCGATTGCTGGATAAATTGAAAGGCTTGAAGATCGGAACTTCTGAATCGGAACTCTCTGCGAGCAGGAAAGACGAGCACGTGGCACTGGCGGCGGCGGCGGCGGCAGCGCATAATCCTCTAAGCCCCGAGAGTTCGGACGTAGCGGTGGGGTCTTTTGGTTCTTTTGCTGCTTTGAAGGGCGCTGCGCCGCCGCCGACGTCGACCCTGGCTGCCAAACCTCCCCAACCTCCGACGCAACAACAGCAAAGAAAGATGATGGCATCGCAGCGACCACCCGAGTCGTTTTCCAGACAACCATATGGCATGGGCTCGCTGAACGCCTTCGCCGCGGGCGACGGAGGGCTTTCCCAGCAGCAGCAGCAGGGAACGAATAATGCTGATGATGACGATGATGACGATAACGATAACGATGACGATCTCTTCGCGCTACCCATGAGTCCACGAAGTCCGGACATGACCAAGAGTCCATTCTCTTTCGCGACGAAAGATACACATCGGTATGTGAATGGGAATGGTGGGGGTAAAGCTTCATGAAGTCATGAAGTTTGTTTGCAAAAGGAAGGGGTTCAGCGAGAGAGAGAGAGAGAGAGAGAGAGAGAGAGAGAGAGAGAGGAACAACGATATGATACCTAGACGAAAGAAAGAAGAAGCAAGCATCATTATATGATATACCAATTTGTTTGTTTGAATGTATTTATTTATTTTTGTTTGTTTGAAATATGTAGTTAGTAGTTAGTAGTTAGTAGATTAGCACTCGCATCCGAAGGATACTTTAAGGAGCAGAAAGGCGAAGGAGGAGAAGAAGAAGAACGAACGCATCAGTCAGTCAGCATTGCGACGGAAAGAAAAGATCTTACTTATCATAGTCGTACAAGAACTCACCCTCCAGCCTTCGGATTTTTTGTTTTTCACGGCGCCTTGTTAATCTGCAACATCTTATCCCGCCCTGCACTCACAATCCCCACGTCCCGATCCCAACAGACGGAAAACACCCTCGCGGCATCGCCCTGCGCAGCTTTCCCTCCGCCCTTCTGACTCTGACTCTCCCTCTCAATCACAAAGACCGCCTGTCCCACCTTCTCGCCCGAAGCCTCATGCCGCCCGGATCGCAGATCCCAGATCCGACACGTCCCATCGTTACTGCCGGAGACGAACTGATAGTCCCTCTGCGGGTCTCTGCTGAGGGAGTTGATCCAACCCGTGTGGCCCTTCAAGATCATGGTGGAGACTTTCGTGGCCGAGGCGCGGGGGTCGATGAGGTTGATGTAGCGTTCTGCGCCGCCGGCGGCGAGGAGGGAGGTTTCCGGGAGGTGGCAGAGGGCCGAGAGGGATTGGCCGGTGGTGCGGGTGTCGACGCATGTGGCGGTGGGGAGGTCCCAGGTCTTGACCGTGTGGTCTTGCGAGGCGCTGTAGGCGACCGTGTGGTCTTTCTGGTCGAAGGTGACGGCTTTGACGAAGTCGCGGTGGCTTTCCAGCATGGCGAGGGCTCCGCGTTGGGGGACCGAGATTGCTGGTCCGGAGAGTTTGCGACGCTTGTTGGGAGCTGCATGTTCGGTGGCAGCGGAGGGTGGAGCGGCGGGGGCTTCGGATTTCTTGGTCGTCCAGAGGCCGATTCGGTTGTCTTGCGAAGCGGACAAGACGCGCGAAGAGGTTGCATCGACGGCTAGGCTTTCGACGGCGCTTTTATGTCCGCAGAGCTCGAGTTTTGGTCTCATCATGCCCTTCTCGGTCCCTGTTGCGGAATCCTGGAAATCCCATACCATCACGGATCGATCAATGCCCGCGGAGACAACCTGCGAGTTGGAGAGGAATTTGGCATCGTTGGGTCTCGCGCGATGCCATTCGCCCGTGGCGAGGATCTGAGAGCTCAGATTCCAAACGCGAAGATTCCCGTCGAAAGATGCTGATAAGATTCTGCTCTGGGCCGATCCTGATAGCACGTCCACCGAGGAGATCCAGTCGTCGTGCTCAAAACTCGCCACATGGAGAGGCGGCACGAGGGCTTTGACGTATTCGACGCTGAGGGTGGTTTCTGCAGATATGCCATTCTGTGTGAGAAATTCGTCCAGCGAAGTCCGGAGAAATTGTCCATTGATGAGGAATTCGAGCGGGATTGGCTTCTCTGTCTCTAGCAGCGTGTTGACTAGAGTAGACAGTTGATATCGCTTGAGCTCTAAAGCAAAGACGTGTCAGCTTCCTGGCAAGGAATTCCTTTTCATGGGCAAAGTTTGTTTGCACCATGAAGGGGAAAGTATACGAGGCGTACCAGTCGATACGAGGATCGGACCTGTCTCCTGCGACAACGTGATCTCCTCGTCGTTCGTCTTCAAATGTATCCGCACTTGCGCTGTGCGCTCTGCACCCGCCTGTGCCGCCATGAGTGGGTGTATGTAGTAGTGATCACGGTGGTTGTTGTTGTTGTTGTTGTTGTTGGTTGTGCGGTCGGATCCGGGTCTAGCAACTTTTTCCAACGTCGGGCTTACACGTTCAAGGTTTCCGATTTGTGGAGAAGGCCGCCTAATAAGGTTCAGGTTCCAGTTGCTCGGCCGGAGCGCATGTGCCCGCTCTTCACATGAAAGCGACCCATTGTTCTTCCCCTTCTAGCCCTTGTCCCTCCCCGTCATCTTCTTCTGCACCCCTCTCCTCAACCGAAACAGCACACCTGGTCCATCCGACTTGATCCCTTATAATAATCCGCGATGCACACGGCGTTTTCGCCTGCTACACTTTAATTTGCTTTCTGTGCTTTGGCCGCAAAGTCCGCGACGCTCAGACTCGTGCACCGGCGACGACCAAGCTTCTAGTGCACATTTTTGCTGCACCGTCGGAAACTGTCCGCGTGCCCACCATCGCACGACTCTCGAGCCCGCATCTAGAGCAATACATCTTGCCATTTATCTTGCCATACATCAGCTCAATATGAGCCACCCTTTACCGCACAGCGACGACCTGGACTCTTCCGTTCTGAAACCCCGTCCCCGCCGACCCTTCGAACTCACTTCCCCCACCAACTCCGCTCCTGACACTCCTACTTCCGACGCACAAAGCTTATCGGAGAAGAACCTCGAACCGCTGAACACCGCTCTCAACAACCATCTTCGCTCCAGCAACATAGTGTCACCTATGGCAGCCGACGGCAGCGCGACACCCTCCCGAACGCGAAGCTTCCTGAATCTCACGGCTTCCACCCTCTTTGGAATCTACCAGCCCGCAGATCTCGGTACAGAGACGGAGAATCCTACACCATGGGGCACGGGAGCCGAGACGCCCGCAGATAGCAGGAATGGCAGTTTCGATTTCGCAAGAGTGAACCTACCGGATACAGTATTTCTAAAGGGAGCAGACGGCAAATTAAGAAGAAAGAGCACGGCGCCGCAGTTGAGCAGATATCAAAAACCGAGGAGAGGATTTAAAGGATTCTTTCTCCCGCTGGCTGCGAGAGTGACGGCACTGTTCGGTATTGGAATGCTGTACGGTTTGCTGATATCACATTTACATGACCGGCAAAAGATTGCGCCGGTCCCGATGGATCTGGATCGCACACGATGGAGTTACCTGCTTAGCTGGGGATGCATAGGTGCACTTCTGGGCGAGGCACTACCTTGGGCAGATGTTTTATGGCAACCGGAAGATAACGCAGTGGAGGATGATGAACAACAGAGGAAGAACGGGAGAGCAATGGATGCCTGGATGGACGTCGTCCGATCCATGGGTGCCTTCATCGGCATTGCTTTCGCCATTCGCAAGCTGCCATGGCAATCGACACTCCAACTGTCTCTGACCCTGGCACTCGCGAATCCTGCCGTTTGGTACCTAATCGACCGGTCACCACCGGGCTTCATTGTCTCGACGATAGTCGCCCTGAGTGGTACTGCGGTCCTTCTCGGTACAAACCCGGCACTGGTGCCTTCGCCTTCGCCATGGCAGTTGCTGCAGGGACACGCTGCCAAGAACGGTGGATTGAACGACACTTTGAAAGGTGTTGCAGAAAGCGAGGAGTTCGTGTTTGGGATCTTCAGCCAGGAGTCGGTGGGCGTTGCAACTTGGATTGCTAGCGTTTTGTTCGTGAGCTCCGTCTGCTTTGGCAATATTGGGAGGCGATTGGCACCGCAGAGAGCATAGAGCAGCTTTGTGGATATAGCGAATCGGAATGCTCTCCTGGCTTGAGACGTCACTCATGGTCCTCCAGCATATGTGAGAGTCTGTCTTGCAATCATTTGCGCCCATGGCTATGTAAACTTTCTATGCGGAGCGCCTATGGACTTGTGTGCTATGGCGGGTGAGGTCTTGGCATTGCTAGGAAGTACGGCGGTTCTCTAAAACGGCATACCACGGGCAGCCGAAATGCCACTCATCCAACTTTGATAGATATCCTGTTGATGAAGTTTTGATGTAGAAAGGGGGAGCTTTAGCGAGGAGGAAGCAAGCCTGCGAGGTAGTCTGAGGAGGAGATAGGAGATGAAGTCTGAGAATTTTTGCCTTTGCCGTTCTGGTCCTCTCGGCTCGTGTCGTTGACAGATGGTCCTGGGGTAAGATTTGAGAGCTTCATCGCCTAACTAACAATCGGGGTCCATACAGTGGGAGACTGCTTGGGAAGCTGCCACTGAGCACAATCCAACCTCGAAAGAACCACGATATGAACGAACAGCTCGCGCTCTTGGAGACCTTGAGGCGCTGCCAGTGTGTCGCTGGAGGACGGTAAACGATTGCAAAGATTTCATTTCGCCTTCAATGTTTCCAGAAAACAGAAAACACCAGAAGGACTTGACAATCTCCACACCCACAAGTCATTGCCATGTTCCCGAGCGCTCTGGGACAACCAAGTTTCAACAAAAGAACCAAATGAGTGGTAAATTGAAACCGACAGACATTTCTCTTGAGCAGTGGCAATAGAGAATGTCTGATAGCCAAGAAGCCGCTAGTGCACGTCAATAGTCTTCTTAATGAAGGAAAGTTGCGTCCTAAAGCGAGGAGTTTCGGATTCTTCACTTGAGACCAAAATGAAACCGTTCATGCTGTCGGGACAGGAGACTCGTTAGATGCTTGTGTGTTTCAAGAGTTCGATGACTCGTCCTCAGTCTGATGAGAGGTTATGTTGATTTGTGGCCTTTTTTGCCGCATGTCAGCCTTACTTCTCTGTAGCAGGACCACGAAGTGTGTCACTCATCGCAGAGAACCGACCTTGGAAGGAGTGAAGGTCAGGACTCGGGGTGTGTCTTATCACTAGATAGTCCCCTATGAGGTGGAGCTCGTCGAGCCTGACTAGAGAACCATTGGGGTCAGTGTGAGGCCAGTGAAGCGTGAATTCGGGATGGCGCCTTTGACCATCCACTTCTCGCAGCGGTCTGTAATTCGGCGAAAGAGAATGCGTAGTCTCGGTCAGGCGGCTCAAACCGAGGTGTACACTGAGACTCATCGACAATTGGTGGGAGTCAGAGCGGAAACTCGTGACCGGACCAAGGTGTCCCGGGATTGTCTTCGGTTTCTTTGCCAGAGCACCGGCCTATAGGGAGATCTTGTCGAGCGTGAAATTGTCACGCTCATCCAGATTGTGGTCAGAGCCGACGTGGTAGAGAGACTGAGAAGGCGAAGCATGGCCTGTGAATGTCCGGTTCACGGTGCAGATGCTTTTCGTGGTGTCAAGTGTTTTTGTTGTTTGAGAGTCTCGCATCCAAATGCTGGAGAATCGTCCCATGCGAGAATATGACTAGAGCCTCGCTGATATGTGACGATGTTCATTTTGAAGTCAGGGAGTTGGTCGGCGATTTTGATGTTGATGTTGATGTTGATGTTGGAACCTGGAGTGAGTGAGGTGAAGAAGCATTGCACGCTAAGGACGTTGGCCTGAGGCACTCGCGCTGTTGCCGACGGCCGATGCCGCTCTCCGGCAGCTTTCGAACTCAAACCTTGCTGCGAAAGAGACGAGCTCAGACTTGCGCGGATCAATATCGCTATCAACTTCACTTCCCACCCGCGATCATGTTCTCAAGACGGGCCGTCCAGGTATTCGTCCTCCATATAGCTGGCCAAGAAGCACATGCTAACCGCATCCACCGCGCAGGCCCTTCGCAGCAATGCCCTCTCCGCCGCCCACCAACCGTCGATCGCCGCGCGATGTATGCCGAGACAACTATCCAGAAGAGCATGTGGAAGAGGTGTCGCTAACATTCGGTCGAAGCATATGCGAGCGTCTCATCAGACATCTTCAAGCCTACCAAGTTTGGCGGCAAATACACCGTCACTCTGATCCCAGGTATGCGCCTCAAAAGCAAATATACGGCTTGCTGGTGAAGTCGCAAGGCTGAGAAAAGTGACATAGGTGACGGTATCGGTGCGGAAGTCTCGGAGTCTGTCAAGACCATCTTCAAGGCCGACAATGTGCCCGTCGAATGGGAGCAGGTCGACGTCTCCGGAATGGAGACCGGCAGCAAGCACTCAGAGGAGCTCTTCCGCGAATCGCTTGCATCCCTCAAGCGCAACAAGCTCGGATTGAAGGGTATCCTGCACACTCCAGTCAGCCGCGCCGGCCACCAGTCTTTCAACGTCGCTCTCCGACAAGAGCTTGACATCTACGCCAGCATTGTCCTTATCAAGAACATCCCAGGCTACGAGACCCGACACAAGAACGTCGACCTCTGTATCATCCGTGAGAACACCGAGGGAGAGTACTCTGGTCTGGAACACCAGTCCGTCAGCGGTGTCGTCGAATCGCTGAAGATCATCACTCGCACGAAGTCGGAGCGTATCGCCAAGTTTGCTTTCTCCTTCGCTCTTGCGAACAACCGACGCAAGGTCACCTGCATCCACAAGGCCAACATTATGAAGCTTGCTGACGGTCTGTTCCGCAACACTGTCCGCAAGGTCGCAGAGGAGTACCCAACCATCGAGACAAACGACATGATCGTCGACAACGCCAGCATGCAGTGTGTCAGCAAGCCACAGCAATTTGATGTTATGGTCATGCCCAACCTGTACGGCAGCATCATCTCCAACATTGGCGCTGGTCTTGTCGGCGGTCCGGGTATTGTACCGGGCTGTAACATGGGCCGAGAAGTCGCCGTTTTCGAACCAGGTTGCCGTCACGTCGGTCTTGATATCCAGGGCAAGGACCAGGCCAACCCTATAGCTTTGATCCTTTCCGGAACCATGATGCTGAGACATCTTGGCTTGGACGACCATGCCAACCGCATCAGCAAGGCGGTATACGATGTAATCGCCGAGGGCAAGACTCGAACACGCGATATGGGCGGCTCGTCTAGCACCCACGAGTTCACCCGGGCCGTTTTGGACCACATGGAGGCGCAATAGAGGGTGTCCCACTCGGCTCCTAAGACCGTAGCAGTGCGATCAAACTACGGCAAGCATATCGATCGAGGAACCTATCAGGCGGCGTCGGGATATAAAGGAGAAGAAGATCGTTGCCTAGCATTGTGAAATCGCGACCATTAAGGGAATTTTGATGTACCTTCGTGTAGATTTGTACAATGAGAGCCATGAAGCGTTTTCGTTAAAAGTGACCACGAGAACCCCCAAAAACCCTCCCTTGCATGCCTCCAAGCTTGGTAATCCCAGCAGCATTTGGTCCCGTTCTGCCCTCATATTCGGTCGTTAGAACACTCCACCTTCCTTACGACATAGCTTCATGTCCTCCTACAACATAGCTTTATATCCTCCCTCCCTCTTAACTTCCACACCCAAGAAATCCAATAACTGTCCAATATGATCCACCCCCCAAAACCCTTCCGTCTCACCTTTCCCATTCGTCGCAACAAACCACGGTAATCCAAACGCCCCATCTTTGAAAGCCTGATCACTATTCTCCTTCAGCGCCTTCTTCGCCGCCTCACTCCCCAAGCCCTTCACCACATCCTCCGCAACCTGCTCCCCCAAAGCCTTCCCCAAAGCTTCCCTAATCACATCCACCTTTCCAATCGTCTTCGTCTCAACCCAGAACGCATGGAACAGCGCATCCAGAGCTTTCGCAAGGAGCTGAGGGTGGGATTGGGAGATGTAGCATAGCGCCCTCTGCGTGGGGACGGTAGGTTGCGGGAAAGGGTTGGGCATTTCGGCCGCCATGGGGATGCGGAAAGCTTTGGTCCAGCGGATTCGTTCGCTGTTGATCCATTGGGCTTTGTTTGTGATTTCCAGGGGGGGGCGGTTGGAGGTGGCGTTCATGAGGCCGCCGAGGAGGATCGGGGTGTACGTTATGTCGAGACCTTGGAAAGCTGGGGAGTTCTGTTTTGGAATTGTGAGTTGTGTTGGTAAGTTGGAAGGGAGGGAGGGATGGAGGGATGGAGGGGAGGGATGTACGCGTGTGAGCCAGTAGGCCATGTATCCGAATGGACTGACGATGTCGACGTAGAGGTTGATTTTGCCTTTGCTGGAGCCTGGCATGGTCGTTTGCGACCCTATAGGGTTCCTCTGCACTTGGTCCATGTTTCTGTATTGTACATGTAGTGTATATTTCGGAGTGAGGTTGGCTTGGGTAGAGTTGAGGAGCTCTCTCCATTGATGCAGCTCAATGACGATGTGCCGAGGTTCTTCGGTGAAGCCACGGAGATAACCGTTTTGGGACGTCACAAGGAAGAGACGATGCATCGATGTATATTTCACGAGGAAACACTCTCGCATTCGTCGCAGTATTTAGGCCTTCGCTTTTCCACCTGCCTTCCGCCTCTCCCAAACCATCACATAGCTCTCCTTCGTCGCGAGCAAGTCAGCATTGACCTCCTCCACAAACAGATCCTGCATCTCCCACCACTGGTCTTGGATATCTCCTTCTTTGACCTGCTTCTTTCCCTTTACTTGCGCCTTCCAGATCTTTCGTTCCGCCTCACCTTCCACTGAATCATCCCGGACCTTGACACCTTCATAGGTGATGTTGGCGACGAGGTCGTACACGATCGGCTCGCCCGTAGCGTGGAGCTGGGGATTGGGCTCCACGTATGGCGACATATCAAGCGCTCGCGGGTTGAAGGTGACAATGGTGGGATTTCGTTGTGATTGCAGGAACTTGTTTGGCTGGAAGCGCTTTATGTGCATAATGAGGAATGGCGGTAGCGGGTGTTGCAGACGGTAGCGCATCCGGGTGTTCATCCGTTCCTGGCCAGTAATACCGTTGTACTTTTGCAGTACTGTGGTAAGAGGCACTTGCGGGATGATGTTCTTCTCCACGTCGTCCTGGAATAGCGGAGCCGGAGGCAAGTCCAATGTCAAGATCATGAAGGGCGTTGTCTGCGACTTGATGTCGGCGTCCTCGAACCGCAATCTGTCCCCAGCATCTGCACGCGCGGAGATCGCCTGCGATTCAATTCTCAAAGAACCTTGAAAGATTTTCTGAATGAGCGAGCTGCGTGGCTTGGTCTTGCTGCCGCCGAGGGACAGATGCAGATTGTTCAAGAACCAGCTCAAGAAATCGACCGGGTCGGCTTGTTCGGTCAGCAGAAACTTCTTCCCACTGCGTAGACTGACTTCTTGGATGAGCTCGTGAGGAGAGACATGTGATTTGAAGGCCTTTGGATTCCAGATCTTGCGCACCATAGTACTGAAGCGCTTGACAAGTTCCGGCCTTGAGGAGAGATCCTCGAGGATCAAGAAGTTCCGAAGAGGCGCGACATGTGACAGCGCCTGCACCACGACGTTCAAGTAGTCGTTCGCCTTGATGTTATTCAGGCCCACGAAGCCGGGTATGTACTTCCTTCCGAGCAGATCCCACGACGGCTTTGGCACCTTGTCCATTGCCTTGACCTCCTCCAGAGTGAATCGTGGATCCACGACGTATTTGATGTCCTCTAAGCTCTTGTTTTTCACCTCGTAGCCCTCCGGCAGCACAAAGACTTTCTTGGTCGACATATTGATGTAGACATGGTGGTTGTCTTCGAGCGCGTGGAAATATGCCGGGGTCTTTGGCCCTCTCCCTGTGTAGTATTTTCCGCACACAAGACATGCGTAGACGTTGATGTTCGAAAGTGTCACCGAGCAGAGCTTCTCAAAGTCGAAGTCGAGCCGAGTTCGCGATATCGTGTCCAGGTATAGATCGGAGTAGCCATCTGCCGGCGCCTTCTGCCTCGTGGTCGCTGCATAGTCCTCGTCGTCGTCCTCATCTTCTAATTCTTGCTCATGGATCGCCTCTTCATGCGCTAGCGCTGGCGCTCTGTTCCCATTCCCATTTCTGTGGACTAATGTCGATTGCGCTGGAGGAGGAGGAGGTAGGTCTCGGTCTGGCGCATCTTGCACGCGCGCTTTCTTCGATGCCGGCGAATCAGTGACAGACGCTTCCAGAGATTCTCCCGCAGGTCGCTTGGCCATGACTGAAGTTGTTGACGTTTGGCGCAATTCTGGGAGATCTGCAAGAGCGCGGAGGTCTTTGCGGAGAAGACGCTCGGCAGGTGAAGCGAAGGAAGCTTGAGTCGGGAACTTCATCCCTTCTTCCACCACCTCGTTATGCACTATCACGCGCTTACTGTAACGCATTGCGGATCGGAAGAGGTGGACAGTCTAATACGAAGACTTGCGGTACCAAGTCACATCCCTACATGGCTCCAGAACGGGATTCGAGATATCACACGAGCTCGACATGGCACTACAAGTTGCTACGGACCAAGGCCCAAGCCGCAAACAACAATCGACTCGAGAAAGAGCGTGTAAATGATATGCCATGAAGAGACTCAAAGACCATGGAGATTGATGAGAACATCGCGTGAAGCCTGTGCAGTTCGGAAGGCTGGACAAATCCCCAACAGAATCTGACCGGAATCCTACGTGCCAGAGTATTCGCGTAAAGATCTGAGGGGGCAAAGACATTGAGCCACCAGCGGGTCATTGTATGAGACTGATGCGCATATTTACCTCTTGCCAATTGCATTGCATCTCTTGCCGAAATGCTGATCGATAGTGTTCCATGTAGCAAATTCTGCTCGCAGCACACATTTATTGGTGTGCAATGCCCTTACACATTATTGACCTTGATCGAATCTATATTTCCTGTGGACTTCAGTGCCACTCCTAACGACGACCTTCAGAATCATGTTTTGTGGACGGACGAGCGACTACAGAAGAGGTTGCGTTCAGCACTACCGACATACGATGCTCTACCATGAGGTCACTAGGAACGGCTGAGAAGATACTGATTGGCACCACGATGCCTGCTCAAGCGCATGTACTGGATCTCCTACATCAAGGTAGCTACGGATTTGCCACTGAGCTGTTTGCGACACCATCAGACAATAGAGAGAGCAAACGAGAAGAGCCTCTCCAGCTTAGAATTCCTACACATGTTCTGGTCGATGGACCCCGGCTCCACGTTACTCAGCTTTGCTCGGTCCTCACACTTGCTATTGGACGTCATCTGGGTAATCATGTTCAACATTGTCGGATTGCTGGAAAACGCGAAAGAGCATGCTGTCGTCGAGATCGAGAGACTCCTCGCCCACTCGATTTGAATGCAGAAATGATAAAGCTCATGTGGAACCTGCAGCGCGACATCAAGGTCCTTGGAAAAAGTATTCGCAATATGTATCAAGGATCAATACCGAGGATTTCAGGCGAGACTTTGCCCAAGGATCGCCGTCATCGCGTCGGAGGTACATGGAAATTCGAGTCCCCTTATCTGCAGGGAAAGCGGCCACCAAAATATTGTTATCGCAACACAAAGAAAAGTGCGAACTACACGCGCGCGGTTGCAATGGACAAGACCTGCCGTGTGCTTGTCGACGAGCCATTATCGACATCGCCGCCCTACTGGACCACTGTGCACTCTTCAAGGCCTAGAGATGCCGAAGTCGAAGAGGACAGAAGCTTGCCACGGCTTCAGCCATGGCCACCTCATTGAAGCAGCTCTGGGATGCGATAGACTAGCCCCGCTACTGAGGTACATGAAGTCATGTTCCGAGCGCGGATGCGGTTCGACCCTGGAATTCTACCAAAACATCGCGTTTCAACGACTTAACCAACCACGGTGGGTAGGTAAACGCACCCTCATTGCCGGCGTATCGGAAGCGAGGGGCAGAACAGCGATGTCTCGAGCGATACTCTTGAGAGGCTTGACAAGCCTTTGTACAGCTTTTGGAAGTTTGGACGGAATATTCATAACTCCCGCTGCGTACGTAATCGGGTAGAAGCCGTGTTGACGGTCGCTAGACTGCTTCAAAGGACTGCCGGAGCGCTTGCTCCGCTTGCTGCTGCCGGATTGTCCGCTTCTGCGACTGCTACTCTCCTCATCCTCGCTACGAGACCGTTTCGAGCTGGATGTTGATGACGGGCGAGCGAGGACGGGCGCATTCGAGAGCAGCGGGAGTGCAGAGGACGATCGAGGCGCACGGGGGGTATGATGGATGTCTTCGAGGTCGGCATTCTCACTTTGAACCCCAATAAACGCTGCCGGAGCATGTTCGCGGTAAGTTTTCTGTATGCATCAACGTTAAGGTCCTCCTTGTGCGAATGCTTGTTCTCGCAGATATCGCGCTACAAACTCATGACCACACGCCTCTGCGGTTTCGGCTGGGAGTTGGCCACATGAGTCTCTGATATCAAGCCTTGCTCCATGTTCTATAAGCAGCCGGATCGATTCCCCGTCTCCGACGGCGGCGGCAGCGTGTAAAGGTGTTCCGAGGCCGCAACGCTGCCAGATGTCATATGCTTCAGGCCTGTCGTGATAAAGGACGGCGTTGACGGGAGCGCCGCGGGACACGAGGTAGTCGATTATGGGTTTGCGTTCGAGCTCACGCCAGACCGCGAAGTGGAGTAGGTATCCTCGCTGTGGGTTGCCACCGCATGCAAGCAGCAGATGGACGACAGAGAGCGGACCGCGTTGAACAGCTACCGACAAGGGAGTCGTCCCTTTGGAGCATGAAGCGTTAGGGCTCGCGCCATAGGCAAGAAACCAGCGTACAAGTTCGATATCATCAACGGCATATCTGTAGCGATTGTTAGTATAGGAAGACGGAAGCGGGGGAAAGAAGCGAGGACGGTGGATCGTACGCAAGTGCTGGGGGATCACTCCACCCGAATTCCCTGTTTATATCCCACCTCTCAAACAATAGCTGGAGGCTTCTAACATTTCTCGAGGCCTTTGCTTCTTCAATCGCCTTTTGGATATCCCAGAATGAGATCTCTACGCCCGCAGCTACTAGATACTCCACTACCTCATAGTAGGAGTTCTCAATCGCTAGGGTCAGACTGCGGCCAGCGCGAATAGAGTTGCCATGGCCTAAAGTCCCGACTGTCGCAATAAGCTCCTGAATGCTAACCAGATCTCCCTGGCGTGCAGCGTGTTCGAGGCGGCGAATGCAACTTTGCAATAATGGAGACAGAGGCTTCAGCTCTGTGGAAGACTCAGGCAATGCGTCGAAATCAATGTCGTCAAGGTTTGGAATTGGCAACGACGCGAGAGCTGCTTCGATGTCTGGGTCCATTGTGCTGTGAGATGTGAAGAAGCAGGACGGCAAGTTACGCTTCCGCAGACGGACTCTGACAGAGGAGCACGCCAAGTCGTTGGTGTGGGCAATCGATCCAATCACTTCTCGTCCAGCTTTTCTCGCGAGGAAACGATGGTCAAAGCTCCCGGCTTTCACATGAGAGAGGAAGAAACGACCCCCCGACCCCGACAAGCAAACCTAGTAAAGTAAACAACCCGGAACAACAATGTTCCGTACCATTACTGCACTTGAAGTCACTTCACATCTCCTTCCCCTTTGGCACCTTCTCATAAGCCCTCTTCACTTCCTCCATCCCCGCAATCCCCTCCAACCACTTCTTCACATTCGGATACGAATCCAAACTCAACCCCGCAAACCCATGCTGGTACACCCACGGATAGAAGTGCAAATCCACAGCACTGATACCGTTCCCGGGAAGGATGAATCTCCCGCCGTGGGACTTGATCTGGCCGTCGAGAACGCCGAAACAGCGGTATGCCTGTTCTTCGTAGCGGTTGAGGGCGTTGTCGTTCTTGCTGGAATGGTAGTGGCGGAACCAGTTGACTTGGCCTAAGAACAAAGATGTGTTGTTGAGCACCGTGGCAATCAGAATCAGGATTCGAACTCGAGTCCTTAAAACTCACCCATCATAGGTCCCAGAGTCGTCAGGAGAAAGAATTCCCATTTCTCAAAGTCCACCCGTTCCCGTTCGCCGTTGCCTTTGGGTCCCAGGGTGCCGTTCAGGTCGTATACTCGTCTCACGTAATTCATCACCGCTCCGCTCTCCCAACTCACGACGCCCGTATTGGGATCCTCGAGAGCAGGGACACGTCCATTCTCGTTGATTTTCAAGAATCGAGGGCCTTTGACTCCGTTGGGGCCGTCGCCGAATTGCCAGAGTTTGACTTCGTAGGGAAGGGAGAGGAATTCGAGAGCGCAGGCAATCTTGTAGGGGTTGGGACCTGTGCCGTGGGCGTGGAGGATGAGGGGTTTGAGGCTGGTCATTGTGGGATGTTGGCGTGGGATTGGGCAAGGTGGTTGTTTGGGAGAGCAGCTGCCGTTGGAGCGACGTCGGTACATGTAGTTCACATGTCTTCGTCGGGACGGATTGCGTCAGTTGGCCTGGACAAGGTTTCTAGAGCTCTGCGGAGCTCGTGGAGGTCATGTGTGTGGGCTGCGAGTGACGCTACTGCAGGTACAAGCTTGGCCGCGGAGAGCAATCGGTCTGAGATGGCATCGAGATCATTATCGATTCGGCAGTCCGCGCTGTGGAATTGTACAGCCGAACTGGTTGGCAAAGACCCAGCAACGATTCGATCCCTACATTGCGTGACTTGGTACGTAAATTGTAACCACCAAGCTTTGCTGACGCTGCCAATCCGTTCTTCTGATAAGGGGCTTTCAGTATCGCTGAAGCGCTCATAGTTGTATACCTGATATGGACAATTTTACACCACAGAGGTGCTGTAGACGGCCGTGTGTTCGTAACTACTCTATCATGCGTGCGCCTCTTTGAGATCCGTGCAAGTGCCATTACTCGCGCTTTATGAATCAGTACCGTGGCTGCTTTCAACCTCCTTCTCGGGCTGTAGACCCCTGGTAGCAAACTGCTTCTGCACGTCCTTGTATACATCCTCTGGGCTCTGCTTGGCGTCCACCTTGACCACTCGGCCCTCGGAGGCAAAATTGTCCACGACGGGCATGCTGGTTTCAACGAATGTTTTGAAACGCTTCTTGATACTCTCCTCGTTGTCATCTGATCGACCGCTGGTCTTTCCGCGATTCAATAGTCGCTCGCGCATCGTCTCTTCTGGGCAGTCGAAGAACAGGGTGAACTTTGATGGAACAACCTTATCCTCGAAAGCGATAGCCTGGTCCAGCTTTCGTGGGAAGCCGTCAATCAGGAACTTTCTGTTGCCATTCTCCTTGATTGTAGCCTGCATGGCATTCTCAAGCAGCTGGATCGTGACTTCCATGGGCACGATTTCTCCATTCTTGATGATGTCCTTGATCATCTGACCATACGGCGAGCCAGGCCGATCCTGCTCATCCCGTAACAAGTCGCCGGCGGAGATGTGCTTGAAGCCATAATCACGGACCAAGTTGGCGCATTGGGTGCCCTTCCCCGCACCCGGCCCTCCCAAGACGAAGAGGACGAGCGCCTGGCCGTCTCCTGTGCCGGAGGTGAAGAGGGACTTCTCCCGTTGAAAGGCCGGTGGAGGGTCAATTGGAGCCATCGTGCGTATCGATTTACTGCTCGGTATCTCGTCGACGCCCTGGCCGCTGCTCTTTAGGGGGAGCTTTCTCGCCGGCGGTATAGGTCTGATGAGTGACGCCTTCTCTGCTCTTCGCTAGGAAATAAAAAGAGCCACTCCCGAGACAGAAGATGGCTACGAGAGGGATGATGGGTAGCTGTGAGCTGTTACTTGGACGGCGAGGCGGCGAGCGGGTTGGTGGAGCTCTGGCGGGCGCGTGGGACTGCTGGTCAGCTTGAAGCCTGAAGGAGCATCCGAAGTGGCGGCGGGCGTGGGTGGAGGATCGGTGGAGGTGGTGCAGGAGTCGAGGGCGGAGTTGCAGGCGGCGGTGAGGAAGCAACAGCATGGTGGGCGAGGTCACGAAAATGTTGGTCGCAGATCACGAGCGAGGATTGTTCCATGGGCGGAGCGCCCGCATTTCAAGAGATCATCATCAAAATTTTGATGACACGGCCGGATGCGGACACTCCCGACTTCGGATTTGCATTTCAGGGCATCCACGCCCACCAGATGTTCACTCCACAATCACCAGATGTCCTCCCTTACAGTCAGTTCCATGGAACGTCTCACGTCCCACGGCCAAAAGTGCGGCACATCCACACATCTTTGTGATGCAACCGTCTCTGGTACATCTAGCCTGCTTTCAGCAACTCCATACCACGAAGCAGGATACTCTTAATCATTCGCAGTATCGTCTTGGCATTACACGTGCTTCTGCGCTCACGAACGACCCAGATTTTGCACAGTGCTATGGCAACTATCTACATTAGCAAGCTGAGATGCACTCGGCGGACCCGTGCTTTTCAAGGCCCTTCTCTTCGACTCCGCGGCTCTTCACTACGAGTACCTATGCACGCGCCCACATATCGCGGCACCAGGGATATAGGACACTCGGATAAGAGTACATCTTTGGAACTGGCCGTTGCTCGCTGCCGGGTGGCTTTTGGCTCTTTCTCGCGCGGTGCACAGAAGCTGATAGAGGACATTCGTTCTGGGAAAGTCAATGTCGTCAAGCATGTCCAGAACTCAGTCGACAAGGGCGAAGCCAGCGTTGAAGTCATACGAGCTAGTTAAGCGGCGAAAAGAAGCGAATATTTGCGCTTCCTCGGAGAGGACGTCTGGAAGCTCTGCAGCCGCAGAGCAATCTGCTGGCAAAGACAAGAGTTCTACTCATCTGGACAGATCCTGACCTGTGGGTACCTATACTTGTACACGATGAGCAAATCAGCATGCAACTTTGCTATTTTGCCGCCGTCGAAGGTCTCCAGTCTTACTTGTTCACCTGGTAAGAGGCTGAGGAGTAAGAAAACTTGCCATTAGTCCAATGGAAACAGTGGCGCGGCAACATACTTGGTCATATTGTGGTCGCTAATCTTGCACATGAACCTGAAGTTCGAGCCGACCTTGCTCTTAAGGCATTCTTTCGTGTGGCAAGCAAACGTCTGAGACTTGGGAAGGAACGAGATCGGACACACAACAGGCGTTCGAGTTTCTACGCGAACAATCCGTCAAGAACAGAGAGAACGGTGCAAGAGCTGGAGATCCCTTTGCCACGTCGCCGCCGCGTTTGGAACGGTCCTTTGCGGCTCTACATGTACTTCTTGTCAGGTCTGCAGTTCAAGGGATGCCGCATGGGTGGAAGAGTAGAGGATCCCGGGTCATGAAGCGACCAAGAACAGCACCGATCAGATGGGAGCGCTGACGGTCAAGGCCTTGAAGAAGAATTCGCATTCGATCTTGCATAACGCCGTCTTCGCAGCTGAAAGAAGACGGGTGGCTCACAAGTTCCGAAATACGCGGCTGGATGTGCATAAAGTCTGCAGCCTCGTTTCTTCACTGGATGGCTTGGTTTTCCCGAGAGTCCTGAGATAGCTCGGGCCACGGCGATCTGGACAGCAAATGCCTAGCTTAAGCAGCCGTCGAGATATCTGTCGATGCACGAGGCTTGTGTACAATCTCATACATGGGGCGGCGTAGAACGAGCGTCAGCCCTAAGATTGCCCAAAGATGTCACCAACATCTTGCATCTGATTTTTAGACACTTCAATCCACAATTGACGGCAAGCCGATGCCTTCGCAGCTGTTGTCACCAATGAGCTTAGTCTAAGATATCTAGCATTGGCATTCCAAAGGGTTGCCGCGGTTGCGCATCGACCTTCCCATTTAGGTAGCACATTTAACGGATGTACCGTTACCAACACAGAGTGTTGCGCGAAGAGGGGCATGCCAGCAGAACGGTTTGAAAGCTCGGGTACGGTCTCTGTTCAAGCAGATTATTCTATCAAAGAGCAAGAACGCTGTAGACAGAGGAAGTGAGGTCGGAGGACGGTACCTTGCAGATGGGGCCAATGCGGGCTTGGCGTGTCAAGGGTCTGCTCATTGGCAACTTTGTTGCGTGGACAAACAGGTCGTTAAGGAGAACTTTCTCTCCTCACCGCCCAACACCAAACACCTCACCCTGCTCCGAGAAAGGGCTGGTGTTGTGTATAACATACCATCATGTCGAGACAGGCGGGTGAAGCTGGTCAGGCCAGCAAAATCGTTGGCATTTCGTTGCCTGAAGATGATTTCGAATTCATCGAAACTCCCGCAGCTCCATCCCCAGCACCGGAATCGCAGAATTTTGGTGTGAGAACGACGTCGGTAGGGAGCATCGGAGCATTCACCTCAATGCAGGGATGTCGTCAAGGCTGACATGTGACACTGCAGTACCCTGCCATCAAGAACGCTCCTCTTCCCGCAGATGGCCCCGGCAGCGATACCTTCAACAACCTCTTCCTCGTTACCCTGATCGTTGGCATCCCAGCCTACTTTGCCTGGTCCGTGGGCGGTGGCTTCTTCACATGGCTTTTCTTCGCCATCCTTTCCGGCTTTCCAATCCTCGCCTCCTTCTGGGCCGTCGCTTCGGCTATGAGCCCTCGCATCAACGAGAAGGCCCGCTACCCCGGAGCACCAGTCGAGCACTACCTCAAGTTCGAGAAGGAGAGTGACAGGATAAAGTACAGAGGCAAGAACAAGATTCCAATGGAGACGTTCCATGAGATGTACGCTGCTGGGGAGGTGGAATTCAAGGGCGATGCCTTGGAGGTCATGGAGTACAGACACGACTGGGCCAGCTTCCGCTTCACAGTGTCACTCTTCTGGTTCTTCTTGACTGGAATGATGCCTGAGGTCATTATGCACTCTCGCTCGCAGGACGAGGAACAGGTTCGTGACCACTACGACCGCGGCGACGACTTCTACGGCTGGTTCTTGGGTCCACGAATGATCTACACGTCTGGCATTATCTCAGACATCAACAAGGAAGAGAGCTTGGAGCAACTGCAGGACAACAAGATGTCGATTGTGTGTGAGAAGATCGGTCTCAAACCTGGTGAGAAGATGCTCGACATTGGCTGCGGATGGGGCACGCTTGCCAAATTCGCATCCGCCAACTACGATGCCAATGTCACGGGTGTCACTCTGGGCCGCAACCAAACCGCATGGGGCAACAGCGGTCTCCGCAAAGCTGGTGTTCCTGAAGAGCAGAGCCGCATTCTGTGTATGGACTACCGCGACATTCCCGTTCCAGAAGGTGGATGGAACAAAATCACCTGTCTGGAGATGGCCGAGCACGTTGGTGTTCGGTACTTCAGCACTTTCTTGAAGCAAGTATACGACATGCTCGACGACGATGGCGTTTTCTTTCTGCAAATCGCCGGTTTGCGGAAGTGCTGGCAGTACGAAGATCTCATCTGGGGTCTTTTCATGAACAAGTACATCTTCCCTGGTGCTGACGCTTCAACGCCGCTCGGATGGTTTACCGACAAGCTTGAGGGTGCCGGATTTGAGATCAAGGGTATCGACACCATTGGTGTACACTACTCCGCTACGCTTTGGAGATGGTACCGCAACTGGATTGGGAACAAGGATAAGATCATTCCTAAGTACGGCAACCGCTGGTACAGGGTGAGTTGCTCCAGATTTCTTCAATGTTGTCGCCTTCACTGACCGATTTAGATCTGGGAGTACTTCCTCGCCTACAGCACCATCACTTCCCGTCAAGGAGGCGCCACGTGTTTTCAGATCACGCTCGTGAAGAACATCAACTCCACGCACAGAGTTGAGGGCATTCCAACTCAATTCGGCCTCGCAGGCGCCCTTGAGCACAGCCAGGCCAAGGGGAAGTCGGGTTTCCCAATCAACAAAGTCTAGGGCATGGAAGTGTACAAGAGCCGCACCTGCCGGCAATATTCTTGCTGGAACCGAGGGGAAGAGTGGAGAGGAACAAATGAAGATCGTAGCAACAAGCTGCGTTATGTGCAGCCAAAATTTGAGCCGTCTCAAGCTCCTGTAGAAGGACCCCAGGGCATGCGGGAGACATTAAGTAGCGACGCCACGGACAGAGGCATGTAACATAATTCGACAGCGCAAATTAATGTCGCCAAATCCTGACAGCCTTATCTTGCCCTCCCGATCCAACTCTCTCGCCATCTGGTGCCCAATCCACTGCGAATACCTCATCTTGATGTCCAGGCAAATTCTCCGCCAACGTTCCTGTTCGAACATCCCACGCCTTCAATGTCGTATCCTTTGACCCGCTGACTAGTAGTCTACTATCAGGTGAAAAGGCACACTGATATACCGGACCGACGTGCCCTCGCAGAGTATTCAGAAACTTCCCGTCCTTTGCTTGCCAGAGTTTCACGTGGTTGTCGAAGCCGGCAGACGCGATGAGAACCCCATCCGGAGAGAAAGTGACATGGTTGATCTGTTTCTGATGCCCGATCATACGCTGAATAGGCTTTGTCGAATTCGAAGGGTCCCACAGATACATTGTACAGTCGTCCGAAGCAGTGACGAGACGTTCTGATCCTCCGGATGTGGCCAGAGCAGTGTCGTAGCGTTGTTTCGCTTTGGAGCGTTTGCCTTCGACGGAGTCTGGACTTTCTCTTTTGCCTTTGTGGTCGAAGAAGCCTGTGCGGATTGCGAAGTCTGTGGATAGGGCGAGGTGGTTCACCCAGTGGGCGTGAGAGGTTAGCGTGTGGATGAGGGTGCCCTTTGTCGCGTCCCAGATCTTTACAGTCCGGTCGCGGGAGGCGGTGTAGATTTGTCCTTGGCCGCCCCATTTCACGCAGGTGACGCATTCTTTGTGGCCCGTTAGGGCCATGTCTGTGTTTCGGTTTACAGCGTCCCAGATGCGGACGGTGAAGTCTTTTGAGGCCGAGGCGAAGCGCGGACGGCCTGGTTCGCGGGCGTGGAAAGGTTCCCATGATATGCTTGTGATCCATTTTGTGTGGCCTTTGAGGGGCCCGCCGAGGGGAGTGCCTTTGATTGGGTCCCATAGTCGGACGGTGTTGTCCATGCTTCCTGTGGCGAGAATGCCTTCGTCCGGGGACCATGCTACTGCTAAGACCCAGCCTGTGTGCCCCTTCAAGGTATGTTGAGGTGTTCCTGTATCACAATCCCATATTCTTGCAGTCTTGTCTCCACTACCAGTCGCTAGTCTCGAAGAGGTGCCCGGTGAAAAAGCAGTCGTCAAGATTGACTCTCCGTGCCCACTGATACTCGCCGAACATCTCGTCACCGGCTTCACTTTGAACACTGCCTCGGCTCTGCAAGGGATATCCAATTGTACTTCGGTCGTTGTCTTCCCGTCTAGATATCTTTGAATTATATCCTTCTGGTTGAATTCTCTGCCGTCTCCAAATGGATCGTAGAAGCGATACGGCAGGCGGTCATTGGGGTCGTCATGGCCGAGCAGATTGTTCAAGAGGAGCGAGAGGTTCTTGGGGGAGAGGTCTGCTAGTGAGACTGAGACGACGGGTCCTTGTGCGGCGCCGGTGTCTGCGTCGCGGAATTGGATGCGCTGTATGCCTTCGGGGATAGCTGGAGGCGGGGAGACTTGTTCGCGAGCGCGCGCTGCAGCGGCGGTCTTCTGTCGCTTTGACGGAGGTGGCAGGACGGTCGCCATGGTGTTGAAGGTGTTGAAGTTGTCGAAGGACGTGATGCTCTTCTGCAACAACTTTTTGGAGAGATATGTCGGCAGGGTTGCCTTTTTCAGGCACATGGCTCGTGCTCTGCAGCATATCTCCGCTTCTGATCGCCGGGCCCCTCCACCACCTTGGCTCCGTTTGCATTACGATCCTCGACCCGTCAAATCATCACTTCGAATGATCTTGGGAACCTAGTTACTCAGTCAGAGTGGTATGGAATCGATAGATCCATGGATGATGCCGTCTCTTGCGCGTGGGGTGGCATCAACCTGGCTCGTGAGGTTACGGCGAAAGGCTGTGAAGACCTGAAGGAGCTGTGTCTATGAAGGATGGGCTCGCGTGTGCACATGCTGACTGTAGTCCGGTGGTATTTACGCGCGGCAACAGATCTCTCTCACTTCCTTCCTTCCTTTCTTCCTTCCTTCCCTACACACCTACAGTTGCAAGCTCGAAGATGGACCGCCAGCATGTCATGGAGAGGCTTCGTGAGATCCTCAAGCCAGAGCTACTGACGGCGGCGTACCTTTGGAAATGGCCGTGGCCAAAGAGTCAACAACCTAACGGAGCAGAAGTCGGTCACTTCCACTTTCAGCCCAGTAGCGACCAGGAGCAGGCATTCTATGACCTGGTCTTTTACCAAGTCATCAAACCAATTAGCGACCTTTCACTTAACGCCCTGCTGGACACGGACTGGACGAGGCTCTTGCCAGAATCCAGCCAGCAGGACTATCCAGAGAAGGCTCTGGGCCTCATCACGATCATCGACCAGTTTCGTATCTTAGGCTCTGGATACGGGAAGCGATACACGAGGGCGTTCTTCGATCCTCTTGCTGAGAAGCTTGCTCGTCAGCTCATCGGCCTGCCAATGGACAAGCGCCCAGATGGCAAAGCCGCTTGGATGTCTAGAGGTTACTCGTTCGAAGAATGGATCGTTCGAACCTTGTGGTTCTTCGCGCCGCCCGTCCACTCTGACAAGTTCATGACAGCCGATAGAGCGGCTGTTAAAGAATGGCTGCACTACATCAGAGCCGAGCTCGAAGAACATTCGCATCAAGAAGACCCGTTCGCGGAGCTCGAGCCCGCGGACGATGTGGACATCCGAGCCTTTGAGAGGATACTCATCGCCGGGCCGCCAAAGAAAAGCTATGCCGATCCAAAGAAGGAGGCGACCACCTATGATTACGCCTTTTGGTATGTGAAGCCGCGTTGCCTGATGGAAAAGCAACGGAGAGAAGTGGCTGACGCGTTCGCAGGTGGATTCGGATTCTGAACTCGCACTTCGCAGTGACGGACATGTGTGGACATTATCCGTATTGGAGGCGATGGGAAGGATTCGAGCTCACGGAAGAGGACGAGACTTTCATGCGCGCAACGACCGTTTTCGGATATCTCCCTGAGGACGAGGCGATACTGCAGCAGGTAAGGCAGGACAAGCTGGACGGGGTTTGGCAGCCGCTGCCCAGCAATCCGGAATTTGAGAAGAGCAAAAGAGGATTGTGAGACCGGCATCTCATCGGGAAATACTAGAGGAAGGCGCGACTGCCGCAACTGCCATGTGAGTGCTCCCAACTTTAATACGACCCCATCTCTCCCTATTCGACGGCCACCTCAGATTTGTCTTCCTCATTCTCATCATCATCCTCAATCTCATTCTCATTCTCCTCATTCTCATCCTCATCCTCGTCCTCTGGATCCTTTCAAATCACACGAAAGCCAAGATGGATCCACGTCGGCGGCCTCCCTCGACCTCGCGCTCTACATCGCGCTCGAGTTCATACAGCACAGCCATCAATAATGGGACGACGACATCCTATCGCATCTCCAACCACAACGGCACGGGCACGGGCACTGGTAATCTAGCCAGCACTTCACACACCACCACCAAGCGCGTCAGCACTTCAAATCCCTTCTACACTGCCTATGACACCACCGAGTCTAGACCGCCAACGAGACGCCAAAGCGCTGCCCGTCCTGGCACGGCAGCGACCACAAGACCTCGCACTGGCTATTCCACCCTCGGCGTAGAGAATCAGGAGGTTATCTGTGCAGTTAGCGAGTCTCGGGGCATATCGCCGTCTGTGGGCCTCGCCTTCATCAACCTCGACACCAGCGAATCTGTGCTATGTCAACTGAATGACAGCCAGACCTATGTGCGCACCACTCACAAGCTGGCGGTCTTCAACCCTTCTCAGATCTTGGTCATTTCGTCAATCGCAAGTCCCAAAACGAAGCTCTTCTCCATCATCGAGGATAGCCTGGAGAGCATTGACGCGGACATTGTTCTGCTCGATCGCCAGTATTGGTCTGAAGGCGCTGGGCTCGACTATGTCGACCAGCTCGCCTTCGAATCAGACGTTGAGTCCATCAAAACATCAGTGTCAGGCAAATACTACACTGTCTGCAGTTTTGCTGCTTTGATGAAGTATGCGGATTTGGGCTTGGCAAGAAGGTTCTCTTCACGCTCACTGCGGATCAAATATGAGCCGTCCGAAGGCTCCATGATGATCGATGTTGCCACTTTACAATCACTCGAGCTGGTACAGAATCTCTGTAATCCACAATCGCGGGATTGTCTCTTCGGGCTGCTCAACGAGACACTTACATACATGGGCGGCCGCTTGCTCCGAAGCAACATCTTGCAACCAGTCACTGACCCAGAGACTCTGGGCAAACGCTATGATGCTGTCGAAGAGCTCAGTACAAAAGAAGAGATGTTCTATGCTGTACGCCAGGCGCTCAAGCCATTCCTAGATGGCGACAAGATCTTGACGCAGCTTATTTCCGTGCCAAAAGAAGCATCGCCCTTCGTCGCGGAACAAGCCATCAACAATGTCATTATGCTGAAGCACCTGGTCTCGCTGGTCAAGCCTGTGTTCGAAGCATTGACCGGGGCTCGGTCTGAAATGCTGCAGACGATTCGGCTCATGTGCACCAGTGAGAACACGGAGCCAGTAGAAGTCATCATCAACAACATCATCAACGAAGACACATCGTACGCTCGTGCGCCTCTTGACTTGCGCAACCAGCGAACATACGCCGTGAAATCAGGCCTGAACGGCTTGCTTGACGTCGCTCGACAAACCTACAAGGAGTCCATGGAAGATGCTCTGACACACATCGAACAGATGGCGGAAGAGCACAGTCTCCCCCTGCAGACGAAGTTCGACAACAAGCGGCAATTCTTTCTTCGCATTCGCGCCGATGAGCTTGAGGGTAGAGATCTACCGCCGGTCTTCATTAACGTATACAAGAATAAAGATTGCCTAGAATTTCAGACTCTGGACATCGTAAAACGCAATCAGAAAATTGGCGACGCACACATGGAGGTCGTACTAATGAGTGACAACTCCATCAAGCAGCTCATCGAGGACGTGAGGGGCCACATGGCTAACCTGTTCAAGATCTGCGAGTGCGTGGCAATGCTTGACATGCTTTGCTCTTTCGCTCACCTCGTCTCCATCCAAGATTACACTCGACCAATGATCAGCGAGACACTCGCCATTAGAGCAGGCCGTCATCCCATCCGCGAGAAGATCCATAGCAACATCAAATTTATTCCCAACGACGTCTACGCGACTCAGCAAACGCGGACTCAGATCATCACCGGCTGCAACATGAGTGGGAAGAGCACGTACATTCGCTCAATCGCGCTTATGACCATCATGGCACAGATCGGAAGCTTTGTCCCGGCGCAACATGCTGCTTTCCCAATCATCCGTCAACTCTTTGCCCGAGTCTCGTTAGATGACAGTATTGAAGCGAATGTGTCTACTTTCTCGGCGGAGATGCGGGAGACTGCGTTCATTTTGCGCAACATTGACCGTTCAAGCATGGCCATCATGGATGAGCTGGGCCGTGGCACCAGTACTCGAGACGGTATTGCAATTGCACTAGCTATCGCCGAGGCACTCGTCGAGAGTCGCGCCCTCGTATGGTTTGCAACCCACTTTCGCGATCTTGCCAACATCATGCGAGAACGCAACGGTGTTATCAACCTTCATCTGGCGGTTGACATGAGCGAGGATGATAAGATGGAGATGCTGTATCGCGTGGCCCAGGGAACAGTGGAAGAACAGCATTATGGCCTGAAGCTTGCCAAAGTACTCCCTTTTCCCCCAGATGTGCTGCAACACGCGGAGCTTGTTGCTACGACAATCGAGCAACAAACACAGCAGCGCAAGAAAAACTCGATCGGTATTGTTAATGCTCGGCGTCGAAAGCTACTGCTGAATGTGAAAGAGCATTTGCTTCTAGCGCGGGATAGCAAGATGGATGACACGCATCTGAAAGGCTGGCTGCAGAACCTGCAGAATGAATTCGTTGCGCTCATGTCGGCTCAAGATGAGGAGGAGGAGCGACTTGCAGGATGGGTCGAGCCAGAAGGAGAGGAAGACTTCCTCGAAGAGGATCAGGCGGAGCAGTCAATGGACAGTGCAGAGCAGTCTTTGCCTCGCATCTTCGTAGACGGCTATCTAACAGAGCACAACAGCGCAAGAAGCGAAGAAGAGTCAACGGGAAGGAGTACTGCTGGCGATACTTCGCGCCATATCACCACGACTTCTTGAGCAAGCAATCAGGCTGCACAATGTTCCATGATGTTGGCCGTGCATGGCACATAGCAGCACCTTCCAAGTAAGTGTACATTTGAATTATACATTGATATAGCACAGCTGCGCAAAAATATTTACCATGGCCGCATTCGAGGTTGATCTGCCGTGATAGGCTCACATGTCTGCCAAAAGCAGGAAGAGGGAAGATTTGGATGTTTTGGCAAAGGGTGCTGTGCGATACATACTGGCTCGCAGGAATGTCTGCAAAGACTTTGCTGACAAGAGATCCGTTGGATTGGGAACGACTAGTGACGGCGGGAGTGTAATGTGTCATGAGAGTGATTCAACACCGCAAAATATCGCTGCTTTTTGAGTCCTTCCATCGTGATTTGTTGCGGTCCCGCAGCTGTTCGAGAATCTTAGAGGCAGAGCTCGATGATCATGAAGATAGATGCTACAGTAGTCTAGTCCAGCGTGGTATATTCATGTTCGATGAATGGCGATGTCTGGAATGGAATCCACTGTGAAAGTTAATGCCTTGATGAGAAGGTGTCTTGGGTGTCTCGGTTAAAGTTCGAAGACTGCAGTTAGCGCTGCTCCCCTCATTCACGTGGGTGGACAAAGCGTTGAGTCCGTGCGTCAGCGTGGCGCAGGCGTCATGCTGACCCTTCTACTATCTTCTATCACCAGACCATCTCACCACGACAACCGCAAACACCTCCTCCGCTCCTCCTACACTCCACCAGCGACCTCTCATCGACGACCTCAACTATTCGTCGAGTAAGATCGCCATCATGGCCGCGAACACGAAGTACACCCCCGCGCCGCAGCGCGACAGCTTCGAAGACGAGCCGAACTACAACCAAGCGCCTCCCTCATACCAGGCTGAACCTGTGATGGGAGAGTCAAGAGCCGAGGATGACAACATTCCCGATGACTTCAAGGTAGGAAGATAAGCATGGGATGTTCAAAAGCTGTGGACTGACAGGTATTCCAGTTCGGCGGCTCCGTCGCAGAGGCAACACTCCCCATTAGGATGCAATTCATCCGCAAAGTCTACGCGATCCTAACAGTCCAACTCCTCCTGACCACCGCCCTCTCCGCCGTCTCCTTCTTCAACGCACCCTTCCGCAACTGGATCCAGAGCAACGCATGGATGATGTGGGTATCGCTATTTGGGGCCATTGGATTCATGCTTCTCACTTTCTGGAAACGCAAGAGCTATCCTATGAACTTGGTCTTCTTGGGAGTGTTCACTTTGATGGAAGCATACTCGATCGCGGTCGTAACATCCTTCTACGAAAGTCGGATCGTCATGCAGGCACTCGTCTTCACGCTTGGGATCTTCGTCTTCTTGAGCCTGTTTGCTTGCCAAACGAAGTACGACTTCACGAGCTGGATGCCCTACCTATTCGGTGCTCTTTGGGTACTGATTCTGTTCGGATTCATGGCTGCTTTCTTTCCTCAGACGAAGGGCGTTGAGCTTGGATATGGAATCGTGGCTGCGCTCATCTTCAGCGGGTACATTCTGGTGGATACACAGCTGATCATCCGACACTACCATGTCGAAGAGGAAATTGCTGCGGCGATTTCGCTCTACCTCGATATCCTGAACCTCTTCCTTGCGATCCTGCGGATTCTGAACAGCCAGAACAACAACTAGGCTCTCTGCGAACTCTCTTGAATAGCCTAACTGGACTGTATTCTTACGATCATGACTTTTGGCGCAGACTGTATGCAAAGCCTCTGATGAGTGTACTCTAGCCTTTGGCGATAGAAGGTTGAAACCGGTATTGAAAGCCTTGCTCATTCAAACATAGACGCTTTCAGCCCCACTGTGTGAGCCACGATCACTTGCGATCTTTCTGGTTTCAGAAAGAATTCTTTCCAACTTTCTCAAACTCAAGGGTCCCGCTTCCTTGAACACATCCACATGGCGTTCTCTTAAGTAGTGTCCAAGGACGAGAGAACGAAAAGCTTACACTCATCGCAGATAAACATCAACAGAATGAAACGCTCTTACAAAAAAGCTGAACTCTACGGTCCCATCAGGTAGCGACAGGACAGAACAGAACCTACATGTGGTCACCTCGAAAAAGCGGAGGGACTACCTTCCGCCGACGAACTTGCCGAGAATGCAGCTACCATGGATGCTGGGCTGTACGGTCTCAACAGCAAGCGACAACGAACCTGCAGAAGGACCAACTCTCCGTCGATGAAGTTGCCGAGGGCGCAGTTACGCTTTATGGCGACTTTGAAATCTCTCCAGACTCCTTCAAGTTAACATGTAATAGCAGCTAATGTCGCATCTCTAGCGAAATCGGAATTCGCCATCGAAATTAAATTCTGTTCAGGAACCGCCGACGGACGACCAACACAATCGCGAGACAGACCAGCGCGCCGTGCCATCACTTGGTCCATCTTTTAATAAGCTACCGAGCGAGCTTCGCACCAGCTTCTTTGATTATGCATACATACAGTGGCATGCACGTCCGAGTCAAAGCCTCCTCATCGTCATCAACCATGACACTTGACTCTTTCTGAAGGCACATCCGAAACTGTGATTGGTGTAATATTCGGAGAGAAAAGTGGATGTGGAAGTCCCCGGCAGCTGCCTTGTTGGATTGAGCAGTTGGGGAAGGAAGTGGAGGCTGTTGTTGTTAGGACGCAATCGCGGCAGCCACGAAAGGGAAGGTAGAAAGGAGGATGGATGTTGGAGGACAAAGTAGTGAGGAAGACGAATAAGCGGGAGCTGCTGGCTGAGAAAGACGACGAAGATGAATGTGACTTATCCGGAAGGAGTGGCTTGCGCGAAGACGGTACCGAGAGTACGGAAGGCTACACCACGGGGATGAAGAGACCTCGGAGGAGGAAACTGTCGCTCTGATACAGGAGTAGGTACGCGTGACTTTGACTTTCTCCTGGAAACGCTGCCAATTCTCGTCTATATATGGAAGCCTCTATCTGCACGGAGAGGCACCGGTCTCGTTTGCCGGTGGATCAGGGTCCACTGACTTTTGCCCTCTGCATGGGAATTTCGTCGAGATCCTGTGGGCCGTCTTTTTCGGAGACAAGATTCTTGCCGTCTCTGCGAAGGGAAAGGAACGTGTTAGATGGATGGATAGATCATCTCGGGGGTGGCAAATTGGGATGGGAGATGATGACATACCCGAGTTTATTGTCCGGCATCAGACATGCTAGGATCAAGACAACGGGGAAACATGCTGCTAGGCCCCCAAAGGTCATGTATCCTATCACGTCCGAGTACTGCAGTTGCGTCGGATGTCAGGAAAGTCTTGCAGAGGAGATCAGAAGGAGCAAGGTACTTACCGCCGCACCGACCGCAATTCTTTCCACAGACCCCCATTCTGGTAAGGTCCCGGTGATGGAATCGTAGATGCTATCAATGACATGCTCTTCTACCCCACTTCCCATCCTCACTCGCAATCTCGGCTTGAACGTACTGGTGTAGATGCCGCCCGCGATGGCCGAGCCAATACCTCCGCCAAGATGGAACGCCATTGCGATCATAGCAGTCACTTGGGCGAGTTCTGCATGCGGGACGACAATTTGCGTGGCGACGATCATCGTCGTTTCAATGATTCCACTCCCAGCGCCCTGGATGACCTGCACCAGGAAGAGCTCAAACGCCGTACTGTCGTTCGTTCGCAAACGAGTCATGAGACCATATCCCACCAGGCGAACCACAGAGCCGATGATGCTGATCTTTTTGTATGCTCGCATACGATGCATCAGCGCTCCGGTGGCCAGACCAGTGAGGATATGAGAGATTCCGCTGGTGCTTTTCAAATAGAGAGCATCTCTTGCGGAGAAGTTCTTGGCAGCGACGGACCAGGGGAAAAGGTATGTATGTGTGCAGGTGTATCCAGCAGCATCGAAGACAGCGACGGAGAGGGTGGCGATGATGGCGCCCATCTTGAAATAGCGGGCAGGCATTGCTGGGTGTGCAGCGACGTATTGTTCCCAGAACCAGCCGCAGACGAGAAGGAATAGGCCGACGACGACTAGCGCCGGTACCCAGCGGGTCTTGAAGTGGTCGCTGCTGTCGCCTTTTGTTGAGAGCGTGATTGGCACCAGTAAAAATGCGAGGCCACCGCAAAGGAGAGATATGCCACCTAGATCGATCTGGGAGCAGAAGTCTCGGAGGGTGATGTGTTTCCTGAGTGGACCGGTCCCTTGGCGTTGAATATGGTAGAGAGTTCTAACGAGGAGTGTGGCCCCGATAGGAAAGACCAGGATGAGGATACCAAAGCCCCATCTCCAGCCAATACCATTGACGACTTTATCAGAGATGACGCCCGAAAGCCATGGAGTGATCAAGCTTGGAACGAAGAACAGATTTCCCGCGAGTCCGCGGTTCCGCATGGAAGTGACGTCTGCAATCAGGATGAAATCCAAGACGTGCGTTCCGGCGGCTCCAGCGGTGTAGAGTATTGCCCCTAATGCGAATACACCAAAAGAGGGCGCGACTGCTTGGAAGAAGTAGGCGAAGGTGTAGACACCGACTGTGAACATGTAAGTCTCGGCACGGCCTAGGACATCAGAAGCTTTGGCGAAGGGAAGCTTGAGAACGACGGAGATGACGGAGCTGGCGACGTCGAGGGTTCCTTCCGAGGAGAGGCGGTTGAGCGAGGATAGAGCGTATGTGGTGTATGTTGAGACCATGGAGGCTTCAAGGCCGCTTTAGGGGGTTAGCTGTGAGTGAGGAGTGTGCGAGTTTAGATCTTACATGGTAACTATCATGATCCCAAGACTGAATCTGTGTCAGCGAAAAGAAAGTCCTGCTTTGAGAGAACACAACGCACCCGAGAATGAAGCAACGTTTGCTCCATGGCGTCCATGTTATTGCTCGTTCGGCGTCGTCGTCCGATGAGGAAGGATGATTGGGAGACTCAACATCAGGATCTTGATCTATGAATGGAGCGTCCTCTCCCTTCTCGTCATCGTCTTCGAAGATCTTTGGATCGGGCAGCGGAGCATCCCGCCGACTGCTGCTGCTTCCAGTGGAATTGAGACTATCAAGTGGGAAATCTTCGTGTCCATTTCTGGGGTACAGGCGGCAATGTGTAAGCAGAGTAGTCGCATATCGTGGCCATGCGCAATGCTCGAGACTCACATGTCCGGTAGTATATGGTATCTCGCCTTTGTCTTGGAGAAGGGAGACGTCATATTCTCTTCACGAATCGTCGTGTACTTGATGATTCCATGTGCTCATTGTTTGCACGTAGGAGTCGGATAGGTGAGTCTCAAGGCTCGTTTCCAAGAATAGGGAAAGCTGTCTGTGTTGAAGCCACGGTAGCCCCTGTCCCAGTGGTCCGTCCGGGCCGGACATGGATGTCTGAGGCCACGACAACAAAGAATCCTTAGCTAAGCGGTGCTTATTCAGGTTCTTCTATGGCCGTTCAACTGGTTTGCGGATTTCTTCTTTGTCGGTTGCTCCATTCCGATCGCCAAGTCGCTTCTATCGCGAGGCATTGTTACTGCAGGAAGGACGGTGACTGGAAACCCAGCAGATCGAACAAATCGCGGGTGGTCGATGAACGTGATCGCGATTTCCAGTATGGCTTGGTGAGAAGCGAATCATAGTCTAAGAATACCAGATGCACCACTGAGACAGAAAGAGTTGCACTGTAAACAAGAGAGGCATTGCCTTGATGTCAACAACCCCGGTTTTGGCCGGCATATCATCGGTAAGACAATGGCGCTAGAGCAGGGTTCGCAGTAGATTTGTCGCACGCAGTGCGACTAATATAGGCCGCGCGCCTAACTCGCGCGGGTTATTTACGTCGTACGCACCCCCTTTACTAAGTTATATACTAAAATTGCTACTACTACTACTGTAGGTAAGTAAATAGATTAAATAGATAGCTACTCTTTAAGCTCTAGTAACTTTACTAGTAGCTGTCTATAGACAATAGGTGCCTTATATAACGGATTAGTAGTATTAGTACCCTCTAGTATCGGGTCTACCCGTAGTACTTCCTTCTACTACTCTATAAGTAAATCGTACTACTCGTTTAGCTCGATAATTACTTCTTAAAGTACCTACTTATCTATAGAGCGTTACTATACTTCTTCTTAGCCTATACTATCCTTACTAATCTCGTAGTAGCGTCTTTTTCGTATAGAACAACCCCCTTCTTAGCGTAGTATATAGCTATTAAAATAGATAAATATAAGCTTATTTAGAGTATTAATTAAGAGCTAATTACGAAGCCTTGTTTAGATAAGCTTTAGTACTAAGAACGAGCGCTCTAAGGTAACCGTGTTAGCCGTTATATTAGCTAATCTAAGGCTATAATCTACTAATTTAGGTACTACTACGTAGCGATTCGACTAGAAGGCTTTTATATCGCTACTATAGTAGATCTAGTATAGATTAGAGGCACTAAATTCGTCTAATCGTCGCTAAAAGGCATACTACTATCGCTATACTTACTACTTGTCTTCGTCGCTATGTCTAGTACTAAGAACACGTAAAACACGCTCTTATTCGTCGGTAGTAGGCCTATCTTTAGTGCCTAGATTAAGATAGTATATAGCTAAATAGTAGTTAGTTACCTATCGATTAAAGCGCTCTTAAAAGCTAGTAATAGTACGTTTATCTCTTCGTATAAGACGGACTATCTCGTTACTATTAATTAGTACGGTTAAATCTAGTAAGATAGTACTATTTACGTACTCTATAATACCTTTATAGCGCTACTAGCGAGGAATAACCTACTCTATTATAGCTTGCTTAAATTAAGACACCTTAAGCTCGGTATTTAAGGGCCTTAGAAGTAATATTAATTTAGCTAGTTAATACTAGTATCTAGGGTTACGGATTATAGCTTATAAATCGTCGTTAAAGGTAGACTTAGAGTAGGTAGATAGCTTGAAGAAGGCGGCCTTTAATCGTTCGATTAATACGAAAATGCCTAATATCGTTACCTAGCGAGTATCCGCTATACTCGTAATAGCGTACGTCTTACTATATACTTTAAGCTATATCTACTAGAATAGGAACTATATAGCCTTCTTCCGGTAAAGGTATAAGACAAGCCGCTAACTTTAACAGTAGATTAAAGTAATCTTTAGATCTCTAAATATATCGTATAGAAGTAGAGCTCTACTATATAAATCGTAGAAGACAGTTATTATATACCCTAGCTCTAGATCCGTAGATAAGAGCTTAAATGCCTTAATATTAGTAGCGTAGGTATCTAAAGCAATTAAAGATAGTCTCTTTAGGTCGCTCTTAGTAAGTAGAATAGCCTTGTTCTTAATCTAAGTATATAGTACCTATACCGATTCGTCTATTTAATCTATATGTTACGAGTTAATTGGACCGTTACCTACAGCTACGACTAATTAAGGCAGACACAGTAGAGT